CATTTATGGAAGAGGGTGTGTGACGAGCAGGACAAACTTGATTATTATCGTTCCATTACCGTGATGTGCGCGGGATAATTTGATCAAGAGAACCATGATGCGCGGAGTTCGCTCCGCCATTCACCGCTGCAGCCTGTGCAAGGTGCCAATTCGTATTTATGACCAGGGTCTGACTGCATCTGGCGCGTAATTTACGGATATTCAGAAAGTGGTCAGTTCTCCCCAGCCTCGTGAATTTGTCGCATGTCTGGCTCTTCTCTGCGATTCATCAGCAAGTAAGCCAGGACTTTTCTTGGCTGATAATACAAGGAAACACGGTGGCTTCCATTAGCTGTGTGTACGACCAGCAGCATGCCAGTCATTAATGATGATGTTGATTTACAAACAATAAGCCGTACAAAGCCTCGTCATTACAGCTGGTGTACAACATGAGGGAAAGCAGCCTCCACAAAGGAGTACGCGGCTTGGCGCGTCTACCATTCCCCGTTGTGCATCACGGCTAAATTTCTGGGCGCCGAGAACGTTTGAGCTGACGGAACAAGTTGGAGGTACTGTTTAGTACAGAGTACATGATGTGGTGAGAAGTTGCTCTTTTGCGATTCGATATTCGAACCCGCAGGTTACATACACATCAACTGTGCAATCAGCGAGTCCTCACCGCACACCATTCCAGGAATAATTTACCTTGAGGACCTGTGTAGGACAATTGGTGCGGTCAAAGGCGAAGGATCAGACATGGCGGTAATCATGATGCGTTGTTGCCATTGTAGCACCGAATCCTAACCAGCCATCGTCACTCTTCGAAAAGCCCCAATGTCGGTACACACGGCACGACACGGCACAAAACTCGCAGTAGCAGCAGCAGCAACATGGTTGTTCAATGTTGCAAAGTCCCCAAGAAGGGTGCGGGCGGCGGCTGACGGGCGCACCAGCAGTAACTAATTGCAACCAAATCATATCGAATCACCGCATCTGGCACTCAACCTTTTTTTGTTTCCTCTTCCATTCTTGAGCCTTGTCGAGGGGATGCGGGCTGCCGCCTGCACGTTCCCACGCTCGAGTATCAAATGGTGTTGAGCAAGCCACCACATGACGGCACAGATTTTTGATGAGTCGTTTCTTTTTTTTTTTTTTTTTTTGTTTCTTGCCTCCCCCTCCTCCTCCTCCTCCTCGCCTACGTTATTATTTAGCGGAAGGCGGGCGAACAAAAGCCATGGGGCGGCCAGCCACCCACACCCCTGGTCCATTGGATTCCGATGCTGCTTGCCGACGCCCAACGAGGGACAACCCTGCACCGTGCTCTGAACGCGTGACGTGAAAGGCAAAAAAAAAGGGAAGAAACAAACACCCCATCCTTCAAAGACATGGATGACGACAAATCGAACCAGCCGCTGCTTTGGTAGAAATGTGGCAGGGGTTCTTGCGCTCTTGGTGACGTCGCAGTGGCCAGGTTGCACTGCTTGACTGCGGTTACTGTTTACGATCTCTGATAAGGAAGATACAGCATGCCCGTGTGTTGTTGACTTGTCTCGAGACGAGGAGGTTATGTATGGTACATACTTGGCGGTAAGGAGCTGTGGCTCGCCGCTCGAGGTCAGCCACGTAGGTCTCTCGTCGACGCTTTGTCTCGCAGCTCTCTCTCTACCTGCTCGGGTAACTGCCGTGTTATGTTGCATGGTCTGCACAAGTATTTGACGTGCAGCGCCCGAGGAGCCAAGTCGCTGCCGACGCAGTGTAGCTTTTTTTTTTTTTTTTGTGATGCAGTTTAATATCTGCTGAAGGGGGGTTAGCAAAGCTTATCCCTGCACAATATTACCGGCCAGCCCCCCCCCCCCCCCCATGGCGATAATGCGTTTGGTGGCGGCCTGATATATCTGTCTTTTTTTCCATCTGTAAAAAATATGGATCCTCGAGTTCGTGAACAACAAAAAAAAAACGACAAGGGAGACGGCAAGTGCCGTTTTGAGATTGTAAATATGAATGCGAAGTCCGATGATCCTAGGACAAGATACCGAACGGGGGCCGAATAATAAGAAGAGAGCATGTTAATAGCTGTCATTATTCAGAGAAAATATAGACTAATAAGACGAGCAAATGCGGTGTTTTTCTGCTCATTTCAAGTCACCCAATACATGACACGGTCCTGATAACTAAGATACTGCGCGCTAGATCAGAAACGGTCGCCTTGACATCAGTCGCCAACCATCAATACCTACTATCAAAATAAGTTGGGCTGATGGTGCGAGCCTCGTCTTGGCCTGGCAAGCGAAGCCCAAAAGTGAAGCCCAAATATAAGTCGCGGTCCGCGTACCAGCGACTTCAAGGGAGACATTTGTGAGAAGTTTTGACAAGATATTGTCTCTGCGGTACGGAACACTAATATTTATTTTGAACCTCCCTGCCTTCTCCCTGCCACCCATCAAATGATGATTGGATCTTGACGTGTACGTGCATGTTTTGGTGTGTGGTCCAGGTTATTACCAATATTACTGACCTCGGCTGCGGCACGCCCGCCCAAAAGGACGTGCTGATACTCGAACGCTCAATCACGGACGTCACAAGGAACAACTCATCATCTTTCTTTTCCCTCTTCTCTCCCAACACCGTGGCCTTTTTTTTGGCTTTCGTCCCCCCCCCCACCCCCCAGCCTATGATATTTAACCGGCGTGAGGCTACTACTCTCTTGCCCCAAGCTGCATCTGTACGTGCATACATGTGGCCAGCATGTTGTCGCAGGGAGGGATGTGACGTGTTACCTGGCGCGGAATGCGCGTGTCAAAAAAAAAAAAAAAAAGTTGATAAAATTTCAACAAGAGGGAAGAGGAAGAGGGAAGAGAGAGGGGTGGGCGTGTACTGTGAGCAAGCCGGGCCTGCATCAAAAGCGTCGAGCTAAAAAGAAAGAAGGGACTCTCTCTTTCCGCCATGGTTTTGATTGCTTTGCGTCTGCTAATGTGGCGCGTGCTTGGCTGCCGCCAATTGTTGCTGCGCTGGGCAGAATAACTTGATATGGCTCATCAGCCGCAGGCTCGCTAAGAAGCCCGGTTTCGGCATCTACTAAATCACATCATCAACTCATAGCTTCATCCATTGTAGCATTGGCGTTTAAGCGGCGCGCCGCAATTTTGAACTTTACGTGCAGTCCTTGCATATGGGCGGCGCATTTGATTCTCGAGAAGCAGCAATGTCTCGGTAGCTGCCCGCTGTAAGTAAGAAGTACGGGATTTCCCTGTAAAAACGGGGGGTTCAACTGAAACCATCCTGCGCATTGAGGGCCGTGTTCCGAAATGCAACTTGTGCAGGAAGAAAGCGCTTACCGATACCCTGCAACTTGTTGTGCATGGAGATGATTACAGCCACTGGTTTTTAGCCGTAGATGCGTTTCCGAACTCTGCACTGCGCTGCGTCGGGACCGAGGACCCGGTCTCCCCGCCGGGTCTTCAGCAGGACAAATGCCTGGCTGATGCGCATCCTCGTCTCTTCTCCCTCGTTCTCGCGCCAAGAATCGACTTGCCATGCTTGGAAGTTGTGTTTCTGCTGGTAGATGTAGATGCGATCTGGGGCGGCGCAAGTGGAGGCGATCGCGATTCGCGGGAGCACCCGCTAAGGAAACATGTATCTTATAAACTGGCGAGAAAAAAAAACAGGAGAGGAAAAAGAGGAGAGTAAAAAAAAAAAGGAGATGATAGAAGAGATGAATATGGTTCGGTGTTGGATCAGCGTGCGGCGCCGGGCCACTTTACGGCCCCGATTCGACCGACTATCCCGGGCCCGGGCGCGATGTCAAGTATTAGTTCGTGTTCATGGAGAACGGTTCACAAAAAAAAAAAGGAGCAACAACCCACAAGGCTGTTGGAGTCCAACATGTTCCACAGCAACCCAAGAAAGATGGACTTCAGATGGGGGGGGGGCTGCATCCCCGCCATAGTCTTATGCTTGAACACTGGGACCCAGGCAAGAACGGTGGCTGTAAATGTGACACAAAGGAAAAATCACAGATACTCAAAAGGTCTTACATCAACATATGCAAAAAGTCCCGTGACATAGCCGAGGAAAGAACATCAAGAGACGCGCGCCATTCAAAGGGCAGGTGTAGAAGCGACGTCCAAATAAGCGCTTTCTCAACTGCCCGATTGGGACATGTACTGCGAATCTCGGCTTCCTTCACAACACCACTTGGTGCTCACGCTGTTTTGCTTCAAGATTGAATAGTTGACTACTTGCTCCCGCATGCTTGGCATCCAGAGTCCCCCCATTTATCCGCTACAAAAGCCCTCGGCTTCATCAGGTCCACCCTATCCGCGGCAGTTTTTTTGGGGGGGGGGGGACCAGACTTGTGCTCGCGGCCCCTCTCATCAGGATTTAGCACGGGAGGGGCTGGACGACGGGTGTGGATATGATACACAGGTAGATAATTCTACGAGTATCACGCGGGCGAGCCTAGATCACCATGTCGCTGTAGATTGATATCGAATTCGAGGACAACTCTTGTTCGCTGTATCCTTTCACGTGCTGTGCTTGAGGTGTTGGCACTATGAGTTGATAGAAACTGCCCGGTGGTGTTTCTGCGGCTTCTATTTACTTTTGGTACACGCCAAATACTGCAAACATTCAATAAACCTCTACAAGGAAAACTCATAGCAACATTATCCGTGAGACAGCCTTGTTCATTGGCACATTCACTCGTTTCCCGCCAGACGTGTTTGCTGAAAAGCAACATGGGCTAGTTACCATTAACTTGCCAAGGGCCACGCCAAGCAGGAGTCTGAAAGTAAATCACATCCCTTGATTTTAGACTTTTTCTTCTTGTTCTTATATTGAACAAAAGACTATCGTTTACCTGGCTGTTAATCTGCGAATTATTCTGTAGCCGTAAATGCGCTCACCGCATAACTGAGCAAAGGCCAGTGTTTATGGGAACAAGACCATACGATATCTCAAATTGGAATATTTAGCAAATTGTCTACTACATTCGCAGATATTTATCCTCGTTCCCACCTGTGTCAAGCAGGAGGGAAAAGGCCATCATCGTCGCGCTTGCAGCCAGAGACGGCGAGCAGCCCCCGGGGGCATTGGACTTGGGCAAAGCTAAAGGTCGGATTATCAGCATTCTTGAACCAATCAAAGCGCCACCGGCAACCTGCTATGATTGCCTGTGGCAGTTTATCGCACTCTGCTCGCGACGAAACCCCGCCATACCGCGCGCCCGGGAAATTTCCGCCATACTGCGAGGTACAGCCATTGAAGAGACCAACTCCGCCTCCCGGAATCAAGAGGTCGAAATGGTTGCTTGAGAGGTCTCCCCCCGTATTGATGGACTGCACAATCATTTCCTGTCCTACAACAGGTCCGCTAGTAAAAGTCAACCTGCAGGACAAGTCAGTGTCAGGCGCGCCGTTTGTGTGTGCATCTCTCTAGATTGCATCGCTCACTTGTAGCAGGCACAGCACCAAGTCGATTCGGAGCCACCGTTGATCGCTGTAGCGGCAAAGCCGTATGATAGCTTGCTATTCACTGCCCATGGCTGGTTGTTTGCACAAGCATAGGATGGACCGCCGTCGCAGCCGCTCTTGAGATTGGCATCGTTTAGAGGGTGGTTGCCGGCAGAACAAGTCTGCGCAGATTTACCGACGGCAGCTTTCCCAGGCCAGCCACAGGAAGGCTTGCAGCAGTCCCAGTATCTATGGTAGTTTTTAGCCTGGAGTTGCTCGCAAAGAGCCACGGGACAGAATGCCCAGAAGAAGGGGGGGGGTTGATACCTAGTAGAGCGGCCGTTGCCTGACACAGCCGAGGCACTGCCGATCAGCGCTGTAACGGCGAGTAGAATAGATGAGATTTTGACCATGATGGAATGAAAAGAGCGGTAGAATATCGCAGTGTCTGTGAAGTCAAGGATCCTCTCTTGTCGGCTAGGTTTCCTGTCTTTTGTCTCGCGGGTTTCGTCTTCCATTTATACACGAACTTTCTTCCCTGTTGTCGTAAGCCCCCCTCAATGATTTGTTTGTGCAGATACGTCTCTACATGGCAATTTTCTAGCTGCAACTTTGGCTTGAGACATGGCTTCGGCACAGCTAGTGCTGTCACATCGAGCTCAATCGCAACTGGTTTCTCCATCACATCACTCCCAGATGGCGGTTTCAGCTCTGCTGACCGTTCCCACCACCAGGACGAGAATCCATTTACCGCGACAATATTTCTGGACACAAGATCTCAGCCACATGCAAATAGACAAAGCAAAGGTAAATTTACGTCCTGCGCTTCGCATCGCTTGCCTGCGTGAAGAAACGAAAATGTTGTATAGGGTAGGGGTGGGTACCGAGGCAGCCCCTATTGGCTGACATAGCTTGTCCAATTTTTGAGTCGCTCGTTCGACCCCGACTCTCCCAACTCAGGGACAGCCGAGATTTGTAGTTCTGCGACCAATTGCAATCAGAACCGATGACAGGCTCACAAAGACTACGGCCGACAATAGGCTGCGCTATGCGCATCGCAAGCTTAGCCCAAACTCCCATCCTTGCGCAAATGCCAATGGCTAGCAGTCAGGCAGCGCCGTTCTCGACAACCGTTCGCATGTGCAAGCGAAAGACCAGGGACAACAACAAGAAGCGTGGCGTCAGCAGCCTGTACCGCTCCGGCCCGCGCGAGCCTCTGTCCATGTCCAAGGTGTCGCTGCCGAAACCTCGCGACAACTACAAGCCCGCGACGCTCGTCGACAAAAACCATGGCCTCTGGGGCTTCTTCCCGGAACCCAACAAGCTAATGTGGACGCCGGCGGAGATGGAGCAGCATGGGAGGGCCTGGACAGTTGAGGAGCTGCGCCGCAAATCGTGGGAGGACCTACACGCCCTGTGGTGGACGTGCTGCAGAGAGCGCAACATGCTGGCGACTTCCAAGGCCGAGCTGGAGAGAACAAAGCTCGGCTTTGGTGAAAGAGAAATCGAGGCGCGTGAGCTCGAGGTGTGTCTCATTGCTGGAGGACTGCACAATGATGAAGCAAAGCTGACAAAAGTCGTCTTGCTAATTTGTTACTCTAGGTCAACAAGACGATGAAAGCCATCAAGCACACGCTGACCGAACGACAATATACGTGGGAAGACGCGACCGAGGTTGCCAGTGTAGATCCGGAGATTGATCTTCACGCGGAGGACGGACAGTTTTACAAGCCATCAGCGTATGAGGAGGAGACTGATGCGCAAGATACGTGGGCGCCCGAGGCGGCCAAGCCTGAAGAGGCCAGTAGAGGCGAGTCGGCCAAGGTGCCGAGTTAGGGTAACACTGGCAGTAACAACAGTCAGAATCACATAAAGGGGGCCCAAGAAACTTGGAAAGGGCACCCTTAGCATGAGAGGAGGTTTCTGCTCGGGAAGAGCGGCTGTACAAAATGTAACTACAAGTAACCAAACTAGAAAGCGAAAATGTAAGATGGCGAATTACGGGCAAATTTCGCAGATTCTAATTGCAGCAATCTTAAGCGAGCGTAGACGCGGGGGCAGACAGTCTCTCCTCTTCGCCCAATATGAAGCCAGGACAGGAGCAATTTGAGGAGAGACAGACGTCAGCCAGGGATTGCAGCCATACTGTTACGAGCCGAGCTATTATTAGTGACAATTTGGTCTGGCCGGTCTTGAGATGTTGTCGAGTCAAAGTTGGTGGGCCGGAGGTAGACGATCCGGGGGCGTTCACTTTCCATTCTTTGGTAAACATATATGTTTGCACTGGTAATAAAGGAGTGTACTGGAGATACCGACTGGTGAGCTACCTGCTACCTGTAAAGTTGAGGCTTGTAGAGGGAGATTGGGTTACGGCATGGCTGGCCCATCAAACCCATCTATTAATCAGAGTGGAGGAGGCCGGTGAGCCAAGGCCCGGGTCAGGTCCCTGGCAGGCTGGCAAGGGGATGACGAAGTGGTGCGAATTGGGGAAATTTGATGGGGATAGAATAGCAGGTGTAAATTATCTTAATCTTGCAGAGCTTCAAAACAAATGGTTTTGGGGGGCAAGCAGTTGTACGTAGATTCCATGTAGGAAGAGCATGTCATGTTGTACACCCTGCTTTTTAAAACAACAACGCACGGTAAATTTGAAAGAAAGAAAAAGAAGATTGTCTGCTTCTCCAATTTCCATTCTACATCTTTCCCCAGTACTCTACAATTTATCCAACCCAAACAGTAAGTACGGAGTGATTCTCCGCTAATAAATCATCATAGTGGCGAGTGAGCTTGCCATGGTACCTCGTCTCAGGCACTAACGGAGTGCATAGCTCAGGTACCTTGACCTGCCCTCCCGTTGTCATTAGGTAGCGGCCTCGAGGTCCATCCAACCCCGCCAGACATCCCAAACAGCTTTCCCCTCGAACCCTCGCACGCCGTTTCCTTGCAACCTCCTGACTCGACCATCTTTTTTCTCTAATCCCATCCTTCCCATATTTACGTTTCCTTTAATACGCCTACCGCATTCACCATGGACGAGATCGCCAAGGAGTACGACGTTGTTGTCCTCGGCACTGGTACGTCGACTCTTTTGCTCCCCTCCGCCGCCGCCGCCGCCTACTCATCCGCCATTGTTGGGGTCGTGCAAGCTTTCGCCGCCTTTTTGCCCCTCATGCCAGCACCTGAAGCTTGCCCGCGCGTAGCACAAGAAACCCGAGGGGACTTGCCACTGCACAATGCCTTCTTTGCTACTGCTCAGACCTCGCATTCTTCTTAGTCTTGGTTGCTTTTCGCTAATGCTCCTCTTCCCTCATAGGCCTGACCGAGTGCATTCTATCTGGGTATGCTGCGCGACCGACTCCCAACGCCAATGCACACCCCCCCGCCTTTTCGATCGACCACCTTATAAGGCCTAAGCTAACGCCACATATCTCTACAGTGTTCTCAGTGTAAAGGGCAAGAAGGTTCTGCACATTGACAGAAACGATCACTACGGAGGGTACGTCCTGGCTCTGCCACGCTGCCCACCATCTCTTTGTATACTGGGTTGGATCCGCTAACCTCGATATCTACTCATTCTACAGTGAGGCTGCCTCCGTCAACCTCGAAACTGTAAGACTACCGTGCTGTTATCGGCCTTGCCATCACCATACTGACCAAATATCAGCTCTTCAAGAAGTACGGCAACTCGACAGAGGGGAAGCCCTGGGAAAAGTATGGCCGCCTCAACGATTGGAACATTGACTTGGTTCCCAAGCTGCTCATGTCCTCTGGCGAGCTGACCAATATTCTTGTCTCTACCGACGTCACTCGTTACCTGGAATTCAAGCAAATCACTGGCAGCTTTGTCCAGCAGGGTGCTTCTCCCAAGGTTACTGTTGCCAAGGTTCCCTCTGATGCTGGCGAGGCCCTCAAGTCGCCCCTTATGGGCCTCTTCGAGAAGCGCCGCATGAAGTCCTTCATCGAGTGGGTTGGCACCTTCGATCCCAAGGATCCCGCCACTCACAAGGGTGAGAATATATTCTGCCACAAATGGCCATCAACATCAGCGCCATTCGACTAACATGTCTTCCCCCAAGGTCTCGACTTCAACAAGTGCACCATGAACGAGGTGTACGACAAGTTCGGCCTCGAGGCTGGCACCAAGGACTTTATCGGCCACGCCATGGCTCTATATCTTACCGACGACTACCTCACCGCCAAGGGTGAGGCGCCCAACGCCATCGAGCGCATCCGCCTCTACGGCAAATCCGTCGCTCGCTACGGCAAGTCGCCCTACATCTACCCTCTGTACGGTCTCGGCGAGCTTCCCCAGGGTTTCGCCCGTCTCTCCGCCATCTACGGTGGTACTTACATGCTCAACACAAACATCACCGAGTTCATCAAAGAAGGTGACAAGACTGTCGGCATCAAGGCCACCATGACTGGTGTCGAGGAAATGAAGTTCGAGACCCGTGCCAAGATGGTTCTGGGCGATCCCTCTTACTTTCCTGGCAAGACCAAGGTTGTTGGACACGTCCTTCGAGCCATCTGTATCCTCAAGCATCCTCTTGCCGGTACCAACGACAGTGATTCCTGCCAGCTCATCATTCCTCAGTCTCAGGTGGGCCGCAAGAACGGTATGTTTTTATCATCTCACCGCTTTTCTATAATATTCTAACTTTGAAAAGATATATATATTGCTTGCGTTTCTTCTGCCCACAATGTTTGCCCCAAGGGCTACTGGGTCGCCATCGTTTCGACCATTGCCGAGACGGAGGCCAACCACCACCTCGAGCTCCAGCCCGGTCTTGACCGCCTCGGTGCTATCGAGGAGCAGTTCATGGTAAGTGACTAAAGTTGCTGATTGTCGTATCGGAAAAGCTGACCTTGTATGCTTCAGGGCCCTCCCATTCCCATGTACGAACCCCTCGAGGATGGTACCAAGGACAACGTCTTCATCTCCAAGAGCTACGATGCTACCAGCCACTTTGAGACTACAACCGACGATGTCAAGGATATCTACCGCCGCGCCACAGGCGAAGAGCTCAAGGTCGAGGGCCTGAGAGAGGGCATCGTCGTCGCTGATGAGCAATAAGCGAGCACATATAATTCGTTTTTAGTTTACAGCGGGAAACGATGAATTCGATAGTCATGGCAAGATTTTTGATATAAATGGTGTGAACGGTCACATCTAAAAGGAGACAAAATATCAAAAAGAGGATCTGCTAGGCAATCATTGATTCATTTGGGACTTTTGTCAGATTTCAGATATTCGTAGCGAAAAAAAGAACAAAATTTTCATATATCTTGCTTGACTGCGCGCTCACTACTGCGTGTACAAATGCTGGTGTTCTCGCCACCGTGTGTTTTCAGAGCCACCCACAATCATCATCATGTTCATAATCATCATTTTTTTTTGACTTGAAACCTATGGACCTAAGTAGAATCGAAAATTTCCACATCATGAAAAAGCCATCTACATTGTCTAGCTTTTCTCTTCTTCGACCTCTGCAGTGTCTCCATTCACCCGGGAATTCTCGCAATCCCTGTGATGGGAACCGAAAACATGACGACGGCGAGCCCTTTCACACGCACACAAAGAAGAAAACACAACCAACTCCCGAAAACGCCAACGAGAGCCCGGTCTTGAAAGAAACTCTCTCCATTTCCCGAATAAGCAGATGTGACTCTACAAGACACGATGCCAATAAAAATAAAGAAGAGATAGTAATGCCAACATGATGCCAAATATACCGAAATGCTGCAGTAGCGTTCTTCTGGATGGTTTTGTATATAGTGCGCGGTCCGTTTTTTCCTTTATTTCCAGTCCGTCTTGCCAATGCCGCGCTTTCCGGAGAAGAGATATTTGGGCATGGCTGTACCGATGAAACGATCGGCCTCACCCTGGCGGGCCATTCTGTTCATTCTACGCTGGTTCAGCTTGGAGATGCGGTCGGCCTTGGAGCGCTTGCCCTCGTCCTCAACACCGGCCTCGCGGCGACTCGTCGCGGGCACGCGGCTGGCGGGGCGGCTCTTGGAGCGGAGGCGGGCCTTGGGATCGTCGACCTGCATGGCGTCAGCGTCCTCGGTGCCGGCGCGGCTGCGAGTCGTGGAGCGGCCGCGGGGACGCGACTTGGCACGGGCGCGCTCCGTCAACTCTGTGGTATCGTGGCCGAGGACGTCGAGGGCGTCGTCAAACTCGGACAGCGGCTTCTTCATCATCTTGCGCGGGATAATGGCCTGGTTCTTGAGCCTCTTCTTCATGCGGGCCTCGTTGCGGATCAACTGCTGCTTCTCGCGAATGAGCTCGGCCTTGCGTAGGACCTCGCTCTCCTCCTCGTCGTCGATTTCCTCATCGGATTCGTAGTAGCCTTCCTCCTCGAGCTTCTCCTCTTCCAGTTCCAGAGCAGCCAACTTGGCGTCGATGTCGGGATCGACAAAGTCAAATACGTTTTGGCCATCAAAGATTTCAGGCATCTTGTCGTATTTCCACTCGGGGTTCTTGAGCAGGTAATCCGCCTTCATGTCGACGTTGTAGACACCCGCACCGCCGTTCTCGGCCTCAATGTCCCTGGCAAGCTTGCGGCGCTCAGGATCCTCCTTGTCGTACTTCTTCTGGCTCTTGACGGCATCGGGAATGAATGTCTCAAGCTTCTGGCCACCCATGGGCTGAGCAACGTGAATGCGGGCCATGACATCGGCGAGACGGCCGCCGATGTTGCCGCTGCTGGCGGTGCCAGCCTTGAGCTTTTGGTTTACACGATCGGCGATGAGACGCTCGCAGGCGGCGTTCTTGACCTCCTGAACACCCTCCTGGGTGTTGCAAGAGAGCTGAAGCATCTCAACCTCACCGGGCTTGAGAATGGCATCGAGCTCAGCCTTTAGCTCGGGCTCAAGGTCTTCAGGACGAGCAACGTCAATTTTGTTGATGACGACAAAGACAAGCTTGTTGGAGAAAAGAGGCTTGATGCTTTTGAAAAGATGAATTTGAGCAGAGACAGAGTAACCGCACTGCTCGGATAGATCCATGAAGTAGAGAATAGCCGACCTAAGATGGGCAATGGCAGTAATACTCTGCATTTCGATGGTGTTCATCTCCTCAAGGGGATGGTCCAGAATACCGGGGGTATCGATGGCCTGGAAGCGTAGGTATTTATAGTCAAAGTGACCAACAAAAAGACTCTTGGTGGTGAAGGCATATGGTTGAACGTCGACATCGGCGCGGGTGACGCTGCGCAGAAAGCTCGATTTGCCGACGTTGGGGTAGCCGCAGATGACAAGGGTGCGGGTGTTGGGATCGATGGACGGCAGACGTCCAAGATGCTGGCGAACCTGGTCAAGGTACAGCAGAGGGTCTTTCAGGCGCTTGACGAGGGTGGCCATGCGACCAAGAGCGGCCCTCTTCAGTTGTTTGCACTGGAACAGAGACTGGCCATATTTAAGAAGACGGACGTAATCTCTGGAAATGGTCTCAATCAGATGCTTGGCGGTGGAAAGCTGACCGAGGGCGATGCGGAAATGGTCGGCATCGTATAGGGTGTTGAGAAGATCCTTGTGAAACGGGTGAATGTCTTGAAGTCGGGGAAAAGTCTCGAGAATAGAGCTGAATTTTTCGGAGAATGTCTCCTGCGTGAACTTGACCTTGCGGGTATAGAAAGCTAGAGCAGGAGTCAGCCGGTGTGCGGGAGAGAGAGGCTGCGCAAGGTCAGGGCCTTCTTACCTCGAATTCTGCCAATTTTGAAACCAGCACGAATCTGTGTGGGCAGCTTGCGCTGGGTTCTGCTCAAGGCAATGTCCAAAAACTCCTGATGAGTTGGGACAGGAGGGATGTCCTTCCAAGTGGTCTTCATGATGGGCGATCTGGTCGTGGACGCAAGATATCACAATGCCCGGGGTTGGTGTTTGGAAGATGGAGAGGATTTTCTGAATGAGCGTCTCCGAGCAGCAAGGCGGTCAATTTTTTTTCGCACTCACCACAGGAAAAAAAAAAGTTGGCCAGCGAGTGGGCCAAGTACTTATCGATAGACCTATCAACGCCTGGGATTAGCAGACGAAGTACATCTACGTACGAAACGTGTGAAAAAATACTTCATATACCACCCCGCTTGCGCTGCCCCGCCTACTCAAGTCACGATAAACCTTTCGAAGTCCGCCGTAAGACTTTTCCCGTGAAGCTGAATGTCTGAAATCACTGACTTGGAATTTTTTGTCTTTGTGAATAGTCAATCCTTGGAGATTTTTCTTTTCTTTTGTCGTGCACAATACCTCCAAATACCTGTCGCTGGTCCCCAACTTGACCACTTACTCTCCCGAACATCCACATACACCCGGCTTCTAAGAAAAGAACTTGACCGATCGCCAAAATGTCGCAACTCGCTCAGTACAAGAAGGATTTCCTCAAGTCTTGCCACGACGGCGGAATTCTAAAGTTTGGAAGCTTCGAGCTCAAATCCAAGAGAATCTCCCCTTACTTCTTCAACGCCGGCGACTTCCATACTGCTCGCCTCGCTGGCGCAATCGCCAAGGCTTTTGCCCTCACCATCCTCGAGGCTCAGAAGAATGGCCTTGAATTTGACATTGTCTTTGGCCCCGCTTACAAGGGTATTCCACTCGCCACGGCCGTCACCATCAAGATTGGTGAGCTCGAGGCCGCCAACCTGGACAAGATTTCCTACTCGTTTGACCGCAAGGAGGCCAAGGACCACGGGGAGGGCGGCAACATTGTCGGTGCTAGCCTCAAGGGCAAGCGCGTCTTGATTGTTGACGACGTCGTGACTGCTGGGACTGCGAAGAGGGAGGCTATCGAGAAGATCACAAAGGAGGGTGGAATCGTTGCCGGTATCGTGGTGGCTCTCGACCGCATGGAGAAACTCCCAGCCGCCGACGGCGACGACTCTAAGCCCGGCCCCAGCGCTATCGGAGAAATGAAGAAGGAGTACGGCATTCCCATTTTCTCTATTGTGACACTGGACGACGTCATCGACGGCATGCGCGGCCTCATTTCCGAGGAGGACATCAAGAAGACTGAGGAATACCGCGCCAAGTATAAGGCCAGCGACTGATCGGATGTAGGCTCAATACCGGGGTGCAGAGACGCAGGTCATGAAGCTTGAAAGAAAAATATCTATAGATAGCAGGTATCGAGACTCTAACCCTTCTTAGTAGTTGCTTAATCGAGCCTGTGCAGTTAAGCACAAAGCTCTTCAGTTTATCATTAGTTTGTAGGCAGCATCAGCATGGTGTTTGGCGCATCTGGTTTCAATTGATATATTTTGTCGAGTATTTCGTGCTTACTTGTATGAATTATGTGTTATACTTTCATGTATGTGTTGTGTAACATCGTGTAATAGCGTGTTACTTCGTGTGATAGCGAGTAACCTCGTGTATGTCGATGATCGCCCATCTAGCCCACCGAGCATATTTCACAACCAATGGCAAAAAATCACAGACTGTTGCTCATGCAACTAATAAGATCAACTGTCTGCCACCTGTCAACCATTAGTTGTTACAAGCCACAGGTGAAAACCCAGACTCGCTGTGTCTACGTTCCCCACTCGGTGAAGGCCCTGTGTAGATGACGATTTCGGGATCCAGACCGACCGACGCTTGTGCAATGCGAAGGAAGAGATGACCTGGGCGGCTCCGTTTGCTCGGATAGGAATGGCGACAGACTGTTGGTACACCGCATTCGTTTGTAACCTCACATTAACGTAGTGTCTTGAGCAACGTGAGGTGTTGGTAAAGGATAGAGTGGTGCCTCGTATCGTGGCTGCATAGCAGCCCATAAAAGCTGCTAGTACGCCGACGATCAAAGAAAACGACTTGAATTCGTCAGTGTGCATCGAGCAGAATCCTTCGCGCACTTCTTGAACCGGTCTGCTCCAGAATCTGGCCGCTCGATACCGCCTCTGCTAGCATGCTCAGTTGGACGCTAGAGAAGCAGTCTGCCGTTCTCCGGTCAGAATCGGCAGAAATCTCGCTGAGCCCGCCCATGCGTCACATATTGTAAGTTGCGGTGATTGAGAGGAATCACCAGGTCGTGCATTGACTGAAACAGGAATGGACAAAGGTGGACGGACAGCCGAGAAGATAAATAGTTACCCAAGCTCCCGCACTGCATTTGGCCCACTTCCTCTGGTTTCTTACCAGGCTGCGACCAGTGACGACTAATTTCGACTCCGTTCCATAGGCACCTCGCCGGATTTCACTTGCCAGCTACATATCACAACCCCGGCCTCTGAAACTCCCATCAGATACAGTTCCATTGCTGTCCAAGCTTCTGATACGCCCCGACACCGGTGGAACTTCACTTCCCTGCGCCCATTCAACTTGCCCGCACATCCTAACACCGCCAACGACCCGCTTCCTCGACAGCTCCTCCGTTTGCCACCATGTGAGCTTGACCATTTCGATCCCGACACGGCATTCAGTTTTGTCAGACTAACCAGCTTGTTCTCGACTAGGCGCGTCACACTCAACATATTCGACCGCAAAGCGGCCCGGGACACCCTCCTGACGCTCGAAATCTTTCCCGATATGACGCTCTCCACGCTGCGCGAGTCAATCCAGGCCGAGGCCAAGGTGTTGCCTGATACTCAGCATATCTATCACAACGGCAAAGCCCTGACCGAGGACACGAAGACGATGGAGCAAATGCAAATCAACGACGGTGACTTGCTGGCTGTTCACGTGCGCGAGAAGCGACCGAACCCCAACCCGCAGGCGCAGGCTGCTCGACCGGCCCCCCCTCAGCCCCAGCCCCAGCCCAGCGCCGGGACAAATGACCCGGAGATGATTCGTCTGCAGGTTCTCGGTGATCCGAACCTGCGTCAGCAGCTTCAGCGCCAACACTCAGAATTGGCGGACGCTGTCGATGACCCCGCCCGGTTTGCGGGCATCCTCCGAGAAAGCCAGGACCGCGAGCGGAGAGAGCGTCTCGAGAGACAACGGCAAATTGAGCAGCTGAATGACGATCCATTCAACGTCGAGAACCAGAGAAAGATCGAGGAGATGATTCGCCAAGAACGTGTCATGGAGAACCTGCAGAATGCCATGGAACATAACCCAGAAGGTGAGTGCCGTGTCTTGCGTGCCTACGTCAAGAACAAGCTATTGACCTCCCTCGTTACAGTTTTCGGAAGAGTGCACATGCTTTACGTCAATGTCGAAGTAAACGGGCACAAGGTCAAGGCGTTCGTGGACTCTGGTGCGCAGGCGACCATCATGTCGCCCTCTTGCGCCGAGGCGTGTGGAATCATGCGCCTCGTCGATACGCGCTTCGCCGGTGTCGCGCGGGGTGTCGGCACGGCCAATATTATCGGTCGCGTACACTCTGCCCAGATCAAGATTGGCGCTATGCACCTGCCCTGCAGCTTTACCGTCATGGAGGGCAAGGGTATGGATCTCCTGCTCGGCCTTGACATGCTGAAGCGGTACCAGGCCACCATTGACCTTGCCAAGGACAAGCTGGTCATCCAGGGCGAGGAGATTCCATTTCTGGGGGAGGCAGAAATTCCCAAGGAGGAGGATGGCAACCAGAATGAGCCCACCATCCCTGGGCCTGCGGGGACCACCATCGGACAGCGATCTGGCGCCATTGAGCCGCCCAGCGAGGCATCTGCCCCCGCGCCGCAGTCGGCAGCTGGTGCGTCGTCGATACCTGCCACGACAGCAGCGGCGCTCGGTTCAGCACCAGCACCAGCGACTGCGGCCGCGACGGCCCAGCCTGCTGCCGCTGGGCCGGCCATTCAACCCCAGCACATCGAGACACTGATGGGCATGGGCGCCACGCGGGAGCAGGCGGTCCAGGCCCTGCAGGCTGCCGAAGGTAACGTGGATGTGGCGGCAGGCATCATCTTCTTTTAGGTGGAATGCCAGTGACGACCGGGACAGTCGTTTGTTCTCGAGGGAAAAGGTCGTGAGTAGAGCGTCAGGAGGCTTCGCACATTGAAATCGGCGTTGGGAGTTTGATTTTGGAAAATATACAGGCAACGGCCGTCGAGCACCGAGGATCGAGCGCAGTTAAATTTGGATGGCACTTTTTTGGTGATGCTCAATAATTACAGACAGCAAACAAGTAAAAGGTACGATTTAGGCATGACAAACCACGATACATAGGAAACTTTGGGATTCTATTTCTCTTCTCAAGCCCAACGCCGGTTCCTGTTATATTGCGAAGCTCCAATGTCTACCGTATTTTGTACAAACAAGGCTTAAGGATTGCTGATTCATTAACATCGTTATCCTCCTCATCCCCAATCTTTGGCGCGAACGAAGGCTTGTTGCCCCTGCCGGGTTCTGGCGCCTTGGCAGCACGGCCCTTTGTCGGAGTTGCACCCTTGATGAAGCGCATCTTGACGAACATCTTGTTAGAAAGGTCGATGGCCTCAGAACGCTCGCCATTGAGCACGAACCCTCGTCTTTGGAGGGCATCGACAAATGCAGAAACATCAGTGGCCTTGCGATTGTCCTCGACGCCATCTACCTCAACAGCTAGATCCATGGGGGTAGCTGCATCGGTACTGTTGCCGGCACTTTTACCCTTCTTGGCGACCTTTTTGCGGTTGCCCACGCTGTGCTCCACGGGAGTGTGCTTGTTCCGGACGGGGCCAAAGCGGCTCTTGATCTCGGCCACCCAGAGCTCGCCCTTCCAGTGCAAAATGCGAAAGGCCTCTTCGATAAAATCTATCCAATTGGTGCCCATGAGGGCCAGGCAAAAGATGGCGACATTGACGGAGCCTTCTTCGAGCGGCAAGTTGGCAATATCGGCCTTGGTCACGAGTGCATGAGGGCTCTGCAAGTCGTAGCTCTTGACGTCGATGCGCATCTTCCCCTTCTCTGACTGCAGCGACTGTGCCAAGGCGGCATCGCCACAGCCCAAGTCGGCTATGGTGCAGGTACCTCCCGTGCGAGGAAGAGGCGAGGTGGCGAGAGAGGACGGGCGGGCGCCGGGCTTGCCCTTGATAGGCTGGCGGACCTTGCCACGACTGCGAATGTCTTGAAGAAAGCTGTCAACGGGGTTTTCAGGCCACACCTTGACTTGGCGGCGGAAGCCTTCGTGGTACTCGTCAAACATTTCTGGTGAATCCTGGAAGAGCGAAAAGGAGTCTTCGGATGGCTTAGTATAAAGCGTCTCATTCAGATGGCGGAAACGAGCGGAAATAAGCTTCTCTCGCATAGCTGCTTGCAACGGCGTGAGCTTGGGCGGTACAGGCGGCAACTGCGCGGGGATAGCAGCAGTCTCTGGCTCCTTGGCATCGGAAGCGGCTTGTGAATCTCCAGTCTCATTTTGGTTTGTGTGCTTATCACGCTTCTTCTTTTTCTCCTTCTTGTCTTTTGACTTCTTTCCGTCAATCTGCTGCTTGGGCTTCTGCTCTGTAGAGCAGTTGTCTTCCTTGTCCTGGGGCTGGAGATCCTCTGTGGCACCATCCTTCTTTTGACGCTTGGAGGACTTGTCTTTCTTCTTTGGGGCGTTGGGGTTCCTTCCCTCCACGACAGACTCGTAGAGCTGTGTGAAATTGTCTGCAGTGACCTCCTGGTCTCGAGGACGGCCAGGCCTCTTACGCTTCTTGCCAACCGTAGCCCCGTCCTGGGCGCCCACCTTTTCGGCTTTGAGGCTGTCCGCAGATACAGACCAGCCTGGAACAGCAAACATAGTCGCCGGCTCTTCGTCGAAAGCTGCTGGAGAGTTCTAGAGGCAGCTTGTTTAGAGCTGTTGAAGTTGCCAAAGGTCTGGCTAAAAGAAGCTGCACAGGATCAAATTTTTGTGGGGCTTTCGAGCCTCTTTTGGTACTTCCAGACAGCGCAATGTGTTGAAGTCAGGCAAGAGGTGATTAAGTAAGGCCCTGGTAAATATATAAATAAGCCCCTAGAAATAGTGACTTTTTAGCCCCCTTTTAGGTATATATAGAGGTACTACTCTTATTAAGCTATTTAATTTTTAGTTTTTATATTATTAGAATTAGACTTACTATTTTTTATATATTTAGTTATAATATATATAAATTTTAGCCTATTATTCATTAGCTTAACTAGCGGTATATTATAATAGCAGTTACTTAGTATAGTAGGTTATAAGTTATACTGCTAGCGACCCTAATTCTACTAAAATATCTACTGTTTAATTATATATTTAATATATCTACCTTTAAAGTTAAATATATAATAAATATAGAAAGGTAAAAAATATATATAGAAGTTAGAGTTATCTAAGCTTTAGGAATTTAACTAATGAATAAATATTGAGTAGCCCTAAAAGAAGATAAAAAAAAGTATTCTGTATTAGTCTTTATTTAAGTAGAAATTTATTAAAAAAATAAGTATAATAATTTAAATATTTTAACTACCAATCACTTAACCACTACTCTTGTCAATTAACCTTAGGTACTAGCTCTTATTATTTTTGTAGTTTAAAAGTCGGTATTTTGGTGGGGTTTGGGGTCGCGAGCGGAATTACCTACCTAACTAGATGCACTGTAATCTTCGCGTCGACTCGATCTCAAACTTCTTTTTCTCTGTCCGACTGTGAAGCGCCTTGTACACTTCTGCTATTGTGTTAAACCCAGCTCGTGAGGCGCGTTTAGCTCTACGGCAAGAAATCCTACATACGAAACGAAATCAACCAATCTTGACAATTACACGCGACAAGTGCCCGCGCATCGAAGCGGAATCCGGAGCACAATTATGCAGTGTTAAAGAGCACGACGCCTACCCCTTCCTCCTGATCGAGCGCAACACCCAGCACTCGCCTTCTCGACCACTACCTACCTGAATTCCACGATGACGCTCTGCAAATTCTTTCAGCAGGGCAATTGCAGGAATGGAAGTACGTAGACCATGTCCCGCAACTCCCTCGTGGCCTCGGGGCCTGGCTCGAAGCCCTTGAATTTTGGCGCCGAGAAGTCAAGGGGAGGGCACATCGTATGAGAGACAGAAAGCTGACAGTGCCAACCAATTTGTAGACTCGTGCAGATTCGAACATCCTACCGGCGGCGGCGCGCAATCCTCGAACCGTTTTGGCGCACTGGGCGGCGGCAGTGGCTCCCAATTTCAGCGTGTCCTGGGTACGTGCCTATGACGATGTCTCTACCCTGTTTTCTCGTGTCTATGCAGCTCACTCTTACAATCTCTCGCAGATAAATACTCGATCAAGCTCGACGCCATAGAGGCTGATCTTACCACCGAAACCCCGACATGGATCCTCTCTGCCTATGCTCCGGGCCGCGATGCCCCCGACCAGCTCTTCGGCGGCGCCATGCGTGAGCAGAGTTTTGAGGAAATGCGGCTGCACCACATGAATGGCAGAGCAACTGGCAACGAGCAAAGAGCGGTAAGTTCCATGGCTCTATATTGAGCCCCCCCCCAGTCGAGTGCGGACAGGAGCTAACTCGACGACAGCTTGCCGAAGCGCAGGAGCTGTACCAGAACGCGCAGGCGCAGATGCAGACAGCCGTACGAAACGTCAACGAAGCCGCACAGTACATTGTAGATGGCGAAAATAGACACCCAAATCGTCTCGACGTCTGCCAGCAGGGCACTCAAGGAGCGCCTTTCGGCGAGTTCCTCGTCGGCAAGCGACCCAAGTCGATAGCGCCGGGACAGCCCGCGTCTGGGAATCCCTTCGCCACCAACGGTAACACCGCTGCTACTCCCGCCAACCCATTCTCTTCTCCTAGCAGCAACACGACTAACGCGCCGTCTCCTTTCGGGAGCGGCGGTGCGAGCGCGGCGCCGACGACGAGCGCCTTTGGACAGCCGTCTGCGCTGGGCCAAAAGCCCAATCCATTTGGCGTGCCCGCCTTCGGACAGCCGGCCCAGCCTGCCGCGGGCTTCGGACAGCCGTCGCAGCCGTCAGCTTTTGGGCAGCCATCGCAGCCTTCTGCGTTTGGTCAAGCTGCGCAGAAACCGAGCGCTTTTGGCCAACCGCCGCAACCCTCGGCCTTTGGCCAGCCATCGCAACCCACGACATCGGCCTTTGGACAGCCCTCGCAACCCACGACATCGGCCTTTGGACAGCCCTCGGCGCTGGGCGCGAAGCCCAGTCCGTTTGGTGCCCCCGCCTTTGGTCAATCTGCGCAGCCCAGCACCGGCGGCGCCCCCCAGACGTCTGCGTTCGGTCAGCCCAGTCAGCTAGGCCAGAAACCAAATCCCTTCGGAGGAAACGCCAACACAGGACCAAGTGCTTTCGCCACGGCTGCTAACAACACCAGCAGCTCGGTAAATCCTTTTGCAGGAAACAGCAATGCAGGTCCAAGTCCCTTTGCCGCAGCATCGAGTAATAACGAGAAGCCAAACCCATTCGGCGCTCCATCAACCAACAACCAGGCAAGCCAACCAGCTTCAAATCCCTTTGGGAGCCAAACCCCAGCGCAGAGTAAGACTCCGAATGCGTTTGGGCAGCCGTCTGCGACACCCAGCTCAAATCCCTTTGCCAGCGGTGGTAACTCGACGACGCCGGCAGGGAATCCTTTCGCAGCTAAACGCCAGGCAGCAGGGGGCAGCGGATCCAATCCTTTCGCAGCGGCGCAGTCCAATGCGAATGCTCCCGCAAACCCCTTTGGCAGCGCGCCCGCCCAAGCAACGCAGCCTGCGGCACCACCGGCCAACAGCCCGTATCCGCCTGGAAGTGCCAAGCAGCACCCTCCTGCGGCGAGCTACATTAGCCTCAACATGGACGGAACGCTGGCGGCGTTCAAGGGCAAGGCCGTCTCGTACCGTGAGGGTAGGCCTGGCATCCGGGCCTTCGATGGCACCTGGACGCGTATCTGGTTCCCCGGCGGCGCGCCGCGGTACGACAAGAACACGGAGCTGCCTTCGGACGTGTACGACGACAAGACCAAGGCGCAGTGGCAGCAGTTTGAGCAGACGGGCAAGTTTGCAGACGGCTTGATGCCCGCGTTGCCGCCGCCACGAGAGTGTACGGTCTGGGACTTTTAGAATGAGATAGAGGGCTGATGTGCATATCTAATGGCGTTTTCTTTTTTCCGTTTCTCTTTTGTCATTTCGACTGGGCGGCTCGAAGTGTCATTTTTGGGTATCTTTACGACCACGGACGTTTATATAGCATGGTCACAGGAAAAACTCGGGATTACATGAAATTTGAACCTGGGTAGTCTCTTTTACAGCACAGCGTTTTATATACCAGTCTTAGTGGGAGAGAAAGTTGAACTCTTATTGTTTATATGAATCCTGTCTTCAGAGTTGTGACGGCTGCACCCTGTTTCAGATGCCATTCGCCCGTCTTCAACTTGCCTCAGCCCGTTGCAAGTCACCAAAAAACCGCTTAAGCGGCAATGGTGACCTCGACCTCGACACCGGCATCAATGTTGACGATGATCTGCTTGACAACCTCGGTGGGGGCGTTGAGGTCGATGAGACGCTTGTGGATGCGCATCTCGAAGCGGTCCCAGGTCTTGGAGCCCTCACCGCAAGGGGTCTTGCGGGTGGTAATCTTCAGCGTCTTGGTGGGCAGGCGGACAGGGCCCTTGGCGCGGAGGTCCTTGTTCTTGGCGCGGTCGATGATTTCGGTGCAGACCTTTTCGAGGACCTGGACCTTGCGCGAGGACAGGGTGATGCGGATCTTGTGGCTCTTCTGCAGTAGTTTGTCAGTACTTTTGTCATTCTCCAAGCAGCTGGCGAGCGAAGTGAGCAAAAGCAAAAGAGAGAAAACGTACAGGGCCCTCGCCGACATCCTTGTCAGTCTTGTTGTAGGACATCTTGTATGACTTTCTCTTCGGGGTATTGACCTCACGACTCGAACGTTGTAGGACTGCTAGACAGACGTTTCGGCAAAGTGATGAAGGTTGAAGAGAAGAGGAAAAAAGAGATTCGGGATCGCTTCGCCCTGGTGGGCACAAAAGGTTTGGTGGGGGAATGCGAAAATGTGCTGGTTGTGCGAGGCGCTAATCCCTTTAAGGCTAGAGTGGCTATTTTCAATAGATGTGGTTGGCTGGCATGGGATGGTGGGGTGCAAGAAAAGGTACGTATCTTTATCCAAGCGATGCGCCTTGAGCTGGAATATCTTACAGGCACTGGGATTTGATCTGTTTCGAGTGGTAAGGTTGTAAATACCTGATGGAGGGTAAAATCCATGAATTGTTACCGTGAGTCGGCGAAAATTTGTCTGTTAATGGCCGTCAATGACGTTCGGTACAATATGTAGCATTGGTTGAGAGGTTGCTCGTCTTCTGACGACTTTCACGTCATCGGTCAATTAGTGGCAGCACAATCTCGAAGAATAGTGAGATCGACTCTAAGAATATTCAGATGAGAAAGAAGATGAAACATCAGCATATAGACTAATGATGTTCCTTTTTCATGAAGACTACACGCAGGAAGCGAGTCATACGTAGGACCAATCATCCCGTTGATCATCAACTTGTTCGTTCCCAGTACATGTATTATTTGTTATGCGTCTACCATTTGAAAAAATCAAATTGACCTAAATTTTAATATGTTTCAGCCTTAGTATATGATTAACTAATAATAACCTATTTCATTTGCATTGATGACTTACAACCTACTTGTCTATGTTCATACCCCAAGCACGGGCCACCCCACTAGTAACTACACCGTGCCTGGAGCTTCCAACTTGGCTGACCCTCTTTGTATGAATCATCCGGCGATTCAACGACAGCCTCGTACGAGGCGGCACGCAGAATCAGTAAACCAGTCATGGAGATGCGACTTCAACCTTGAGTAACCCTCGATCTTTTTTTTCTCAACCCAGAGGAAGCTTTCATCACAGGGAACGTAACGACTCTGGACGACTCGACTACCCCTCCATCCTGCCAACATGCCCAAGTTGCCGTCATTGGCAGCTTACCCCCCGGCCGAATGGCGTCACAAGCTCTCATCTGCGGAATGGCAATCGATACAAAGTGCCTGGGTAACATTGTTGCAAGCATACATCAACTCTCCGCACTCTGTATTAGCCAATGCTCTTTCTGAAGAGGACTCGTCTCTCACTCGCTTTCTCACCACGTTTGCGCAAGAAGCCGCCTCACAGGATGCATCCCATTCGCCTTCACCAGCCCTGTTAAAGGCCGTGATTCAAGTGATGGACAAGTGGACGTCTTTGAAATCAACAACGGCTCTCGACACGTTTGATCATCTCGCCAACTTGGCCAAAATCTATCCAAAGAAACTCGCCGCGCCAGTGCTTTCCAAAGCGTTTACGTCGTCACATGCCGCTGCCATTGAGTCGTCATTGACAGCGCTAAAGAAGTCACTTATTGTGATTTTAGATGCTGGGATACGCGGCGACCTCAAGCTCGCAGAGGCACGTCTCGCGAAGCTCAATCCGCTGCTGCATGCCTCACCAGAAGCCTGCATACTGTTCCTCGCCGGTGACGACTTTCTCGACAGTCTCATTGTGGGCTACAAGGTCATGAACCCACCTCTGCGGAAGGTCATTATCGCAACACTATACCTGTGCTTGTTCGGGCTCGTCGAGGCGCAACCCGCCAAGTGGTCCATGCTGAGCGATGAGCTGTTTGCGCTCAAGTCGGCGGCGGACCAGCACAAGCAAGGACCGATCAGCGCCAACGACTCGTTAGTGCCGGAGCTGGTCACGTCCACTCCTCTTCTCAAGGTACTGCTGGCCAAGGCCGAGGCTGACGGCGCGGCGACGCCGAATCTCAAGAAGCGCATCACGGCCCTGGAGGCGTTCAAGAAGGGTGCCATGGTGCGGCCAAAGAGGCTGGTGCGGCGCAAGGTGGACAAGGGCAAGGGCAGGCAAACAACTGACGATGCGGATACCGAGATACACATTCATCGCATGAGTCAGATTACCCAAGTGCAAGACTTGTTTCCCGACCTTGGCGCCGGGTTTGTCGCCAAGTGTCTGGATGAATATAATGAGGATGTTGAGCAGGTGGTTGCCAACCTTCTCAGCGAGTCATTACCACCACATCTTGCTATCGCAGATCGTAGCGAAGGATTGTACGTTATATGTGGATTAAATAGAGTTCACTCACTCACATGTTCTAGATCCTCATCCCATCAACAACCACAGCCCGACATGGCACCGCACTCCACACCACCACAATTACCAACTCGTCGCAACATCTACGACGACGACGAGCTCGACCGTCTTACCGTTGACACCGCCAAGCTGTCCTTTGGTAAGCGGCCGGAAAAGACGGCCGACCAGCTGCTCAAGGACCGCTCGTCCGCGCCCGGCAAAGCCGCCATCCTCTCCGCCCTCGCCACCTTTGACTTTGACGACGACGAGCGCGACGACACCTACGACGCCGACGACGTCGGCGGCACCGTTGACGCCTCGACGAACCAGGAGGCCGACGGCGCCAACGACGCCAGCGAGGAGGCGCTGTTCCGGGCGTTCCAGGCGGACCCCCGCGTCTTTAATCGCGACGGCGCGACGCGCCGGTCCGCCTCACGTAGCAAGCTGCGCGAGGACACGGGCATGGCCGACGAAGCGGTCGAGGGCTGGGCGCTCATGCTCACCCGCAACGCCGGCCAGATGCGCCGCCTCGAGGCCAAGTACGCGTTTCGCGGCCAGCAGCGCGAGCTCGGACGCACAGCGTGGCGCGACTCGGGCGCAGAGGACAGCGATGCTGGTGCGGCGACAGCGAGCAGAGGCGGAAGAGGAAGAGGCGGCGGCGGACGTGGTAGAGGTGGCCGTGGTGGTGGAAGAGGACGAGGTGGTGGAGATGTGGCGGGACCAACGGGCGACAAGGCCACGGAAAACGCGCGAAAGGGCAAGGAGGCGAACAAAGGCTCGCGGGCGAACCATAACCGCAAGGCCGGGCATGCTAAGAAGATGGCGCGTGGAGGGTTCCCCGAGTAAACGGTGCAAATGGAATTACTTGCTTTTCTGAGGCTTGTATGTATATATTCGACGCATACATACATGGTTGGAGTCGTTACTGGTGAATAGCATTTGAACATGAACAAGAGCGAGGCATTGCATAGGTATTGGTCACAGGGACAGGCGAGATTAAAAGAATGGTATTCAAAAAAAAAAAATATCCTGGGTCTTTCGAATGCTCTATAAAAGGATCAGCCCGATTCTGGTAAGTAGACTATTTTCAAATATTGGAATCATAAAGTCTGTAAATGTCGAATTATCACGTCTTCAAGAAAGAAAGTAAAAAAAACCTGCTCAAAACGCCAAGTATTTGGGCCCCTTGCCGCCACCATTTCTGTTTTTATGCTCTGAGGTACGCTGTATGTTGTCAGTGCATGAATCCGGTTGTCATTTTACTAAAAAGATTCGTTGACTTACTCGCATCAATCTGCTTAAGCTGCGGCAGGGCCAAACGGACCTTGTTCCTGTACAGCGCCGGGGCGCGGAGCTGCAGCGGGTTGCCCTCAAAGTACACCGTCGTCAGGGCCTCCTTGTCGGCGAGCTCCCGCTCAACGTCGGCAAAGTCCATGATGAGGTTGTAGCTAGCCCAGACCTCTTCGAGCTTGGTGAGGGGGCCGAGGCCCTTGAGGCTGTCGATCTTGTTATGCGAGATGTCGATTGTGGTCAGGTTAACGTTGGCCTCGAGCCCCTGGAGCGAGGTGAGCATGTTGTGCGAGATGTAGAGCTCCTGCAGCTGGGGCACCTCGCGCAGCGGGCTCAGGTCCTGGATGCGGTTGGACTGGATGCTGAGGAGTCGCAGGCGTGGCAGGCCGCCGAGGTTGCGGAGCTCGGTGATTTTGTTCTTGGCAAGCCACAGCTCCTCGATGCCCGTGAGGGTGTCGAGGTTCTTGATCTCGCGGATGCGGTTGGAGCCGAGCTCGAGTGACGTGACCTTGTCGAGGCCGTCGAGATTCTCAATCTCCTTGATCTTGTTGGCGACAAAGTAGAGCGTTCGGAGTTCCTTGAGGTGGTTGACGTGCTTGATGTGCTTGATCTTGTTGAAGCTTAGATCGAGGTTGGTCAGCTTGGTCAGCCGGTCGAGGCCGCGAATGTGTGAGATCAGGTTGTCGTAGAGATCGAGGTCTTCGAGCGTGCCGCCGAGCTCGTCGAGGCCCTCAATGTGCTGGATGTTGTTTTGCCGGAGGCAGATTTGCACCACTTTTTGGAAGCGGTCGAGGCGCAGGCGCTCCATTGACCCGATGCGCGAATGGGTCACGTTGATTTGCTCCGTGTCGGGGTCCTCGTTGGCCAGTAAATCTATACACACGCACGAGACAAGTTGTCAGCGGGCTGTGGCCTCATCTTGCCGACAGTTGGGGGGGAGGGTGAACTCACCTTCATCGGCAGCAATCTCCTCGCCGGGCAGTACATTTTCGTCATCCGAATACTCCGGGTCCGACACGGCTTCGGGGTTAATTAGAATGGCCGACTTTGGAATGCGCAGCTTGCCATCCCAGCCGTTGGCATTCTTCAGGCTGCCGCTGCCGCTGCCGCTGCCGCTGCCGTTGCCTTCGGAGGCGGCGGGTTCGTGAGCGTCGGCATCGGCGGCGATAGTGACGTGCGCATGGTGCTGTTCTTCGCTGGTCGAGCCGGGAGACATGGTGTGTTTTCTGAGCACGCTCAAGGAGGATGAGAGGGCAAAGTGTACCTAGGTAGCAAATAAACAAACAATTTGTAAGGCTGACTGTTGATCTGGAGGATTATCGATAATAAAATGGCGGGGCATTTGTTAGGCAGAGACGCTAAAGAGCTGCGGCCAACGGGAGCGATGATGAAAGAATGATTGCATCTCTGGCATGAAACGTACATCAAGACATGCAATGCCGGTCTGCAGTAAAATAGCTCGTATATTATATCATCTTTCATTGCTTTGCAGATCGGTGCATATTGAAGCTGCACACATGTCTGAGCTTTGCCCGCTCAGCGCGCACTGTTTCTTATCACACCTATCAGTACATTTGACCAACATGCGGGGTTCACCATTTTTCAGCGTGGCTGTAGACTTCAAGCTTCCTCCACCACTGCTTGACGTCACTCATCCAGCTTCCTCCATCAAATCGCCGCGACTTATGATCGACCTGGGAGCATGCCATATATAATGCATTGAAACGGTTGTCATCTCGTGCAAGATGTCGCGCCGGGTGGCTTGGCCCGTGGTGCGGCATTACGCGGCTACGATGCATGGACTAGGCTTTACGTCTCAAAGGCTCGAGCTCGCAGCTTGGCCCTGTGGGCGGCGGTTCCGCCGAGGATTGCACCTCGAGCCTATTGTTATGCCTCCCATGATTTTTACAGGACTGTTCATAGCTTTGTGGTGCTGGAAATGCACCATGCTCGTCGTGTTCCAAAATGTCATCATCTATAACCCGTTTCTGCCGCCCGACGCTCGCCGCTTGGAAATAGCAGACTATGCGAGCCAATGTCGCGGGGTGGCTTGGAGGCAACAGATGATCAAGTCGCTGGACGGCACGCCAATTGCGCTCTGCGTCAGCGAAAAAGCTTCAGAGCCATCAATTCTCCCTGCCACGCCGGTGTACATTTTGTACTTTCAAGGTATGTCAAGAGAACATTTCAAGGGCAAACAAGAGGTGATTGACCGGATTCATAGGTAACGCTTCATCTTTGCCGCCCAGATTACCCGAGATATCGTCAGTCCTCCGTCGAGTTCGAGATGCCGACAAAAGCGCAAGCTATACCATCGTTGGCGTGAGCTATCGAGGCTTCTGGAAGTCACACGACCGGCCGTACGAAAAAGGCATCAATCTAGATACCCAGGCAGCGTTACGGTGGGTTACGCAATTGCACAAAGTTGAGCATCCTGCTTCGCAGGGTAGCCCTGTTATTCTCCTCTGGGGCCAGAGCGTAGGTTGCGGCTTCGCTACCAATCTCGCCGCAAATACGTCAGACGAGTCCAATCTTTCGATACGTGGCATGGTGCTCGAGACACCGTTCACCAACACGAGGGCCATGCTGCAGGCCTTGTATCCTCAGAAATGGCTGCCTTATCAGTATCTGTGGCCGTTTCTGCGCAATCAGTTGGATACGTGGAACAATCTTAGGGTGGTGGCTCGAAAGTCAAAGGGGCAGCCGGTGCCCGTGTACATTGTCGAGGCTGGGAATGACGAGCTAGTGCCACAGAATCACGGCGAGATGCTAGCTGGACGCTGCGCGGAGCTCGGCTTGCCTGTGCAGCGTTTTACCGTGCGTAAAGCTCTTCACAACGATGTCTCGATCCGGCAGGCTGGCAAGCAGGCTATTGCAGACTCCATACGATCCGCTGTGGCGGCCGCTCAGGCACAGTGATGATCACCAGGGAGCCAATGGCAACGTCCAGGCAGAGAAATCGCAGCAATGTGGGCGCCCGGAAAGGGAAAGGAATGGCATCTTCATCTAACAGCGGGTCCACCGGAGCTAAAAGGCATAGACCATTGTGTGCGGGGAGGAACAATGTCGAGCGAAGCAACACCGATAGACCAGGAACCAGATGCTAACGGGCCTGTGAATCTCATGCGACTTGCAAGGTCTTTCCCACCATAGAGTTGGCGGATTTTGGTCAAAAGAAAACCAATTGAGATCTCTGAGGGGTCGATTTATATCATTTCGAATATTTCAACTTCTTTTTCCAGCGGAAAAAATGGCAACGGGCCCGACATGTTGGGTCGCTAATCACGAGTGACCTACCGAGTGGAGGATATCTGCCTGACAATGCTTCCGGGCATGCACACCAGGCAAAACATGCCAAGGACTCCACACATCCACGAAATAATGCGTGAAAAGAAGCTTGCCAATTGCGTAGGGGCGTCCTTGAGCAGGGGTGCTAACTAGGCAGTTGTTGCGCCGCCGCCCGCCGTCGTCTTTGTATCAGTCGGGCAAGCAACTCGGGGTGGGTAATACACCAATAGTGTACCCATGGTTAAGTGTGCCCATGGTTTGGGAGAAAATGTGCAGGATGATGGGATTCATCTCGTGCAGCATGCGTATGCGTCCTTGTCCGCCGATTCGTAAAGCCCTGCGGCACCCAACAGTACCCAATAAGATGGGTATTGTGCCTTGGGTTATGCACGTCGCTTCTTAGCTGCATATGGGTGGGCACAACGGCGACGACAAGGCAACGACGACGCTTTTTACATGCATTTCTGTAATTGCTATTCCCAACATAATGCAAAGGCATATTTCTCCCAATTGCCCCTTATTTTTTCTTTTTTTCTCCTTCTAGGATGGATGACTCGACCGATACCCCCTGCTAGGTTATGCCTTGCCCAGCAGGTCATCCTGGTAAAGTGGCTGCACGTGATAGCGTGTCAATATCGGGTCACAGCCAGAACCACTCAACGCGGTCGTGGTGCGATGCTCAGCCGGCGCCATCACCACTTTTTTTTCGTTGGCTTCCCTGATTGCTTGCCGTTTCTTTTTCTTTTTCACTACAGGGGTGTGTCGCCGGAAAGTAGGTAGCCCACACACACTGCGTGTGTATCTTGGGGGGGGGCAGAGCGCAGAAGGATTATAAAATGCCTGGCCGCCCGCTCGTTCATCTGCTGCTCTTCGTTCCTGGTCGCCCCCCTCTTTCTTGTTGTATTGTAGCGTCTCTATTGTTTCTGACACGGTAAGTCTGGTGACATCAGGAGATACGGCCCAGGAAAAAAAGGCATCACGGTCGATAAAACAAATTAACCTCGGCAACTATACACAATTTACACCACCACCGTGAACATATCCTCGCTTCTTTAGGCCGGTGCTTCACATCTTTGCTGCCTGACTGGTCATCATCACCCAACAATACATAAGCCTCTAATTTCTATCCCCTCGAAACATAATTCTTCTTCATTTTCATCCCTCTCCATCTCAGAGACAAAATATGTTCTCCTCCAGGCGTGCCGAATCCACAACCAGGAGCTTCTCTAAGGGCCACAAAGTCTCCAAGTCGAGCGCCTCCTTTCGCGAGAGCAGCGGCGTCTCCAAGAAGCGCCATGAGTCGTCCCGCCACCACCGCCGCCCAGCCACGGCGTCGTCAACTGGAACCGAAGATACCACCATGAGCAAGTAAGTCCCATAACTTGTGGCAGCCCACATCATGGTTCCTCCTTCATCTCAACTCACATACTCTCTGCGCAGTGGCATCGGCTCTAGCGTCGTCACACTTGTCGTCGGCGCTGAGCAGCGCCTCTTTGCTGCGCACGAGGACGTGCTCCGGGCGAGCCCCTTCTTCGCGCAGACGCTGCGCGCCGCCTACACGGACCCGGCGGCCAGGCGCATCGCGCTGCCCGATGAGGAGCCCGAGATTTTCAGCTCCGTCCTCGAGTACCTCTACAAGGGCGACTACTTTCCACGCCTCGCGCACAACAAGCGCCGCGACTCGTGGGAGCTCGAGGCCCCGACAACGGCCGACGAGGAGCGCGCCCGCGTCGAGAGCACCGTCTACCACCGCAGCTTTGACGGCGACCTGCTCAAGGATACCGTGATTTACTGCGCGGCGGAGCGCTATGGGCTGACCGAGCTCAAAAAGATTGCCCTCCGCAAGCAGGGACTTCGTAAGTTCGCTCAACGCTTCTCTCTGCCCCTCAACACGCCCCGTACAACTTGCTTATGATACGGTGCTGCAGAGTCTGGCATCCAGTGCAGCACCATCTTGACGTCGGCACGCTATGCCTACGCCAACACGCCCGACACAGACTCGAAGCTGCGGGCTCACTATCTGGCCCTCATCATTCGCTCCCGCAACACATTCAAGCGCAGCGGAACCATGCAGCTGGAGATGCATAATGGCGGCACGCCTCTCTTCTTTGATCTCTTTGTCGCTCTCTGCAACCACGTCGATGACATTGCATCGGGACAGTAAGTACTTTCTGCCAAAGCTACTACTAAAGACACTAACACTGTCAAAACAGGGGCACACCCAAGTCGAACCGCTTCTTCTCTTAATGCTACCTTCAACCATGCATGTCCATTTTACAACCTCCTCGCCTTGCCTTGGGGTTTGGCCAACAAAACTCGTGCACAAACAAATTCTTCCGTGGCGTTTTGGCGTTTCCCTCTCACACTGGCGTTTTACTTCTTCTTGTTGTCACAAAACTGTTCACATTCTATTTGCCGTCATTCTCATCGCTACCCATGTACAATTACTTTCCTCTGTCTACCACATTGCATCCCCCCCCTCGACCTGTTTTCTCATATTCCGCCTCACAATGCAGGCCCAGATTGTACGCTGCAAATGTTTTACATGTTGAAAGATGCGACGAGCAACACTGATTTCCAGCCACGTACACACACAGAGACACGGCTTGGAGAGAAAAGCGAAAAACCTACGAAAAAATTTTAGCTTTCTCTCAACGGAGATGTACTTTTATTTCGAGAGACTTGCTTGCGGAAAGCAACCAGAAAGGAAACGGAACAGTCTCGGTTTGGTGTTATTATTAGATTTCCTTTGTAATTTTCTCATCTACAGAACGACTGCGCGGAGTGACGGCCAGCTCGGTACCATTCTCTGTATCATATTTGCGGCGCTATACAAAGCGCCTTTTATTACAGCAAATCATAGTTCAAATAATCATCACAATTTTGAAATAAGTGGGAAACGATCAAAAAATAATTGTGCAAGCACACAGGCATAACAGGGTGTGGGATGGGCCAAAAGGCCGTCTGGATTATCGGTAGGGGGCGTGTAGGAGTCACAGCCAGAGAAACTGTCAACGTATTCTCGTTTATTAGAATGTGAAAATATGCGTGAAATACATTCTCCCATCTTGTGCTTTAAAGAGCAGCTATGACCCGGACCGTGAGGCAGCAACCTCGGCCACCATGCAAAAAGTTCACGCTGCAGAAGCCCCGCCAACCCAATTTACCGAGCCTAGCAAGGAACATGAAACTGCATCCTTAAGCTAGTGCAAACAAGCACCTTCCGTTATGAAACTTATCAGCCTACAACCCTGTTCCCGGAAAGGCGCCCTTCTTCGATAGCACCACGATGCCGCGCTCGCGCGCAATGTAGCCCTTCATCAGATCCTAGCAAGAAACAGCATCAGCAGGTGACTCATATCGGATGCATGTGAGGAGAGGAGTCAATGGCGTGCTGACGCTGTGACGTGGTGTGTATGTGCTGGCCTCGGGCGTCGTTAGGCGCAGTAGGCGCCCTCTGACGTGGCTGCCCCTCCGCTATGCACGTCTTGTGACGAGACACGACCGCAAAGCACGTTGAGTCTTTCGAATCATGGCCATGTAATGTGGGTTTCAATAGTAGAACTCACCTTGTATATCATATTAGCCAGTAAGCACTCAACCTCATCCGTGTCGATGCTGTCGCCACCGCTGCCCATACTAATGGCAGCCTGGAATTCTGCGACTGGAACGCGCGTGCGACGGACGCGGGTCGTTTCGCTTTCTTTGGGCTCGTCAAACCCACCCGCTATGAATACCTTGCGAAGCAGGTTGCGCAGCGCAATGTCGCGACCGCGTTCGAGGGTGAGGTATATGCGACGTTTGACGAACTGATCTTCTCCACTCTGCAGCGCAATGTCAAAGTTGCGCAAGTCGCCACTCCGAATGCATTTGGCTAGGGGCAAAAACAGCTCCTGTAAGCGGGGATAAGGCTCCAAGAGCTTCTTGGTGGGGAGTACATGGCTCGTTAGGAGCCGGCAAGGGATGAGATATGTGAGGATGCGCCTAGAACAGTCAGTAAGTAGGCCGTCTGCCATGCAACTGATTAGACTTACTCCGAGTTTGTTTTGGCGTCTTTCTGGCAAAGGTCCCAAGCTTCAACAAGGTACTTTTCAGCCTGCCTTTTGTTAGCACGGCCTCCAGCGTCAATGCGGCGGACTCACCTCTGTGTAGTTCTCTTCGAGGAAGAAGAGCACACCCTCGTAGTATTTGAAAGTGACCCGCTGCGACTTTGGGAACGATTCTAAAGGCGGCATGTCTCCCTTTTGATTATACACTGCGAGCGTCTTGAGAATTGTTCTCGACAGTGAGGCAGAGTTAAGTTTGAAATATGTCTTGAACAGCAAGTTGATGATGTAGTATATCCCCCACTTTCTTGATTCTTCCAATGGAGCCCTGAGTTCGAGTCAGTATGGGAGAAAGATTTCTAGCAGGCAGTTTCTCGCACCTATCATTGAGACAAAGGGTGAATATTCTCTTCAAGTGCTGCTCGCAGTCGCGCAGCTGAGCCTGTTCATCTGCTTCGGGGTCAAAGTCGTCCTGCATAAGGGCGGCTGATCCCGTCGGCACTACTTCAGATTGCTTGCTGCGTTCTGCATCCGACTTGATGGCAAAGAGTCGTAAGTACTTGCCGACCATGTACAGCGTCGGGATGGTCCATGCTTCGAAGCCGTGATTGTTGTACCCGCGGATGAGCATGGACGTCAAGTCTTTCCATGCCTCGTACACCTTGGTCCATGATGACTAGTATAATTGATTAATTCAGCGCTTTCAAATAAGGTACCTCTGGTGTCTCACTTTTCCCTCCTCGCCGGCAACAATTTCACCGGCAGCCTTCCAGTAAGCGGCGTAGACCTCAACCCAGCCGTTAATCTCATCGTGGTCAATCTTGACTTTTCGAGCCGTCTTAGTCTTGATAAAATGTTTCAAGTCGCCTTTTATGCTGTGAGAATTTGTGCTTTGTAGTATTTGCCGAAGCTTGTTGGGCTGCCCAGGCGGCGGCACTGGCGACAATGTTTGAGCTAGAATGTAGCCATGTCGGAGGGAGTGAGCTTGAGCAAACTCCTCAAACTGCTCGTTCATGGCTGCGGCTGGATGTCTAGGAGACGATATGGTTACATCCGAGGTCGCCGCAGCAAGTAGCTTATAGTCGGCTGATTATAATTGAGTTTCTGTTTATCACAGCATGCGGCAGCTGATGCTATTGAGATGCCGTCCGACGTTGTCTGTTTGGAGGGGTGGTGGATCCCTGCCAGCGCGCTGCTCGTTGTAACTAACTGAACCGACACACCTTGTTCGGTACGTAGGTACCTTTGAAAGTCGAACGGCGCCTGACAACAATCCACAGACCAAGCGATCCGATTTTTTCTGGGTCTCGCCTGTTTTCCCAGCTACTGCACGTGACCTAGAATTTTGCTGCTGCGATTCTACTCTAGTGGGGCACGACTGGCTCACGTAGCCAATCATCAGCGACGACGAAGCCCTGCACGGTTAGAGATGCGGCCAGCCCTCCCCACTCTCCGCACACAAAATTTATCACTACGAGCCCTCCCGATTCTGAACAACTTCAAAGCTCAGCCATCGTCGAAGGTAACCACTGTCAATGTAAGGGAGCCCCCGAATATTCCACGCCTCGTCACGGTATTTGCTAACCGCTATTGCAGATGGGTAAGCACTGAACTCCTCCACGGCTTGCTTGGTTTTGCGAATTGCGCGATTGTACGATGCCGAGCATATCTGTTTGAATTTGCGACGAACGATCTTAAGTCGCCAGATTGGGCCATGAACGATTCTATAGAACTGGAAAAGGCAAATCTATTTGATGGAATTCTTGCCGACCGTCATGGATCCCGAAATATGACGAAAACATATGGTGCTACCCGCCAACAAACGGACAAATTTCCGACATGCGACCTACACACGACGACACCATGATCTCGATACGCCATGCCCTCAGCCAACTACACCGCGCAATCGTCGAACCAAGCCGCTCGCCAACACCATCCGCACTCACGAATCGTCAACACTAACAATCGTTTTCAGGTCGTCTTCAGGAATACGAGGTCATTGGCCGCCATCTGCCCACCGAGGCCAACCCTACCCCGGCCATGTACCGCATGACCATCTTCGCCCCCAACACCACCGTCGCCAAGTCCCGTTTCTGGTACTTCCTGCGCGGTCTCCGCAAGGTGAAGAAGGCGACGGGCGAGATTGTCTCCGTCAAGGCCATTGCCGAGAAGCACCCCCAGAAGGTCAAGAACTTTGGCATCTGGATCCGCTACGACTCACGCTCCGGCACCCACAACATGTACAAGGAGTACCGCGAGATGAGCCGCACCGACGCCGTCGAGGCTCTGTACTCTGACATGGCCGCCCGCCACCGCGCCCGCTTCAGGTCCATCCACGTACGTTTTTGCTCCGAATGAGGCTGCACTCGCCGGGCGCTGCGGACGAGAACCGCGATGCTAACAATGCCGTAACAGATTCTCCGTGTCGTCGAGATCGAGAAGGCCGACGATGTCAAGCGCCCTTACATCAAGCAGCTCCTCCAGAAGGGCATCAGCTTCCCTCTCCCCCACCGTGTCTCCAAGATTGCTGGCACCAAGATTTTCAGCGCGAGCCGACCTTCCACTTTTGCTTAGAGTATTTTTGGCTTGGAGTGGGTTTTGGCAGGTTTTTGCAGGTGTTTACTACGGATGAAAAAGAATATCAACTGCATTTGCTCGATAATACGGGCATCGGAATGAACCAAAATATCTAAAAACATGTTACAATTATGTTCCACGCTCGTGATGCTTGTGGGGTGAAGTGAAGCCCAGTAAGTGCATTGGTTGGGCGGCCCGGTTCTTTCCTCTGGCACATTGTCACCAATGATGTAAGAATTCATTATTCATAGCCCTCGGTAAGTCGTAGACTCGCTATGTTGACAGCCGCAGTGGGGCAGAACCTATTGAGCCGATGAATACGGCTCGTGAGTCATTCGGTTTAACGCCTTTCAGGAAGCACAGTCTTTTCAAGCTTTCTGGAAACCAATAGTTCCATTGTGTACTCGGCACCCGAACCTTGCACTCTACGAGACATCCCACGTCAAGAAAACTACAAGTCTACCCAGCCGCAAGGCTTGATAGGATCAAGGATGGCAAACACCATGGAGCAAACAGTTATTGACTTGATCAATGTCAAGACGACCCAGACAGCCCCCTACCTCCGCGTCGCCGACCGGCCCGCTCACGAGACGGCGCGCCTCGTGCTCCGATCCTTTACCGCCGCCGACCTCGCCAGCTTCCACGAGCTCCGCACGCAGCCCGAGGTCATGATTTACACGTCGCAAGGCCGTCCCGACGCCTCCCTCGCGGAGACGCAGACCAAGCTCGACCCGTTCCTGTCGCCGCGCGGCGACGACCTCTACGTGCTGGCCGTGGTGGAGCGTGCGACGGGCGCGCTCGTCGGCTCCGTCGGCTCGCATCTGCGGACTGACGAGCTCGGCTGGCCCGCGCTCGGCTACATGCTGCGCAAAGAGGCCTGGGGCAAGGGCTACGCGACCGAGGCGCTCGCGGGCTTCCTCGAGGTGTGGTGGTCGCTGCCGCGCGAGGAGACGGCGCTGGTGGTGGACACGAGCACGGTGCCGGGGCCGGCAAAGGCGGTCGGGGGAGCGGAGGAGGTGACGGTGACGGAGCAAATCGTCGCTATTACGATTGATTCGAATGTGGCGAGCCAGAATGTGCTGCGCAAGTCGGGCTTCAAACTGGTCAAGAAGTGGATCGACACGGAGAATCCGCCGTTGCTACCGTTATGTTTTGCATGGTCTCTTGAGCGACCACAATAGAATGGAATGGCGTAAAGTTATACTGTATGATATTTGCTGGAATTTTTTTTCGTCGTCATTTCGTCGTTCCCAAAGTCCGATAGATTAATGCGAGCAGACTGTTGTCAGGTGCTTATGGCAGGCCACCTTCTCTCTTCGGTGGGCGAGGTTCGGGCTAAATACCTTACCCATTGGCGCGAGGTCTCCAGTTATGACGGCACAGAAGCACTTTGATGCAGGCCATCTCGCAAAAGCCAACTTTACCAATTCAGACACCACTTATCATCTAAAGCCCCTATCAAAGTGCATCAATTAACCTCGGCACGCACAAATAAAAAACTCTTCCAATCCTTGCCACACCGGAGCAGAAGCAACCAAGCCTTCTCCCGTTGCGCTCCATACCCTATAGCCTAGCTCAAGCTCCAAAGTCTCGGCTACTGTTCCGCAACCGACCGAAAAAAGATGCATCTCACCGGACCATCGCTCATCGCCGTCGCCACTGGCATCGTAGGCTCTGCCTGGGCCTCTGGTTAGTTCCCAAATCCCCCCAACTCGCCACGGTCCCTGTCAATCTAACGTTTGCTGCTTTCGCAGGCGCGATTGCCTCGGCTAGCTTCATGGGCGTCGCCGCTGCCATCGACGTACCCGAGACGACGGCGCGCTCGTGGCGGGAGCTGTTCCGCCGGGGCGCCAACCTGATGCCCAAGGTTGCGGCCGGCGTGCTGCTGGCCTACGGCTACGCTGCCTACGACGCGCGGCGCGCGGGCGGCGTCTGGGCCGGGTACGCCGCCGCCGGTGGCTTCGTCGTCTCCATCGTACCGTTTACCATTGTCGTCATGCGCTACACAAACATCTGCCTGCACAAAATCGCCGAGGGCCGTGACGAGGCAAAGACGTGGAATCTGCACGAGCTACTCCAGCGCTGGAACCTGCTCAACCTCACGCGCAGCTGTCTGTGCCTCATCTCAAGCGTGCTCGGCATGGTGACCTTGGTGCAAAACTTGAACTAGGAAAAAACATGTATATTGTATAATCATTTCGCATAAATCGCGGAGAATCTGCGATTAGATAGATAAGACAAAAGGCGTTCATAGCAATTCTCTTCTCGATTTCCTCCTGGCATCCCAGCAAGACCGTTGCCAGTGTTCTGTTTAAAATGGCCAAATAACTTCGTTGCTCAACATTTCTTTCTGAACACACTGTTCACTTATTCTTGTTTGGCTTCTTAGCCGTTCTGTTCTCCTTTTCCTGGAGGGCTTCAAACTCGTCGATGAGGTCCTGACAGTTGGCCAGGTTCTTCTTTGGCTCCCAAGTGTTGTGCTTGGCAGACCAGCCTTTCCACTTCACTCGGTACCAATGGATGTAGGTTTCGGCCTCAATGCGCGCGTCGACAATCTTTTCCACTTCCCAGTTCCCACCGCTCTCTTCCTCCTCATCCTGATCCGCGTCCCTCTCGGGGCTTTCAATGTCATCCTTGACCTGCGCATTTTTGCCGCCTCTGCGCTTCTTGACCGCCGAACGAGGCTCACTTTTGGGGTGTGAGTCCGACATTGCAGTTTGCTGGCGCTTCCTAGCAGATCCCCTGGCCGGAGGCGTATTTTTTTCAGCGCTTTTCTCCTCACTTCCCGTTGCTGACTGAGATTGCGATGGCTTCTTCTCAGGTGTGGACCGGGCGGGTTCATGTTGGCTGCTGCGTCGCTTTGCGCGCGCAATAGACTCTTGGCTTTCCGCTGTTTCCATTGGCTGTTCACGAGGAAGATAAAAGAATCCAGCGTCGTCTCTGCAGGAGTGTCAGAATTCATGTTTTAGAGGCAATTGAGACTTGGAGCATACCGTGGGCTCTCTAAACCATCATCCTCAAAGTCGTCTTCCTCGACACCGTTTGCGCCGAGAAACGGAAGGCGAAATACCATAGCAGACATCTTGAGTCGTTGAGGAGAACAAAACGCGCTCACGTTTGATTAGGAAGCTCCGATAGAGATCGAGTTGTATTTTCTTGGCGCCGCTGCAGATGCACGAAGGTGAAGCAGGTGTGTTGTTAGGAATGGGGGCGCGCAGCCAATGGCGCGCGCGGCGACACCCACTAACAAACGGGTCAGCGCGGGTAGCACCTAGGTAGCTATTAGTGAAACTACCTAGGTAGGTAGTTAAGCATGTAGCTGTACAAAGATGAATTAACTCGTGTGCTCTGAGGCACTTGCAGAGCTTGAATGTACCAAATTGCTCTAAATAATATATAAATCCACAACAAAGCTATTGAATACCACTTCGAACTGTGCATTGCTAGTTCTTGATCATGACGCTGATATATGAATCATTCAATCGAGCTCCTCTACTTCATCGTCTCTGAGTTCACGCAATTTTCCCTCCCGTGCAGCCTGCTCCACAGGATTTTGTACGCTGAGGACGCCGTTCTTCTTGAGTCTGCAGAAAGACAAGGTCAGTTCATTGCGATTGATGGCCAGCAAAGACGCCACACGTACCTCTCAAACAGAACAAAGAGACGCTCGGCCTCTCGCTCCTTTTCCTCCTCGGTCATTGGAGGCAGATCGTCGCGCTCTTCTCTATCAATGAACTGGCCAGTGATGGGGTTCACAGGCCGCTGGCTGCCACCTTCGTCTGTAGCATCGAACGTGGCCTTTGCAGATGCAGGCATTGGCACATTGTTCCGAAAGAGATATCCAGAAGCGTATCCATAGCCGACATTTTCCACAAACTTGGAGGCATCATTGTTCGACATGAGAAAGAAAAGGTGTGAGATGACTGGTCCGAGGTTGGGAGCCAAGGGATCTGTAGAGGTCTTGAGGAGACGGGCTGATAGCGATGAACCTTTTCCCAGCACATTTTGACGATCCTCTGAAGTTGGCAAAAGACCATCGCGAAGCTTCTTCTGAACAGACTCTGGCCCGAGGTTGTATACCTCTAGTAGAAATTTGACTACTGGAGTGACAGTGGCGTCTAAGTCTTGACTGGAGTATTCTTTCATCGCCCTGTCTAGTATCTCGATCAACTTGGAGCCCAGTTTCGTCTCCTCGCCGCTGGGAAACAAGGCTGAATGGGAAGTTTTTACTGCCAGGTCCAAGTAGAGCAGGGAATTGACAAGGGGACCAAATGGTGGATTCAACACCTTTGAGCTCGGCAGTTTACGGTCGCAAAGTATAGAAATGATCTGCGGCACCGAAGGCTCGAATGCCGAGGCTTCCTCTGGGCAGAAATATGTGACATTGTAGAGAAGCTTGAGCGTCTCAGGCAGAGCCATCTCCTCCATTGGCCCAGCAGCGGCCAGGCTACTTGCCGTTTTCAGCTTTGCATGTCGGCCAATATTCGCATTGATACTGGTAGCGAGACCATGCTCTTTGATCAAGGGAGATAGCTTGATTTTGTCGTCGCTGTACGTTGAGAGGAAGAGGATGCGTGAGAGGAGGAACTCATCGTCCCAACTGTCTGTACCGAGTCGTTTGCATGCTTTGGTCGCATATCCGCTGTTGACAAACATTTGCCTGGTTTCGGGTTTGAGCACCATTGAATTGGCAAGAACTCTGAGCGCGCCGCGCGAGGTTTCGCTTGGCGCCTTGTCATTGAAGGCATATGCGAGTAACATGGATATGCCCTGCGCAACGCAACGTATTGCTATGTTAGTTGCGTTTCTTCTCTAATGGCACAGAACACTCTGACCTCTTTCGTAAAGATGGGATCTGCGTTGCGGGGATCGCGGCCATAAATCTTTAGTTCCTCGAGGGCATGATTCCGGTCTGTAGTAGGTTGTCAGATGCCATTCTGGGGATGGGGTCTGACTGGTACCGCGCCGACCTTTTGGGGCCATGGAGAGGCTTCCCATATCCTTGGTCAGCTTGCCAACGAGTTTGCTCACGGCATCGAGCTTTGCTGTATGGAAGAGTATTAGCCTGGAGTTGATCAGGCGCTGCTGGAAAGAGAAGAGAACTTGCCGGAGCCCGTAGCCGCACCGAGAGCTTGCGCCGGCATGGTGCTGCGCCTCTGCGGGAAGACAGTGGCAAGATCGGCAACACAAATGGTCGAGGAGATGCGACAGCACTGTGTCTATATATCCAGCGAGAGGGGCGGTCGGCGCGGAGCCCATGGGGCTGACGGTGTGACCGGCGCTAGAGTTGCAGCGCAGATGTGCGTATGCAGGCGTCGGGCAGGGGGTTTGACGTGCGTGTTGCGTATGTAGATGCGCCCCGAGAATGCTGTCTGCTGAGACAGTTTCAATGCAGCTGTTTCATTAAGGACGGATATGCCTCAAGCCAAGTTTGTTCAAGCAACCAGTAATGAGCAGGAGAAGTTTAGAGGTTGAGAATGTATTCGGCCTTAACCCCACCTACCTACCTACCTAAGGTTAGGTAGGTAGCGATTTTGATAGAGGGGGCGCACTGACGTATCTAACGGCCAGAACGTACTCGGATGGAGATGTCAATTTGGGTCGTAATAGAAGGCTCAGCTGGAAGCGGTGATGGCAATTCTAATTTCTTGAACGGACTAGCTATTTTTTAGGGCACCGTTCCAACCCGTGGCTACCTCGGTACCTGCCACTACATAGAAGTTGCTTAGGTAGGTACCTAAGGTAGGCAGACAAAGTACAGTAACTAAGGTAGCACAGTGGGCTGTACCTAAGGTAGGTACCTACAGAGCTGCCGTGTTGAGACCCGTGTTGCCGTGTTGCCGTGCTGCCGTATTGCAGGCTTGCAGCGGCCAGCGCACAATACCTCTATCTAACTATGTCTCAGCCACAGGCAGCCAAGGTCATGTGGCGCAGCTACCAACCGCTGTTGTAGCACGGGCCAGTGACCGCCATGTCCACACACAAACCACCAAAATAGGTACCTTTCCCAGTGCTCCCCAGCCCGCCACTAGCCTGCCTGTGGTAGGTACCCGCCACCGTGCCGCGCTAGACCCAATTAGACCTCTCCGCCACACGCGTCCAACGTGAACCGTGACCGCGTTTAATGGGTTTCTGCAGAGGGAGAAATTCCATCTTACCGTACCCCATTACCAAGACACAGCTCATAGCTGATATAGTGTTTTGGATTCGCCCTCGACCTCAATTCAGACACTTCTTCGCACTCCCAAGCGTCCATTGGCTTTATCCCTCTCATCACCCTTGACTTCTTGCTTCCCAAGTTGCAGGTACTCTCTAGACGCCGCCAGATGCCCGTCACCCGCCTGTGACACTCCTGGCCCTCTCGCTGTCTAGAACGCCTGTGCTGCCTGGCAGTCATGGCATCTTCAGTCGCCACGGCCGCGGCAACTCACTTCGCCTCGCTATCAGCTCGACCGCCTACACCCCCCCGCGAAACGAACCGCGCTCGCCAGGCAGCCAACGGGTCGGCACCTTCGACCAGATCTGCGCCCTTCGACCCTCGACTAAGCCTCCAGACACCCCCGAATGCCGCCTCCGCATCGTCGGCTATAACTGAACCCAACACTGGCTCTGGTCGGACGAGGAAAAAGGTTGAGTGGTCTGCCCATACACAGTACAAGGAACCTGCCCAACCCACAGAAGGATCCCAGCTGGCCAAGCCTTCACCAACGGCTTCCGCGACACCGTCGTCGGCGTCGAGGCCCATCAAGGGCATTCTCAAACCGTCCCCTTCTCCTAGCCCATTTGCCAATTCTTTGAACGGAGAGGTCATTGGAGACGTGCTTCAAGTCAATATCATCGATATGCTGGACTCGACAATCAAGCAGCTTGCCGGCTCCGACCGTGACTCGAAGCTCGATGCGTACATGATGCTTACACGTGCACTCAAAGCATCCAACAACTTGCCCGATCGTGTTGCTCTCCAGGACAAAATGAGCTTGTTTATGCAGTTCATTCAGCGCGATATCACGGCCAAGAATGTCAACGACACACCCGATACTTCGCTCATCAACCACGCCCTTGGTCTCGTCGCCACCTTCCTACACTTCCCCGCCATCGCCTCGACACTGACCTCGGATTTTGGAATATTCATCATTGACCACGCTGTTCGTAGCTTCGAAGATGCCTCAACACCGAAAAAGGACGTCATCCGTCATATGATGCAGGTGGTGGCCTTCCAAAACTTCCCACCGAAGGTCATGACCTCTGACCGTGTTGGACGTCTGATTACCTCATTACACAAGATTGAAAACCACCTTACTGGGAAGAGCATCATAATGAGCAGAATACACATTTACAAGCGTCTCATCAAACAAGCGCCAAAACACATGAGTGTATATTCTGACTGGCTACAAGACATGTTTACAGACATGCTCAGTAATGTCAAAGACATTAGATCACAGGCAATTAGTCTTGGCAATGAAGCTGGGTTCAGCTTACGATCCGATAAACTGTTGATGCGAAGAGCGACCGAGATCCTGCAAGCGAATAGCGAAGATGAGGCGTACATTCAGTTCTACATCTCAAGACTAGAGGAGATGATCAAGGATATACAAACATCATCCGCTGTCCCACAAATATGGAGTGTCGTCAACTTGTTTCTCAAATGTCCTCTCGAGAAATGGCAATACTACGCTCCATGGTTGACCCTCGTGCAGTCGGCATTCAACATGCCGGATAGCTTGACGAAACAGGAGGCCAACTTTGCCTGGAACAGGTACATCTACCTGTCTCTTACTGACAGCAAAGTTTCCCCCAAAGTGCTTGGAACGCTTTGCCAGCCACTCTCCAGTCAACTTCGACGAAAAAACCTTCTAAGGCAGCGTGAAGGAGCCACCAAGTTGAAACGCATTGTTCTAGGTGGAGTTTGCAATCTCTATTACTATGCTCTTGCTCCAGGAAACGACAAATATCCCGCCGATATTATATGGAATTTCACCATGCTTCCGATCATGAACTTGCTCATCAGTATTGATGACAGTCCTTGGATTCTAGCTGACAGTGTCATGCAAGCATCACATCTCCTTGTCGGCTTACTGGATATTGCGACACCCCGAGTCTGGAGACATGACCGTATAATGGACCTCCCTCCGGCCAAGGCCGATGAACTACCACCCCTCGACTCGAAATGGGTACGAAGGAACTGTGAAAAAGTGCTTCGGCCCGTGAGCGCAATCCTCGAAAAGAAATTCCTCGACTTGGCTAATAAAGAGAGCTTGGCATACCGACTCTGGCAGGTACTTGTTGGCTCAATTGCCTCAGCCTCTGCTAAGGATATTAAGGTGTCAGACGACACTGCCAAGTTCATTGCCTGCATTTTCAGCTTCATTGCAAAGACTTGGTCAACGGGTGTGCGAGGAGCAGACCAGACAACCAATGGGAAGTTTTTGGGGGCTATGGAGAATCTCGTTGCAATCCTCGTACAAGGATTGAGTGTACTGCCTTTCATGGAGAAGAAGCTGTCAATGACGTCAAACTCATTCGAATCCATGTTGACGCCATCTCATCGCAACGATCAACCTGATAGTACACAAGGTGTATCGCGAACTCCGGTTCTACATCTTTTCCACATGTTCTCTTCACTCCCTCCCGGCGTCAAGGACGACGAAGCATTCAGCACATTTTTCTCTGCGATATTCCAGCCCTTCTTCAAAGACCGACCTCGCAAAGCTAGCCTCGAACTCGCCAGAGAACTACTGCAACAGCTTCCTCGAAACTCAGGGACTCCATCTGCGCCCTGGATACTTGCCTCGCAGAACCTAACTCCGCTTCTTAGCGGCTCCTCGGATGTACCGACCTCCAGTATCTCTAGCAGCGAGCACCTTCTTGGTCCAGTGTACCGTGAACTTGTTTCTCTGCTAGACAGAGGGCTCATGTCGCATCCAAACTTGCCATTCGTTCAATGGAAGTCGCTTTTTAGTAAACTTTGCGAACACACGAAGTCCCAAACTGGAGACGCTGGCCTTGCTTTGGCCGTTGTTGAACCGCTGGCCAAAGCTCTGACCGACTCTGTACTTCTCAAGACATGTTCACTTCAGCCGCAACAGCCAGGCATCGCTTTTCAGGCCGTGTCGGCTCTCTTTGACGTTGCGCATATGCCACGAGATGCCCACGCCGTGGAAGCTGCTCGGCGCAGAATGTGGGGAACGGCTTTAACGATAGCCAAGAGCAACTCAGCTGATCTTTATGGGCATCTTTACAAGCTAGGAAACAACTGCCTCGACTGGCTCTACTCATCATCTGCCGGGGCCTTGCGAGGTGAGAATACCATTCGACTTCTTCAGTCTGTCACTGGATTCTTGACTCGCTCAGGTGCTGCTCAAGGGCTCAAGCTTCTGAATAAGCTACAACAAGGCATCTGCGTTTGGATTCTGGATAGAGACTCACTTCTCGGACTCGAGGGAAGTGAAGCCGTCCTCGAAGCTGTGCAAAATCTTTGGGACCAGGCTTGCGCTATCATTACTGGCAACGGCTCGCTGAGCAAGGCTCAATTCGATGATGCCGAGACGCTCTTGAAAACGGCTTTCATGAGCAAGCAAACATATATTGTCCAGAAGGCCGCAGATGCATGGAACAAACTCGTTAAGGACGAGGATAGCGTGAATTGTTCGGACAGTCTCAAATCTGTTGTGTCTTCGTTGCGCCTCAAGCTGGATATTACACTCCCGGGCTCAGAAGCTGAGGGTTTCGGCGCCCAATCCGGCCGCGGTAGAGATGACATTAGTTTTGTTGCTCTCTCCTCAATGTCATCTCACCAAGACGGACAGCAAGGGCCGAATAGCACGGCCGGCTCCTCTACACCCTCTCTACGAAGAACCTCTTCAAGGAAGCGTCGTTCTGAGGTTGTGCCCGAACCTACCAAGTCCAAGCGATCGAGGCTGTCAGCCACGCCAAAACGCCTGCGACACGACGACTCCCAAATTACTTTTGCCCCCATTGCGTCTTCATCCCCTGTCGTAGAAGAATCGCAGCATCTTACTGAACGACAAAAACAAGTTCGCGAACGCCAGCGCGAGGAAACCAATCTCTACCCCGAACTGCAGAACCCGTCTGCCGGCGCGTCAGGGGACGAGAAGAAGACGGGCACACCCCAAGCCAAAACAAATTCGAAGCAGAAGGGCACACCGCAAAGGGAAGAAAAGTATGGCAAACATATCACATCTACACCCACCCCGAGACGTGGTCAAGTCATCCAACTTGATGATTTCAACGATCCCCCATCATCCCCCCCACTGCCACGGCCATGTCCTCTACTATCAGAGCTCAAGTCTCGATCGAGGTTGGACAAGTCCATGGAAACATGGGAATTTTCATCGCCGCCTGGATCTCCGGCTGCCAACGAAACCGGTAGCGCAGTGTCTGAAACGTACACCAATGCTTTGTCCGAGCTTCAACAACCAGCTGTTGGCATGGTGACTAGAAGTCGCCGCCGCGGGAGTGTCATGCAGGATGAGCCAATCAAGGTGATTCCATCCAGCATTGACGTGGAGGACAAAGATGAAGAAGACGCAAAACGCGAACCCAGAGACCACCGGAAAGCCCGCTCTCGAAGCGAGAAGTCGCGCAGTTCAGATTCTGCGTCAGCACACCAACTCGCCACGGAAATAAGCCCCGAAAAACCCAAATCGAAGCGGGCGCAGCAAGAAGCAGAGCCTATAGAAGAGCTCGCCTCGGGCGAGGCCACTGGTGTCAGCAAGCCATCTCGGACACGCAAGTCGTTGCGCGGTAAGGCTGCAGCAACCGAGTCAGCCAGGAACATGACACTAGAGATTGCCACTCCTAGCTCACCGCCTGAGGACTTGCGTATCCTAATACCTTCTTCGCCTGTTGTGCCGTCTACACCCGCTGACCAGGCGGAGAACGATCCGACCAGCGAGTCAAAGAAGCGCAAGCGGAAGCGGTCCAAGAACTCCAGCGCCGGCAGTACGCTCACAAAGCGAGCAACTAGGTTCGAGCCTGATTCTGACCCTGAGTCGGTCGTTCAAGACAGCAACATGCCGGCTGCTGAGGACGAGTTGGAAGAGCCACAATCGCTGCCAGAGCTGAAAAACACAGAAGAGAAGGACTCTACATCAAAGGACAACCGAAAGAGGGCAAAACAGCAGCACGGGCCTGCTGAGATATCACCTCTGAAGCGCCGCACTCGCAGCCGAAGCAGAGCCAGAAACAAGCGCAAGAGCAGCGTGCCTAAGCCCTCCAAGGAAGGCGTAGACACGGATGAGGAAATCATGTCGCAACTCGTGACCGAGGCAACCGCTGCTACTGTCAGCCAGCTAAAGACAAAGGACGCCGAGATACTGAATGTACCATCGGAGGCTCCTGAAGCGACTAACAAGCCGGTCCTCATACAAACAAGCGGGTCTTCCATAATGGATACGCTTCGGAAGGGGCTTGCCCAGCTCCGCACGACGACGCTGTCCCGCGACGAGGTGGAAAAGATGGAAGAGATGATTCTGGACATTAAGCGCGAGACATATGAGGCAGAATATCGTGGAAGAAGGAGCGAGTGAAGAACTCTGCTCGATTAATGAAACAAATGCAGACAATCTCGACGAAACAACACCAATACCAACACAAAAAGAACAAAGAGACCGAAAACAGCTCAAGTTCTTTTCTTCATCACCTCAAATTGTATATTTCATGCATCATTGGCGTCAAAACACGGTAGCAAGGGTTTACGGTTTGGCTACGGAACGTGACAAAGCAAGCAAGGGGCACGAGACAGAACGGAAGTCAACTGTGCCAAGCGGTCTTTTTTTTCGAAGACATTTAATCTTTGTTTCTTCTATTACTTTTATGATTCTCGCTTTTGGGTACTGCATTTTGTTAACGCAGGGACACAAGGTTCCAAGCTTCATTTTGGCCATGTTGGTTTTGTATCCGGGGCCTTTGTTGCCCTCTGCACGGCAGAGAATCCAGGAAAACGACGTATATATGTGTCTGTGGAAAGGCGAACATGGATGAGTACATTTACACATTAACACAGCAAATGAATCATATTCTGACAAGAAGCTGCCTTGACTATGCCTTTGCATGTGCCTCTCTTAGTAGCATCGCTGCCTGTCTGAGCATTCGCTGATGTATTGAGTGCGCTGTCAGCCTCAGTTCGGTTTCGTTCTGTCTCGCGGCTGGCTTCACCTCCACTGCTCACCCGCCACAAAGCGCGAACAATAATGCAGGTATATCGGTGCACAAATGGCCGAGGGTAACGCATCACTGATCAATCCATCGACACGTCGCTAGAGGCAAGTTGTTGCACTAGAGAACCAGCTGATGACCAGCCAGATCAGCACTGCATGAGCCTGCCTACTTGCATCACGATGCGACAGGGTGCTGGCACAAGGCTCTCTACCAATGTTAAACGAACGATTTACATATCCACCAACAGCTGGTTACAGCCCCCAGGCAGGCCTTGCACCATCCTGAACGGTGAGGCTGCACCGTTCAGAATTTTCCTTTTGCTCAATTTTCTTCCCTCGGGCAGCGCTGATCCAGGAACGCGCCGAGGTCATTCCGTTTAATATCCCTGGCTCAATGGGGACTCCGTTATGGTGGGTGGAGAGTGGAGCACTAAAAATGGTGGCTTACCCTCATTGCGCAGAACTGTTTTCGGGTTGCCGTATTTGGGTTGACCCGAGACATGTGCGCCTGGTTGGCCAGGAGCCCGTGAATCAAATGTGCCGTCCGTTTTTTTTTTTTTTTTTTCAAATTTCCAGCAGGAACGCAGTCGACTGCATGCATTAGCAAAGTTTGCTGGTTGAGTTTCTAAACGTCGAGAAGAACACGAAGAAAGGCCCACCCAGAGCTCAGTCCAGTAAACTTTCGAATTGAGCCGCCTGTGCATCTTCTTCAAGCCCGATCTTATTACTGGAGCGGTGAGCAGGCATTCTTGTTTCAAGTTAGCTTGCTTGTGAGTCAATAATTTTTCTTTATCGTGTCTCGCAAACCCGGAAGCTGATCCTCAGCTGATGCCCCATTAGCATTGTAAAGGTAAAAGCAAAAATCGGACAACGAGATGCGACAGGAATGACGTACGGAGCGTAAGTACAAGTCGGTTGATTGGTGATTGCCAACAAACAGTCGCCAAGACGCTGCTCTGTATTATTTTTTCCCCACCAATCCACCAGCGTATTGCGTATTTACGGGCTCAATTGAAGTTTCAAGTGCATATGATCCGCTGACGTCATAGTCATCAAATGAACCCTTACCACACGCACACCAAAGTAGTGTGGGCAAGTGTGGTTCTGTGGGAACGCCGTGGGCATCTCGCTGCAGCTGCATGATTCAGGTGACCGTTTTGTAGGAATAGAGAGCAATGACGGATTATTGCTACTACATACGTACCTACTGATTTGACAGCGCATGTTTGTCTCGAGGGTGCGGCGTGGGGTCCATTCTCGATGTGGCGTAACGCCGCCCGCCGCCTCTGTATTTGCCTCGCAGGCTGCTTCTGGTTCTGGCAGTGATCCATCTGAACATGAGGCTTTCTCTAGTTATGTTTGATGGTGCGCCCAAGGCTTGCCTCTCAGGCTCGGATCACTCGATCGGGGAAAAAGGCCACGGGCGCAAAGCCGGGGGTGGCAGCACGAGGCGATGTCGAGACATCCGGGGAGAAAATTGGGCAAGATTGGACGACCCCGGATTCCCCGCCCGTCGCAGTCGTCGTGCTTATTAGGTAGCTAGTGTTGCATTGCGGTGCGGGATTGAGGTTGCATTGTGATGAGCATGTTCAGTGGGCAACTGGGCAGCTGGCAGCTGGCAGCTGCCAATCGTCATGCACAAACGGAAACATCAAGATGCTGTTTCTCTTTGCCATCATACTCTCTCCAGCATTTGCATTCACTAGAGGCTGAATTCTACAACCGCCGCTTTGAACTTGATCTCTTATTAGTGATCGTCGTCGTCTAGTTTCAGCCACCATGCAGACACTAAGATTTCTGTTGAGACAGAACGCCTCATCATCGCCGAGCTTTGCCCAGCCCGACTATGTTGCAGCCATGGCTTGTCAGCGCCTGTCATGCGTGGAGAATATCTGGCGTAGATCTCTGGGCATTTCGATCAATCGAACTGCGCCCTTGGCAAATTCGACCTCATGAACAAAACAGCCAAACAAGCAGTCAAACGCTGCGCAGAAACATCGCCATGCGAGGCAGCCAACACAGTCAAGTCAGGGGTCACTACAGACCCAAGAGCCCGTGGTAGTCTCTGTTTGTCTGCACGGGATGGGTTGCATTGCCTGATAGCACCCCTGCGCCAATGGTTCAATGCTAGCGCCTTCATCAGTGAAATGTTGACGTCCGCCTCAACCAACCGGGAAGGACGGCTCAAAGGGTAATTTCCCTATTCATCATCACCAAGGCCACATTTGGCGCCTTATTCTTCTGGACAAACGTGACAACCTCTCCACATGCTTTTTCCTCGACAGCGACGTTGTTACCTTTACTGGAGCGGCCCGGCGGCCAACATACATACAAACCGCATTGCAACCTCGACAAGAAGGCTGTATTGTCCCAGTTTTCCTCATCTTGCTTGCCTGGTGCCTGCCCACACGTCCACTTCTTCCCCATTGTTTTTCGTGGTCGCCAGTTGTTGTGTGCGAAAATGAAAATTTGGGTTGTCAAAGGACCAGAACAATGACGTCGTGCGAATATTCCACAAGCCCAGCAGGCGGCTTTTAGCACTTTGCAAGAGGCTACCGCCAGATCATCCACCCAACACGCGATTCGCACGAGTAGATATGCCGACTCGCCGACGAGGCAAACCTCCGTGTCTACCAAACAAAACAATCAGATGCCCGCCAGATTGTGTGAGAGAAGCGGAAGTCTCTTCTTTGCCGACAGGTATGTAAGCCAACTGTCCTGGTATGGCTGTCTGAGACATGAGCCGCCAACCGGAACTGCTATTATGTTTACTTCCGCTTTGAGCATGCCGGCGTGGCTTGCTGTAGCGCTGGCTCTGTGTGATCGCGGATAGAGCAACGACACACGGCAACTTAGGAAACTATTCGCGTTGACGATGCAGGGCGAATTTTACTTAATGCGCGACTGCCCAACACAGTCACTATAGCCCACCGCCGCAGGCGTCGCATATCCACATCCAAAGGGGCCGCCGCATCACTTTATTACTGGATGGTGGTACAAGAAAACAATGCTGGACAGAGGCACAGAGGCTCTCGTTCATACGCAGACAGAAAACTAGTGGCTGTCTCTCTCCACCTCACCCACCATCCCCGTCCCTGGGCGCCGGGGGGCGGCAACTGCTTGTGGGGGGTTCAGTGGGACGACAGTCAGTTAGCATGCACATACGGCTTTGGGATTCGGAAACAACGTGCGCTCTGGCAATGCCTAGTTTGCTCAATGTAACTTTATAAGTAGCCTTCCTCCCCGGTCGGCCTGCCTCCCCGTCGCAGTCCAGGACCCTCTTCTTCACCGTCTGACTTATAACTCGGCACTGGTTCCTCTCGTCTAGGCGAGCTACGCGGGAGAAAGTGACATTGTTTCGCCAGTCTGCCAATTTAAAGCCCTTCTTTGTTCCACCCAAGCCACCTGAGCAGGTGCACTTCGCAAAGATGGCGCGAAAGACGTATATGGGTATGAGCGGCCATACCCTTAACTGGGCAATTAGCACGATTGCAGGATGTGATTTTCTGCTATTTGGTTATGGTAAGTCTCTCTGCAGCAGCCGCCGCTGTCTGGACGCGACTCGTACTAACATTGTTCACAGACCAGGGTGTCATGGGCGGTATTCTGACGCTTCCCATTTTTCTCGAGCAATTCCCTGAGATCAACGACCTTGCCGATACCCCTCATATGGATCAGCTTCCCGGTACTAGATCGCAGCGCAGCTTGAACCAAGGTATCGCTATCGCCTCCTATAACCTGGGATGTTTTCTCGGCGCAGTCATCACCATTTTTATCGGAAACCCTCTTGGTCGTCGCCGCATGATCTTCCTCGGTACCGCCATCATGACCATAGGCGCAGCTCTCCAGGCCTCTGCATTCACTCTCGAGCACTTCATCATCGGTCGCATCATTACTGGCATTGGCAACGGCGGCAACACCTCAACTGTTCCCATGTGGCAATCGGAGACCTGCTCATCGCACAAGCGTGGTAAGCTAGTCATGATTGAGGGTGCTCTGATTACTTTTGGTATCATGCTCTCCTATTGGATTGATCTAGGCCTCTCCTTTACCCATAGCTCCGTATCTTGGCGATTCCCTCTGGCCTTTCAGCTGGTATTCTGCGTCTTCATTCTCGCGTTCGTGCTGGGTCTTCCAGAATCCCCTCGTTGGTTGATTCTGAAGGGTAACGAAGAAGAAGCTCGATTTGTTATCGCAGCCATCGCTGACAAGGATGTTGAAGATCCTTATGTTGAAAATGAGTTTCGTGCCATCAAAGATACCGCTGAAAAGAGCAGTGGCGGCTACGCTGAGGTTTTCCACATGGACCAGAATCGTACTCTGCACCGTACCATCCTAGGTTATGTCAACCAAATGTTCCAGCAAATCTCTGGTATCAACCTCATCACCTACTACGCCGCCAAGATTTACGCCGACCTCGGCATGAGTCCATTTCTTGCTCGTTTGCTGGCTGCCCTGAACGGTACCGAGTACTTCATTGCTTCATGGCCCGCCGTCTTCCTCGTGGAGCGAGTTGGACGCCGCAAGCTGATGCTTTTTGGTGCTGTCGGCCAGGCATGCACAATGGCTATTTTAGCCGGTGTCAACTCGCACAAGACTGATGCTACTCGAATTGCCGGCGTCGTATTCCTGTTTGTCTTCAACACTTTCTTTGCTATCGGCTGGCTTGGTATGACTTGGCTGTACCCTGCCGAAATTACTCCCCTCCGTACCCGTGCGCCCGCCAACGCCCTGTCGACGTCTGCCAATTGGATCTTCAACTTTATGGTTGTCATGATCACCCCGGTCTCCTTCACCAACATCGACTACCACACTTACACCATCTTCGCCGTCATCAACGCCATTATGGTGCCTTCGGTATACTTCTTCTTCCCCGAGACTGCCTACCGCTCGCTCGAAGAAATGGACAGCATCTTCCGCAAGGTCACGGGCCTCAGAGGTGCGTTGGATGTTGTCAAGGTCGCTCGCGAGACGCCTCACCGCTATGGCAAGAACGGCGAACTACTCATTGCTTTCGAGGAGTCTACCGAGAAGGCAGAGGCCGAGCACACCAGCGGCAGCCTGAGCGACAACAACGCCAACCACGCCAACAACACGATGTTTACCAAGCTGGACGAGGAGACATCACGCCCTCAGGAAAGGTAAATTCTGTGCTCATGACGACGTCACAGTCTGCTTGCACGGCCAAGCGACAGTTATTCCTTGAATTCCACGGTTTTTGTTATAGATATACCCTGTTTTTCTCGTCCAATTTTTTACAATACAGGCTTGCCACATGGGACTGAGCCAGTTGCACTTTGTAAAGGCCGCGTCTTCGGATTCCTTTTGGGTCGGAGTAAATACATAGTCTGGATACGTCCAATCTTCTCCATTTTCACTCGACTTTTGCTTTTGAATTGCGTTGTGCCTGATGAAGCGATACTATGTATGCAACCAAGATTGTATATTGGCAATCGGAAGGATGCCAAAAAAAGGAGCGGTGGTCGGGCCCTGGGGCATGGCACTACGCAGGTTCAATCCAAGACCAGATATCGCGGTGTCGTGCGGCTCCAGAGCTCATTGCCACTTATCTGGTACTCCAAGCCCTTCAGGTAGAGCATAGCCCCCTTGGAAATGTCCGCTGGCACAAACGGCACCGAACACAGGCGCTCGTGCTTTACCTCCCATTCTCGCACCATGGTCCACAGGCAGGCTTTCGTCGCTTCGACGTCGAGGCCAAGACTCGCCGACAAGATTTGCACGCCGTTGCACAAACGCGCGCCTTCTTCGGCCGTGCTCCGAGACTGTCTGAGCTCCCTTTCCCAGCTGCAAATGTCACTGACAATGGACATGTGCTTAGAGCAGTTTTCCTCGACGGGCTTCATGACGAGCAGCTCGTCTGCGGTCAGGTGCAGATCCATGGCGAAGCGCATCACGGCTGAGAGAAAACTACAGGCAAAGGGAAAAAAAGGGAGAAGAGAGAATCAGTGAGGCTTTCACTTGTCGATGGAAAATCCAGGATTGTTAAAAGACTGACCATTTCCCAAAATCTCTTTCGCGGTAGCGCAAGTATTGCCCGAAGTCGGCCATGTCTTTGCGTGCCTTGTCGGTCTGGGCACGCATGAGAACAAACATGGACTCCAGAATCTCATGTGCCAGATCTGCGTCAAGAGAGCGCATATCCTGCCACACTTCATCAAACATGATTTCAACGGGAACTGTACCTGTTGATCCAGCAAAAAAGGTCAGAAGCAATGGTGGATGGTTTCGGGGAGCAGAACCTACGGTTGGGCGAGGCCTCTCCCCCGCGCAATTTGCACCAGCTTTTCATTATAAGCTTGTTGTGTATAGACATCTGGCCCGCCAATGCACAGAGGAGCAACAGTTGTCGATTACACGCAGAAGCGGAATATAAGGAAAAGCGAGCAGCTTTATGTAATTTTCTCAAAGCAGCCAATTATATATCATAGCTCATGCAACAAAAACCCATTGTTATGCATCATACAGCCGCACAGTCTTAACCATAGTACGCTCCATTAATCAATCAAGCAGAAACGGCAAGTGTTCCGTCTCCAAGCGTTTTGCAATGGGCTTCTTGAAATTTAGCCAGCAATAGTAATAAAAAGCATCTGACTGAGCTGATGATGAGACATGAACCGATTGGCCGGACTGTGCCAGCCAGGCCGTAATCAGCTGCATTTTTTTTATAATTACATTCAGGCAGGGAGGGAGGGAGGGAGGGGCATCTCCGCCCGAATCGGAGGCAACCGAGGGTGAACTGGTGTGGTGACTAGATCTTTATGATATCAGATGCGCCGTTTCTTTGATCTGTCAGCTCTGCGCTTTCGGATGATGCGTCAAACCGTTCGAATCGTCCAGTCTACAAAACTGGCACTCGGGAACCAAAGCCAGATGATGCCTCGCTCTCGTGAGGATCCGACCAGGATCCGACTTTGCTGCTTTGCGTGCTAGCCACTTTTATTTCGAAAATGCAGGAGGGGCCAAAATGAGGCAGTGGAGTTGGTTTGTCAATTTCTGCTCCATCTCGGGAGGCGGGTTCGTTCGGCGCTCGAGCCAAAGACGGCGGGCGGGTGGGTGGTGAGTGGATGAGCTGTTGGTAGATCAGCCATCGGAATCGTGCAAGAACTGCGATTGTTGTAGTTGACTCGTCGCGAATAAACTTGGTAGGCCGAGAGTAAAGTGAATGAGCTAGATGAATACCTCACCCTCCCAAATGCTGAAGCTGCATATAATGAGAATGCCGGATAAAAGTCATGGGACAGGGGATTCTATTTATGCATAGATAGGTGGCTTTTATTATCAAGTCTTTCGATTTCTTGGTGGGGGCGCCTTTCGGAAGGTAGGTATCAAGGCGCTTTGGCTGGCAAGTCTGCTGTAGAGAAGTGCCTGGCAAACCTGCTCATGTAAATTGGGATTAGAAAGGAGATTGAATGACTGGTAATTGATTTAGTGTAGGACGAACTTGTTTAATACATCTCTCTCTTCCCTTATAGGAAACGAGCTATCAAGTCAGCCAATGGAAGCGCGTTGCATGCCAACTGCCCAACTACCAATGTTTGGTTCGTGAAAACTCTTATCAAGTAGCAGAGTATAGAATAGAATACGTAAAAGTATCTTGCTTGAAAAGCTTGAAAAAGCAACTCGACTTTTGCACGTACAGTGTAGAAAGGGGGATTTACCTCTGTCGCAACAACTCCGCATTGACAAGCTTTCAGATTACCCCTCACCCCCACCAAAGCTTCACCAAGAAGCTCTCTCTGCTCCGTTTGTCGCTCCTCCACGGCGTCATCCCATCACTGACCATCAGCCTTGTGCCATATAAATACATCGCGTGTTTCAAGCACAGCATCCTCATTGCTGCACATCTATCTATATTTACGCAGGAAAATACCCCGCCATACTTTTATCGGGAAAACAACAAACACCAGCGCGCAACGCCTTGACCGAATTCCAGCAAGCAAAAGCAACCGTTCATCCCGGCGACCCCGCCGCTCGAAACCGTGGTAGCCCGCCGAGTCCAACAACCCCTCCTCCTAACTAGCCCGCGCGCGATTCTTCTCTTGGCTCATCCATTTACTCTTCCCCATTACCGATCTTTTTTCATTCTTCCTCATTTTCCTCCTCCTTTCTTTCCTTTTTCTTTTGCCATACAGAAGAAATCCTTTTTCCTTTCCATCTTTCCTCTGTTTTTTTTTTTTCACTCCCCCCCACACAACACACAAACCCCCTCAATCATAATGGACAGACCAAACAAGCCCTCGGCGCTCGCCACCACTCCGGGCCTACCGCCGCAGGCCTCCGTCACCATCTCGCACGGCAACGAGCGCGTCGCCGCCGAGCTGCCAACGGGCGAGTCCGTCGTCGTCCTGCTGCACGGCGCCACTGTGCTGAGCTGGAAGGACGCCGCCGGCGACGAGAAGCTGTGGTTGAGCGAGGCGGCCAAGCTCGACGGCACCAAGGCGGTGCGTGGCGGCATCCCGCTCGTCTTTCCGGTGAGTTACAGTAAAAGATGAGGAGAGAAAACTTGCAGTTTTTTTTTTTCTAAAAGAAAGGAGGTGGGGGGATAAAGGATAGAAGACTAAAAATAATCATGTCTGGAAATAGGTCTTTGGCGCGGGCAGCAACGGCGAAAAAACAAAAAAACTGCCCCAGCACGGCTTCGCGCGCAACTCGCGATGGGAGTTTCTCGGCAAGTCGACCAGCGAGGGCGACAGCTCCAACGTCAAGCTCGACTTTGGCCTCTCGTCCGAGTCGCTCGCCGACGAGTACAAGCAGGCCTGGCCCTACCGCTTCGGCCTGCTTTACAGCGTCACCCTCACCCGCGAAAGCCTCACCACCACCATTGTCATTACAAACGACGGCGACGAACCCTTTGAGTTTCAGACGCTCCTGCACTCGTATTTCCGCGTCAAGGTGAGCGCAGCCCACATATCCATTTTCCCCCATACATTCTATCATGCTTCCTTGTCCCCCCCCCCTGCTCCTCGCATGACTTGGACTGACACGCATCAACTATTTTTCTCAGGATATTGCGCAAGTCTCCATTGACGGCTTCGAAAACGCACCCTACGTCGATCAGCTCGCCGGCATGGCCGCCAAGACGCAGGCCGGCCCCATCACCGTTGATGGCGAGCTCGACAGCATATACACGCCCGTCGGCGGGCCCAAGCAGTCCATTACGCTCCGCGAGGGCAGCGACACGCGTCTGCGCATCGTCCGCGACAACCTCGACGACGTTGTTGTTTGGAACCCGCACGTCGACAAGGCGGCCGGCATGGCGGACTTTGCGCCCAAGGACGGCTGGAAGAAGATGGTCTGCATCGAGGCCGGCAGCGTGCGCGGCTGGCAAAAGCTCGACAAGGGCGACGCCTTTGAGGGCGCCCAGACAATTCATCTGTAAAAAAAAAAGCAGAGAGCAGAGAGGGGCGAGCAAGTAGGATAGCAGATGGCCGGCATGCTGAAATTTTAATTGAGCACGACATGACTATTGAAATTGCCCAAAACGGACTACAAGACACCAACTGACCTCGCAAGCAAAGTAATGAACTAAAGAAAGAAGAATCTCTGTTGATTTTCCATGCCATTCATATCCTGTCGTTCCGTGATAGATTCATCCTCATACCCCATCCCCCATCTTCTCATATGATGCCTTTTTTGGATAGCAATCAAGTCATGCGACTCAATAATGTTACTATTTGGGACATGGTGTCGACACCTTTTGTACTTGTCCATCTCTTGCTCCGCCCAGTCGCGGCTCCATCTATATACAAAACAACCTCGTAGACACACAAGCAATGACAGGTGCTGCAGCAAATGACCAGCTCTAGTTCTTCCTACCCTCTCTGGAAAAGTGATCAGCGACTAGAAAAGCCAGCTCCAGGGCCTGCTTCTCGTTCAACCGGGGGTCGCAAAACGAAGTATAGTTGGTAGACAGGTCGTCCTCGTCGAGGCCCTCGCTACCACCCAGGCACTCTGTGACGGCGTCGCCCGTCAGCTCCAGGTGCATGCCGCCCAAGTAGCTGCCCTGCTCCTTGTGGATGCGAAGCGACTCTTGGAGCTCCTTGTAAATGTCGTTGAAGCGGCGCGTCTTGATGCCCGTTCCGGTCGACAGGGTGTTGCCGTGCATGGGGTCGCATTGCCAGACCACGCACCGGCGGTATTCAGAGTCCTCGACAGCGCGAATGTGCTTGGGCAGGAGATCGGCAACCTTGCTGGCGCCGTAGCGAGTGATGAGGGTAATCTTGCCAGCTTCGCGTTGGGGGTTGAGAGTGCGCAGCAGAGCCAAAAGATCGTCGGTCGGAGTGCTGGGCCCAACCTTGATGCCAATGGGGTTGGCAATGCCTCTAAAGAACTCAACGTGGGCATGATCGAGCTGTCTTGTGCGGTCACCAATCCACAGGAAATGGGCTGATGTGTCGTAGTATTCCTGCGTGTTGGAGGAGCTGGGTTCTGCGGCCCCAAGGCGTGGCGAGCGAGTCAGGGGCGTCGCAATTCTGCTGCCGCCGGGCGAGTGTGAAGCGGGCTTCCGCAGATGGCGGGTCAGAGCCTCCTCATATTCAAGGAGCAGGCCCTCGTGGGAAGTGAAAATGTCGACAGTCTCTAGTTCATCCGGACGAGCATTGATGACGTGAAGGAAGCGCAGGGTCTGCTGGATGCTTCTAGCAATCTCAGAGTACTTTTCCTTCAGAACCGGATCACGAACATGTCCCAGGCCCCAGTCAAAAGGATGGCGCAGGTCAGCAATACCAGATGCAATTGCGGAGCGAATAAAGTTGAGTGTAGCCGCCGAGTGGTGATAAGCCCTGGGGTAGCATGTTAGCTTGATGATGCCGACGCAAGACTGCGGATGTGTCGAACTCACTTGAGAAGGCGACTAGGGTCAATCTCGCGCTCATCCTCGTGGTACCCGTTGAGAATGTCCCCGCGGAAGCTGGGCATCTCCTTGCCATTGACAATCTCGGTAGGGCTGGACCGGGGTTTGGCGTACTGGCCAGCCATGCGACCGATGCGGACCACGCGCTTATTGGTGCCCCAGATGAGAACTACGCTCATCTGCAGCAGCAGCTTAATCTTGGACTCAATGGCATCCTGCTGGCAGTAGTCAAACAGCTCGGCGCAGTCGCCGCCTTGCAGCAGAAAGGCGTTGCCCTCGGCCACGTCGCGCAGGTGAGCTTTGAGCGAGTTGATCTCGGACGGATGCACCAGAGGCGGCATGCGGCCGAGCTCCGCGACCGACTTTTTCAACTTGGCCTCATCGGGGTAGGCGGGAGACTGCTTGATCGGTTTTGAGCGCCAAGTATTGGGCGTCCAGCCAGCGGCAGGGACGTCGTCGAGAGGTGCGGGGAGTTTTGGTGAAGAAGTCATTGTGGTTGATGAAAAAAGAAAACAAAGGACTGGAGTGTGTCAGGCACGGGAAGAATGAGATGAGTGAGATGTGTGCCTTTTGTTGTCTTGGGCCGGTTGCGCGTTGAGGCGTTGTGTTTTGCCAATGCTGCAGAGTGACTCAGAAGTATCTCAGTCGGCTTAAGACGCACCGGAGGTGTGGCCTGATGCAAGATGGCTAGCCAGGGAGATATGAAGCTATAAGATGCGCAGTGCCCAAGGGTATCCAAAAAATAAATTACCTCGTACGGATTGACTGCAACTGAGCCAAGTGTATCGCAGAACAAAGAGTGGTGAGTAAAGCAGCTGAATGACTCCTTCACGAGCTGTTTCCTGAGCTGGCACTCGCAGACCCTGCCATTTTTTTTCTTTTCGGCATAGTCCCGAGAACGGCCAATCAAGATTACGTGAACGTACTGTGCCGATTTGCTGTCAGCACTGTGCAACAACATAAGGTTGCTCAATATTATCGACTTTGAGCATCAGCAAATTTTCTCAAACGAGATCTTTTTTTTTAAATCAATTTAAGTCCTTCTACAAGGCCGTGCAGTTTCAGGATACAATACGTGCTCCTCTACAAGGCTCGAGCGCTATTCGATGACTACAAGTTGCAACTCAGCTGAAGGAATCATAATGATTTCTGATTAGTTGTCTTGGAAAAAAAAAAATAAAGTTCTTTTTAAGTTTATTACGCTCATAAATTTTGATCTTTTACCGTTTCATCCCGATTGCCTCCAACCTGCTGCGCACATTGCAAGGGTGCAAGTCTCGCGCCATACATGGTTGTGTGTAAGTGCCGTACCGAGACTAGCCGAACGTCTGCACGACAAGTGTCTATTTCACACTTGATCCCTATGTCTGTCTCGATTGTTCTGTCTACAAAAGTGGTGTACACCGAAAAAAAAAAAAAAAAAACTTCCTTTTCAGTTGTACTGAATACATCAAGTCGCATTTCGTTTTGGGTAGTTCAATGTTGCCTGCCTCTGGCGGGCCGACATCACCATCGAGCCCCGCCGCCAATAAGTTCTCCAAAAACACCTCTCCACAAGGCAAATCCACGCCGCCGGCGCGCGCCCTTTCTTCTCTCAACCACATACAATTTCCTTTCCCCCACCGTTCATACTCCCAATCTCAACCCGCACCAAACTTTCCCTCCAACCATGGCCGACGAGCAGCCTTCCACCGTATCCTCCTCCGCCGAGGACCGCAAAGCCGCCTCCGCCCTCGCCAACCTCGACTCCCACGACGACGCCGCCGCCTCCTCCTCCACCGTCGACCTCGCCGCCGTCAACAAGGCCACCAAGGGCGGTAGCGGCAGCGGCAGCGGCAGTGGTAGCAGTAGCAGTGCCGCCGCGTACAAAAATGTCAAGGTCGACGCTGCCGACGTTGCGCTGCTCGTCGAGGAGCTGGAGCTGCCCAAGCCAAAGGCGACGGAGCTGTTGAAGCGTCACGAGGGTGACGCCGTCAAGGCGATGCGCGCATATATTGCTGCTGCGTGAGGAGGAGGAAGACTTCAGCAAATTATGGCATCGACCTCGCCTGCATGAATAAACGACGAGAGACGAAATGCAAAAAAGAAACAGGTGCCAGAGGAATAGGAATCTCCAGGCGCACAGATTCATAGACATAATATCCATTTGCAGCAACATGCAATAGTATGTTTGTTTGCTCAGTCGGAAACTCATTTCTGCTGCATACACCAAGCACCATCACAAGACAGATATATACCTTTAGAGCTTCATAGCCAAGGCAAATATATTCTTCGACGCCGTCCTCCATTTCAGGTTCTAGGCATATATATATATGTGTTCTGCTCATGTACATTTCGTCCCAGCCGACGCCATTCCCACCACTCATCATCATAGTAATAAATAGCCTCCTCGCCTTTCCACCTCCCGCCCTCCCTCTCAAAAATTAAGAAAGACAAAAAAGACAGCAAAAAGTGCAAATCATCCAGGAAAAAAAACACGCCAGGAGTACCTAGACTCGAAACCCTGGTTTGTATCGGGGTATCTTAATAAAATGAGTGGCTGAAATGCTAGCAATGCTTCAATCTTGGCTCTTCTTTCCACCACCCCGTCTTTCACATCAACTCCCTCTCGTGCGGCTTGGCTGCGCGCAGCCTAGTACCAAGACTTGGAGAGCGGGCTAGCAATCTTAGGGGCAAACTGCATGCTCTTACGACGAGCCGCCATCAGGCGCATGAGCACCCTGTCATCCTTGTGCGGGCTCAATACACCCTCGCCCAATTGATCGTAGATGCCGTTGCCGCTCGACTTTGGTGGACATGTCCTCATAAGCACCTCCTCCCGCGAGAGTGACATGTGGCTGTCTTCTTCGCCTTGCGAGGGTGTTTCGGGCCCCTCGGTCGCATATCTAGAGATTGTCTCCGGAGCAGGCGTCTTTGGCACTGGGGTAAGGATAAACTCGGACCACTCAATGTCGTCTCCCTGTTCCTCGCCCGCAGTCTGATCAGGCGGTGTCTGTATCCAGATGCCGCTCTGGCGACGATTGTAGGAGCTAGTCTGCTTCGCAGGTGTGCTGACCAGAGTACCGTTCTTGTTAGCCAGGGCCTTGGGCTCCATACTCTTTCTGCGGCGAGCACCACCGCGGGGCACAAAGGCCGTGTCAATGAGGTATGGGTTCTCGTCAAGCCACTCATTCTCCTTTTCGCAGTCGAGAACCCAGCTAACGCCGACGCACTGCACAACACCATTTGACCTTCTGACCTTCTCCATCGTTCTCTTGCCACCATCCTTGAAGACGACGTGGGTGATGCCAATTCGATTGCAAGATGACTCAGAATTTGAGGCGCTGTCCGGGTTCCAGCTCCAAGACTTGACACACTTGGCCCCCATCTGCGTTAGCAGGTCAACGAAAATCAGGCTGGCATCGGCACCTTCACTGGTGTGAACGTCAACGAATACGACAGCACCACGGAGGAGACCCGAATCGGTGTTGCGTCGGGGAGTGCGAGCAGGCGATCCCATGTTCGACCACATGTCGCACTTGCTAGCTGGTGTGGCCGGTTCGTCATCCATGTCAAAGGTGTGGGAGCCCTGCGTCTTCTCGGGAGAGTAAGAGATCACAGTAGCGCTCTTTGGCAAGCTTCCGGTGCCATTGTTAGGGATACGTGAGGCGCTGAAGCGGCGTGACTTGGTAGGGCTCGACTCGTCGGCCGGTTTCAGGGGAACCTTGGTAGTCGTCGAGCAATTTCTCATGGCGGGCCGTGCCGGTGTTGTCGGCGGCCACATGCGCGGGCCATTGAGTGCTGGGTCAACAGGAAGGTCATTCTCATCGCCATACTCCTGGCTGGCTTCGGACAGGGAGTCGGAAAATGACTTGGCGACACTCCGCTCAGCACAAGGGCTCTCGTGTAATTGCGACAGGTCCTCAGCTTCCTGTGCGAGGGCAAGGTCTTCATCGGTTACTCCTATATCCTCATCAAATGATGGGTCAGAAATTTCACCATCTGTAATCTCACAACCGTCATGGGTATCGACCTCTTGGGTCTGAATTTGCTCCTCAAAGAAGCTCGTCTTCATAGGTGACGGCTCAGCGACCGGTACAATCGTCGAAGCACGAGGAAGACCAGAAGCTGGCTGTTCGGCCTCGCTTGCTGGAGCAAGGCTTTCCGAGGGCCAAGTGCCAAGCGTCTGGGCCAGACTCGTGAGGCCCATGGTAGATCGCCGGTTCTTATTGAAGCTCGGTGTGAAAGTAGACGGATCCTCGTCGAGGTCCACCTCAGAATCAGAATCAGACATTGTTGTCTGTTCGTGACAAGGGTCCGTATCTTTGGCTCGAAGCTGAAAGTTAGGACCTTGTGGTACCGCTACTGGCTGCCCAGTGGTACCAGGCCCCGGGTTTTCGAATGAGCTATCCACAGAACCTGAGGACTGGCCAACGGGGGTCAGGTCGAACCTTGGGGGGACAACACCATCAACCTGCTCGTAAAAGGAAAATGTATGCACGAGTTCAACTGAGTCATCCGTATCAATCTTCTCATCCTCGTCGTCACGCGGCACAACGTCTGATAGTCGGCCGTTGAAGCGGGATGTCATTACGGAATTCTCTTGGATTTCCTCGATGGGCTCCTCCGGAAAGCCTTGATGTGATTCTTCTTCGCAAGTAAGCTTCTCTGAAGGGCGACGAGAGTCGATGCGCATTGACGTGGATGCAGCAATGGGCTTCATCGCAGGCGTCTCGCAAATGGCGGCGGCAGCTGGCCTCTCAACCACGGGCTGGAGATACAAAGGCGCTCGCTTTGCAGGAGACTGGAACAGGGAGGCCTTGAAGGCGCTCTGGCTACTCGGTGGCTTACTTGTCGGGGGAAAAGCCATGCTCTTGATTGGCGACGGCGGCCGCTTTGCTGGTGTTTGAAATAATGTGTTTTTTGATGACAGATTTCCCGTCTTTGTGTCATTCTCAATTGAGAAGGCATTCGATTTTGTAGGCGAGCCTGGGACAGGAACCGCTCCCATCTTTTTCGCCGGTGACTTGAGTGTGCCTTTGTTGGGCGATGTTGGTGGTCGACGCGGAGGCGAGCCGAATCCGATAGTCGCACCCTCTGGCGCGCCGAGAATGGCGGTATTAACGGTAATTGTAGAGTCCGAGTCTTTTTCGAGCACGGGTAGCTCAACAATCCTCTTTATAGGAGTCAGATCGACTTGCTCGATTGCCCCATTCCTACAAGGGCTCCCGTCGCCGGCCAGTTCGTCGTCCTTGCGCAGGACCGGGATCTGCGTGACCTTTCTCGGGCTCAGAGGCTTCTTTTCGAGCGCGGCAGCGTTTCTGGCGCCCTTGCTGGCTGGAGTTGGGGGTCGCCGGGGCGGGGCGGCGTGCAAGCCGTTGGGATCCGAGTCCTTTCTGGTGGTCACTCTCATGTTTTCCTTGTCCGGCTCGTCAAATTTGACACTCTTCTGGGCGACTGGTGCGGTTTTTCTCACTGTGCTGGCACGTGAACGTGTAGCAGCGGATGCTCTCCTCATCGAGGGCTGGCCCGTCGACGTGGCTGTGTTCCTCCTGGGACGGCCGCGCGCAGGCTTGCTCGGCTCCTCCTTGAGCGGTTCGGCGGGCGTTTTCTTGACTGTGCGGGTAGTACGTGTCGGCCTCATAGGTTCGGCGCGCAGAGAAGAGGCAGGTGCATCGACGATGCCTGAAGCCCGGCTAGGACGGCCTCGTAGGCGGCGTGCGCGGGCCTCACCCTCGTGGCAGTCGTCGTGTTCATCCGCGCGCGTCTTTCTCTTAGTCGCGGTGCTCGCTGCGGACGATGCAGCTGTAGAGGAGCCAGCGGTCTTGGCCCTGGCCGCTGCAGTGACGATCTTGGTCGTCTTCACGGTCGATGCATTGGCCTTGGCCGCTGCTCGGGCCCGCGTCATCCGCTTCGGCGGCGAATCCATTCTCGTTGTGGGCAGCAAACGACGCACGTAAGTCGAAAGCGTGCAAGGCTGCTGTTGATACTTGTGTTGCTGTGCACAACAGCAGAAATCAAAAAGCAACGCAAGAACCCAAGCAAAAAAGAAAAAAAAAATAAACAAATGTTTCTTCACGAGGGCATGTGGTCGCGATGCGTGATCTAGGAAGTGTGCTTGGCCTGCGCGTGCAGCTTCTACCTAGTCAAGTAGCCCCAGTAATAGCTTCTCTTTGTTGTCGCCTAAATTGGTCTTGTTTAGCTTGCGTTGCTCGGCAACGGGATCGGCCCGCTTCGGCTCGGCAGCGCGGAGAACCCCAAGGGATCGCGGGCATATCACGTAATTCATTATTACTTATCCGACTTACGTTGTTCTACCATTAATAATGACTGCAACATACGATTGCTTCTTGCAGTTTGTCATTTCTGCTCATCTTCGTTGACGCAACAACATCGTGTGTCGGGCCAACTGGTCTGGGGTCCACCTCGACCCCTGCCAATAAAAGCATCATGTTATAGCCGTTCCTGCAGCATCTTCTCCATACTCATGCATTTGCTTTATTTCCAGCTCCCACCGATATGATTCTATAGCTCCGTCTAGCACATGATCCCTCGGGACACTTAGTAAGTAAATCTATCAGTGCCTTCGGCGGCACGTCGCACCGCCTTCTGTTTTTGCCCGTACTCCTTAGGGTATACCTACACAAGAATCCGCGCTTGAAACAAAACTGTCCTTCATACAATGCAACTTATCATGACCCATTCGTCCGATACACGGACAAATGTTTGCATCGCACAACAAGTTTGCTCGCCACATTCCCTCAATCACCCAGAGGCGCGAAAATCCCGTCGCGGTAACCCAAAATGGGTATGAAAATTAACTATACATGATGAGCCGTGTAACCTGATCATCAAACCAGACCAAAAAAAAACCGACAAGGGACAGGGTATCATTTGTGGTCGTCGTCGTCGTCGTCGTCAATGCATGCGACTTCATCTGAACGGAGTCCTGAATGGGCCATCCACTCGAACATCTCTGGCAGTCTCTGGAATCAGTCGCAGCCATTCGTTCCAGCTATCAATATCAACATTCTCATCCGTCAGTCGTACGTTGAGGCTGATTTGCGGCATGCTATCAAATGAAAAGCTGCTTCGGTGCGCGCTGTGCTGATGCATCGGACTCAAAAAGACTGACGGTAATCTTGAGTTGCCGCTCACCATCATGTGAAACGGTGTTGGAAAGCTCAGCATGCCTTCAGCTTCCGAGTGGCGGTCTTGGACAAGCTTTGGGTACGCGCTCAGCAAAATAGCATGTAGCTCAGCTACCGAGAGAGGTTTTGCGCGGCCAGCTCGTATCCTAAGCTGCTCAGCCAAAGCCCTCGTGAATGTGCATCGACCCAGTGAAGCTGCATGATCCTCCGAAATAGATGCTCCCAGAATTTCCATAACACCCTGCTTACGAAGAATCCTCGAGCAAGGATAAAACGCAGCATCCATTATAACCAAGACATCGGAAGATGCCTGTTCCAGTGGCTGTTGCAGCGTGCTCCACCTCACAATCGATGCTTGTTGGCCATCTCGAGAGCTATTTTGGTCAGAACAATCCGTTGGGGGGGTCAACTTTGGTGCAATTTACCTAGCAAGACACATGTCTCTATTCTCATCCAGAAATGTATGCCCAGCATAGTACACAATCTTCAAGACTTCACGCCGATCCTCCTCTTCCGCAAATCTGTCTAGTGTTCTCGACAGCCACCTCCAAGTATCTTTGGCAAATCCGCGCTCGTTTGAAGGTATCATCTGTATACGAAACACGAATCGGTACTGCTTTGCAAACACGTCGGCTAGCTCTTGAGTCGCAGCATGTACATTTGCTGCGTCATCATCATCTTGCCATACAAGTAACAGAGCTCGCACGTCGAGATATCGGCCGCGATTTGTAGCTGACAACATTCTGTTGGCTGTAGTCTGAATATCGTTCTTGAAAGATTCGATGCCAGGCAATGAAAGAGACTTCTCGAGTCTTGGGCCTGATGGCAAAGGCGTCCGTAGCCGCGGGTCGCTCAGCGACAGTCGGCTTCCAAGGTGGTGTGACGTGGACGGCCCAGCCTCAATCTCCATATCTTGTGTCTCCGATGTATACATCGCCTGAGACTCCCGCATAGTTACCACGGAGCTTGTAGACTCCTCAGCCCCCAACAAAGAAGGTGGCGCTTCTGGCATTGCAGGGCTATGGGATCGATCGAATTTGCTAACAAGGTCCTGCCATGTCATGTCGTGATGACTTGGTTGACACTATTCAAGAACCAAAGTTAGTACAGCACAAGTCAAAGCCCTCTCCACCACCAAAGATACACCACTCTGAAATTCACTGTGCAATACGATAGTTTCCCCAATCCACTTACAGCAACTCTCCTACGGCGGCAATCGCGACAGGCACCAAGCTTCCTGATCAATGCAGCCCGCTCTCTAGATTGTTGGGAAAGAGGACCGGTACGTCTCCTACTGGCGCGCCGGTTGTTAGAGACGTCGGTTCCATCTTTAATAGAGAAAATAGACTGATGCAGGCTGGGGGAGGTGTCGGCACTGTACGATGTTGTGTTGGTCTCGGAAGAAACCAAGGTGGCCGCGGTGGCCTGTGTTGAGATGGGAGAGGCGGTATCGTTTCGGAGTGGCGTGGCGGAAGTTGCGTAATGTAATAGATGTACGGGGCCTGCACCAGGTGTCGAAGGCCGGTGATGGTACCGAGGTGTTGCTTCGTCATGATGCGATATCATTGCAGGATGTGATGTAGGCGAAATGGAAGACCCAGGGTCAATGGCCGGACGCGTTTGGGAATATGGCTCCGTAGTTCGAGGCTCCATGGGATTCATTCCTGACTGTTTGGCGGTGGAATTCTCACTCGAGGATTCAGATATATTCTGAATCGATTGCATATCGTCGAGTAGCAATACAAACCGCGCGGCGTCAGCGGCCCATGATTGGAAGAGTAATGACCTGTACGAAAATGTCCGAGGTTTTCGAAACCAAAAATCAGACTTCTAGATGGCTAACACTGTGCTTCGGTCATAAAGTGACTACTTCAAGTAGCGAAGGTGTCGTTTGAGAGTAAAGAAGAATTGGTGATGGCTGACGAGGTGTTGAAGATCAACTCCCGACCGTTCGTTGCAACAAGGGGTAGAACTGTTGCTATCGAGTCCACACGCGAGAGTAGAATCCGGCTTCTGGCAAAAGAACGAGGAGGACGACAACAGGACCGAATATTATGGCAAGCTTTCTTTCTCAAGTGGCGCGCCTCCGAGGTGGATGGTAATGCCCGAAACCCCACCAGCATCCACCAAATGCTAACGAAATGCCAACTGTTTGGCGGCGATGATGGCGGAAACGACAAGCGGCTGGGGCAGAATGGGGCGCAAAGGGGAGAACACGTTTGTCAAGGAGTCCGATCTATGGGGCAAAGCCCTGAGAAGGGGGCTGCAAGTTATAGATTCTCGTCCTGGCACAGTTTCGGGCCCTATCCCAAGTGATTTGCTATAGCCGTGCCCGGATGTGTACAGGACGGTGTCTGACAGTGACGAGGTGAGCGCTCAGCCCTCGGCGGATGGGCTCGAAAGCAAACAAAACGACAGAGATGAAGGAGCGTTCCAGGTGAGAGAGGAAGACAAGGAGAGGAGGACAAATATGTTGTCCGCCGAGAGCATTACTTCTTTGGGCAAACTGCCTGGTGGAGTGGCTCCTGGTCTTGTTTGAGAGGAAGCTCTAGGCCAAACGGCGAGAGGAGTACCAGTGTGAGGTGGCCGAATGGGGCGAGGGTTGTGGAAAGCAGCAGCAGGGAACCGAGAAGCGATATCCGAGCAGTGAAGCAAGTGCGCGCACACAAGTGCTAGTGTTTGTGTGCGACAGCGGCCGGCATGTATGCTTGTGTTGGCGATTTGTTTGCATTGACAAAGCTTCCATCAGACTTGAATATGCGAGCCTATAACAAGGTAACCAGTCAGATCAGCAACAACGACGCCGAGCTAGGTAGCCACGAGACCAGTTAGAGCGCTTCGCAAGGGCCGAACGGGACTCGCCAGCAACGGCACAGGGACAGACCTCGGGAGGCCATGACCATGGACGTAATACACCTGAAAATGGGGAGCTCCCTGATGGGGTCGGGCGGTCTGGCTGTACGGAGTAATACACCACGTATCCGGTAGGTAATACCTCTACCCTCTGGCCAAGGTCCCCACGTACAACTACCCTGCCTTGCCTTTCCGACCGAAGGAAGCAGTGTTGGGACGGGGGTGTGTATGGGTGTACTGGTATGACCGCATGTCCACTACTACCAGGGCGACGTTAGCCCGGTTCCTGCAATCAACGCCAGAGAAGGTTACTCGTCGAGACGCCCTGACTTGGGAGGGGGAATGGTAGCCACGCGCAATCTGGGATGACATAGTTGTGTCGGCGTACGTGGCGGTCGCAATAGCTAGTATACGTTGTTGTCGGTGATTGGGTGTACACTGTACAGGCTCCCTCATGATTCAGCTCCTCGCCCTCCTTCTTGTTGACTCGTCAGTGGCCAGTGGCTAGCTATAGGTGTGCTTGGCGCAACCACCCCCAAAGAAACGGCTTTGGTCGGGAATCTAGGGAAAACGGCTACGACTTGGGGTCGGTTGGGGTGGTTGTGTGGGTTGGCTTTTGCTCAGGTGTTTTAGGTCCAGCTTAGGCCGAGCAAGGACAGACAGACAGGGCTGCCATGTTTGTTAGCGGGCGCTCTCTTCTCTCCGCGCCCGCAGGGGGCCTTTCGCGGCTGATGGTGGTTTTCTTTTTCTGTTCCGTTCTTGAAAGTCAGGCCTGAAGCAGTAGGCGCGGGATTCGAACTTGAAGCCCGTGCTTGATGCTCGTGGCCTGTTGTCCTCTCCATCTCATCAGTCAGTCGGTTAGTCAGTCAGTCCATCAGTCAGTCAGTCAGTCAGTCAGCGCGAAGCAAATTGACGTGACTATGACCAGCCAGCCGTCTCAGTGACAGGGCTCCGGTAGACCCTCACTGCCGGCGGAATGGATGGTCGGCCCATGGCCCATGCCCATGTGGTTCGAGCGGTGCGGGAGGAGGCGTGGCTAGTAGAGCCCATCGAGGCACACCCCTCCCGCTCATCCAGCGACGTGTTGTATCAGTAGTTAATCCGTAGTTACGAAGGAATACTCCGTACGGAGTACAGTTGTGCGTATTAGAGCATCACGTCCCCGTTGGTAGCCCTATCCTCCGCCGCCATTATTAGTATGCTCCAATACCGGACGGGTTCGCGAGGAACAGAGCACTCGGCGCTTTTCCTACGCCGTTATAGCGCTACCGCGAACCAATCGCTCGTGCCAAGTGGCAGGCCGTCCGTGGCAGGCAAAGCCAGAGGCGGGTTCTATTTAGCTCGCCCTAGCTCGTGCTTCTGGCGTGGCATGCGTTGTTTTGGAAGGCTAGGGGAATGACTAGGTAGGTGAGACTAGCGGGGTGCCGTGCAGGAAGAAGCCTGGGGCTGCCAATGTCTGAAGATGCGCGGTGCGGCGATTCCTGCATGATGGCTGATGCCGCTCATTTTGACAACAAGGCAGCTTGTTGCAGGCCCGGCCAGCTACTGGTACGCCGTCGTAGATCTCGAGCATCGCGGCAGCCCCATCGGAGCAATATGCGGGCTTAGAATGGAGTATGATAGCTCGTGCATGGATCCTCTGGATGCCGCCGAATCGCGTGTGCTGGTGCGGGAGTCGCATGGGCCACAAGTCGTGGCCAAAATCAATTTGACGATGCTCAATGATGCTCTTTGACGCGGGGCAGTGTTATTCGACTTCCAGTGTTTCTCATTGTCAAAAAGTTGATCCGAGGCTGCAGCTGGTGTTTGACTGTGATTACGAATCATATGGCTTTCGGGAAGGAAAGGAGGAGCCCGAAGAACCCTTCCTTCCTAATTTGACACTACGTGTCTCACATTAAAAGTTCGCCGCCCCATTCAACGCTTTCATCCAATTACGAGCTGTTCGTACTCAGTATGTTGGCGACAGCCTCTTTGCTTGACCCAGACCGGATACTCCGTACTAACTACTTGTCGAGATGTTTTCAGGTGGACATATATCTACGCCATATCCCAATGCACACGGACGGCCGTTGTACCGAGCTCCTGAAGCTCACGAGCGAACCTACGAACGAGTATAACTATAGGGTAAGCACACGCATGCAATCTCAAATTGTCCGAGGGCCCCTGTCGTCTGTGTGACAGCCAGACGCAACTTTGGAGTTTTGGGTCCGTCTTGACACCGTTTCTCGCCAACAACACGTTCAGTTGGCTATCCGCCGGCAATAACCTGCGCATCGTGGCAAAACAAAAAAAAAAGAAAAAGAAAAAAAGAAAGGCATCAATCAGCCTTTAGCGATGAAACCACGGGGGTGGGCAAAGGTTTTTGTCATTAGCCATCGAACCGCTGATCATGATAAATGTACCCCGCCAATACGGCTATCGCCCATGTTCAGATGCTACCCCGTTTGCGCATTCAACCACCAGCCTTTCGACCGAGGCTCGTCGGTGCTACTGTATGAGTAGAGCGCGAGGGCCTTTGCTCCACGCGCCTGTCTCTTCTTACCACTTCTATTACAAGGTGGCAACCAATAAGTAATAACTTATTAGCTGCTACTTCGCCGCCGCGGTGCATGTGGGATTGCAGGACAAGCCAACTCCGCCCCTGGCAGCCACAAGGCGATTGAAAGAAACCACCAACAGGCTTCACAATCGCTAGCTCGACTCCGTGACAACTTGACAAGGATCGTCACGGGCAAGTCTTCCGCACCCCTGGCCAGCCAATCATGCTCTGAGCGCATCATCCTATGATGCATCTTGACCCCGATGGCACCCTGCAACAGCCAAGTATCTGTAACCACGGTTGTGCATGCGCGTGCTTGTGCCCTGCAGAAAATACCGACCGCTACGCGGCAGCACACTTAACGATGACACAAGTGAGTTGGCCCGAGGCTCTGGCCGCACTCTTCGAAGCAAGTCTGGCTTCCCTCCGCAGCTCGGGCTTCACTGACCGACCTCACCCCCCTGAGTCTTGACCCTGGTTCCCGACGCCACTGGCCCATCTCGTCAATGAATCTCGTTTACCTCGCCGAGACTTTCTTTCCGATTAATCGCCAATTGAACTGGACGCGTCGACCCATTATTCTTCCACCTATCGAATTATTGAACAAGTCTGGATAATATCCGGCCTAGACTATCCTCCCGCCTCCCCGTTTTGACAACCTTCCATAATCCACGCCGTGGCTTGAACTAAGCAATATCAGAAGCACTGGTTGACGCGTGGTGTGTTTCACCCAGAGACTAGCACCGCGTTGTACTGCGGTGGACCGTGGGGAGCAAGCCGGATTTCGCTCTAGTGCGGTCGCTTCCTGAGAAGGAGCTGTGATACGCCAGGCCCCAAGACTGGTCGTTTCGTCTGACGCTGCCCACCAGAACCAGAGTCAGGAGCGCTCAGACTATCAAGTCGTGTCGAACAAGCAAGCGGCCGTTGTCTTTGTTGCGACCTGCAACTCGACTGTAGACTATCGCTCTCGCATCAACTTAGATCAGCGCTGAGTAGACCATCCTCGCGCGTTACCCTGACAACTCAAGACCAGATCTACTCGCGTCATGAGGTGAGATAAGGGAGCCATTTGCTAACACTATTCATTTGTAGATTGCGGTGCCTTGTCACTGTCGTATAACTGATTTGGTTGACTCCCAGTTCGTTCATCCAGTCCGTTCCATGTCCACATGGTTCAGTCTCGGCTGGCGACCTACCGTGTTTGCTGATCCAGCCTGGTAAGATGATGTAAAGCCTGCAGGCTCTGGCTTGGGCATCAACGCCACTCCACACAAGGCGTCCAATCCTCTTCGTTGTGCTCAATTCTAGATCATTGGCTGATACCTCATTCTTCTCTTGAATGGTTGGCTGGCAGGCCACACAGACGCACTTTAATTCTCTCATACACCGCCGCCCTCTACCCGCCTGGCGCTCACAACCTATCAGTGCCACGCCTTCAGCTACAGCCGACTTCTGTGCTAATTACGGAACAGTATCCTAATGCAGCATGCGGCTTGGGTTTATTAGCTAGCTCGTGGCAGGGATAGCTATCGTCGTACCCACGTGGCGCTCCCGTCCCCCCCACCATGCCTTGGCTGTGGAAGAAGCCTTCATGGAACATCACGGCAGTGGGCACGAGAGAAATGGAAGCCTTCCGCGCACCCATTGCACCCTGCACCGAGCTCAGCTTGGCAATCGCCGTCGATGACCCTCGCCAGGGTTGCGTGCACACCACACAAGCCACTTGCCGCGTTGACACTTCAGCTGCCTCGCAAATGCTAGCATTACTGGAAACTTTGCGACCACAGCATGTTGTTTCTTTCCGCAGACGATTCAATCTTGTCCCCAATACTCTTTTACACCCGCAACTTACAGTACTCATCGCGTTGCTTTTGCGTCCCTAGCCTCGGAGGCGACCACAGACAGGGCTCGAATGATACGCCGCGACAATTCTAAAAATATACCAGGCTTGCCTGGATCACGGCCCTCGCTTCCCTGACCTCAAAACGCACAGAGCTTTGCGGCGGGCGCTTCAGGAGAAGCGTCAAATTTCTATTATCCGAGACCCTTTAATCCTTGTCTCTTCCCTTGGCTGCTCTCCCTTTGCATGAAATTATCTAACCATGCTTTACCGGAGCGGCCGCAGTGCTTACACCAAGCTCATCGCGTCTATCGTCGATCAATCTCGCCCATTCCATGAGCAGGCGAGAGAGGTAAAGTTCCTGGTCGCGCTCCCGGAGAGCCTCTTTCACCCAAGACTTGCCCTGCTGGGCTATGCCCCTGGAGTCCATGACGCCGCTGCCCCTGCGGTCCTCGAGCACGGTAAAGTACGAGAGCGTCGTGTGGAGCGCCTGATACCGCACATCGAGCGGTGCAAAGTGCACCCAGGGTCTGAGACGTGAGGTATACCACGTCTTGAAGATGGTAGAAATAATGGGCATCCTCTCGGTGCGCAGCGCGCGCAGCGTGTCCGGCGCAGGGCCATCGTCATTGTCCAAGAGCAGCACGATTTTGCTGCCGTCGTCGCCTGCAACCTGGCGGTGAAAGTCCTCGCCAAAAAGCTGCTTCAACGTGTCACAGTTGTGGCCTGTGCATGCCGTATAGTCTGAGATGCCGACGTCAAGCGGCAGTTTACTATTCACCGCCGCGGTCCAACGCTTGGCGTACAGCCACTGTCGCACCTTGTCAACCATGATAGGCTTGATCAGCGTCGTCTTGTCTGTTGGGCGCGGCCTGGTCAGCTGGCCCAGCAAGCGCAGTTTGTGGTGGCCGCGCAAGTACTCTGGCGTAATGATATTCTGGCCGATGGAGCCCGACCAGGATACATTGTCAGATCGGTCCAGAAACGGCCTATCCGGGGCATTCTCATCTTCCCCCGCCTCAGCTGGAGCTGCCTCTTCGGGCCATAGCGGCAGCAACACGTCTGCAAAGTGCGCCGTCTTGTAGAGGCTGAAGAGGGGTAACAGCTTTTGCACTGGTCTCGCGTCAGGAGCTGACATGTAGAATCCGTGTAGGTTTTTGAGGTCGGGCTGCGAGCAGACCGAATCTAGCGACTTGTACCAATCTGACATGAGCTGCATGCTCGAATGACCCCCGACGCAGCGTCTGCAAAATCCGGCCGTGTTCCAGTAGGGATTCGCGCGGGAGGCGGAATTCGGCGGACAGGCTTGTCGGAGCAGGGCGCGAAATTCGCCCGCCTTCATGGCATTCTTATTTTCCGATCCTATATTTCCCCTATCTTCGATAACCCCCTGCTGCTCGCCATGTGTCTCGTGCGCAGCTGATATCTCGGCTGGGCGGACAGATCTCCCCGCGATGACATCAGCAGTGGCGGCATTTTCTGACGCGCGGTTATAGGACCACCTTGACTCCCACTTTGGCAGGCTACGAGGCGTCCGAGCCACGTTGATGGGAAGAGTCATGTCGGGGAGGTTTGATGAAAAGTTATTGGCCATGTGTACGAGTCGCGTGAGGAGTTGCCTACCGGCGCCGCCCTCGTCATGGCGCCCAATTGAGGCCTCGCCATTCTTGATGACGATTGTTGCGACGTCAGGGAGCTGGGTGGCCTCCTGTACAGCCTCGCGTAGCTGCTTTGGAGTTAGGTGCCAGAATGGCTCGAGGTCTTCGTCGATTTGTGGAAAATTGTCTCTGATCTTGGTGCGGCGGAGTTGCGCATACCACTCCTTGTACTGCGGAGGCGCCTTGCGGCCCCCATGACGGTCCTCGTAGATTCTGATGGCAGTACTGGAGGTGCTACTAGTAGAGGCCTTGACTAGCCAGTGTCTGTAGTCGATCTCGCTGTCGTATAGTAGCTGGTTGATGGGATGACGGTTCTCATACACAGGCACGCCGGCCAACAAAGCGTGCAAAGTGGCTACGGAAGCAATCAGGAAGACAAGCCAATTGAACAATCCGCGCGGGAGGTGCACAACAGTCCTCAGACGCTGCACGTATGTAAATACTATCGTGGTGGTCGTTACAACAAACAGCGGGAGTAGCACGGGAGCCCGGAAAAGGTAATCCCAATCACCGTAGCGAGTCGTATTTACGGTTGCCTGCCAGATACCCGCAATGGCTGTTGAGATACCGACTGGTCCAGTGAGGTTTGTATCGCAGATCCATAGGGAAGCCGAAACCATGAGGATCGACAGCGCTATGCCGTCAATCACGATGTCGCGATTATACAGAAAAGGGACATCGCCGCTAGTGTCCTGCATAGATATCCAGAAAGACCGAAGTGTATCAAAAGTGAACATGGAGAAAGCGACTAGTGCGAGGGCTTTTGAGATGCCGTGTATGCGTTCTCCCATGTGTTTTCCCCACACCAGCTGCTGCCAGGACAGTATAGCAATGGCAATGTCTAGCAGAAGTATTCCAGCCTGCGAGTATGAAACCAAGGAAGGACTGTCGAGTAGAGGTATACACATGTAGGATGATGGCGCGAATTGATTCGCCGCGGTGCTCGCTGCTGCAGCAAAGGAGAGGGAAATGATAAAGTGGCTTAGATGGCGCATCCTATCGCTGTTGACCCACGCCACCCAATCATGAACCTCGCTGTGCCAAGGGTCTTCAGAATCGCCATATTGGGCATCTTGCAGCGAGTCTCGCGAAGAGATGTATTGGTAGACGACAAGTGCGGGCCAGAGCCAAAACTATGCCACCACCACGCCGGTTAGCCATTGATCAACACGTTCACGTATTCGGGCGCGGTTGCGGCGCGTTTACCTCGAATCCAAAGGAGCTGCACTGCTGCTTCGTCTGAACAAAGAGGAAAAGCTCAATGCGCGTCGCAATGGCGCAAACCAGCACGACTAGACTCCATCTGCCGGGGCGGTTTGGGCGCGCCTCTTTCAAGCCGTTGCCCGAGGGGGACACGTCGTCGTCATCATCATCATCATAAAGGACTGGCGCCAATGTGCGTCGGCGGCTTCGGCGGGCACTGAACAAGGCGTCTACCGAGGGCCGTGTCTTTATGAGATGGGCCATGACATGGCAGCATGCAGACGCCAAGAGCAAAAGTAAAAGAGCAGAAAGATGAGGTCGACCTGCAAGACACGGGGCAAGGTTTTAGCAATGGCGCTTCGTGAAACTGTGCGTGGAAGAGAGAATCTCTTACTACGCAACGAGTGATTGTCCCAAGCTCGAGAAAAGTACCATAGAGATATACATGTGCTGTTTTATGAAGCCTGTTAGTTTTGCAAACTTGGAGTATGTAGATGTTTTTTTTTTTCGGTTTCTCCAACCTCAAGGGTGCGACGTGCGCAAAAGAAAACGCCTCCATGGTGGGTTCGGCGAGGAGGCTTCGCGAGTGTCGCTATTGGGACGAGGAATAGGTCATGACGCGATGAGTTCTAAAAACTGTAAAAAGAAAAAAATGAAACTGTCCCATCCAATTGAAAATTGCGCACCGCGCTGTCAAGATCTTCGATGGAAAGTGTGTTGAGTTTGAGATGCCAGTTCAGGGGTTATGTAATCGACCTAGCAAAATGCGTCGCGTCACTGCCGGCCGAGCCGCCTGATAACAGGTACCTGCCTAGTCAGTGGAGAGCTCCCTGAAGCTCTTCCCGTTCCATTGGGCATTTCCATTGCCTTCTCAACAACCACCAAACAATTCCCAACTGCCCCCCGGGTGGATACGCATTGCATTTCGAAATATCCCGCCATGGCCGGTATCGCGGATGCCGGCATCGTGCAGCGGGCGGCCATCCCGGGCGTGTGCCTTCTCATCAGCTTCCTGGGCTACTACTCGCAATACATCTTTGCTGACGACTTCCTCGAGCCGGGGCCCCTCTCGCGGGGCGAGTCGGCGCTCTTCAACGGGTTGCTGCTTGCGCTGTGGCTCACCTATGCGCGGACCTGCACCGTCGACGCCGGCCGCTACACGTTTCCTCCTCCTTCTCCCACCTCCCCCGAAAACGAGTCCCGCGCCGCCGCCGCTGTCCTCGGAGTCAAGGGCCGGTGGTGCAACAAGTGCGCGGCGCCCAAGCCGCCGCGCGCGCACCACTGCCGCCACTGCCGGCGCTGCATCCCCAAGATGGACCACCACTGCCCCTGGACGGGCAACTGCGTGTCCATGACGACGTTTCCGCACTTTCTCCGCTTCCTCGTCTACGCCAACGCCGCGCTGCTCATGCTCGGCTACCTGCTGCTGCGTCGCTTCGCCCGCCTCTGGGACGACCGCTTCCTGCCGTCGTACCTGGGACCGAGCGTTGGCCAGCTCGTCTCGCTGTCGCTCGTTGCGCTGGTGTACATGCCCACGTCGCTCGCGCTCCTGGTCATGCTTGTCACCACGCTCCGCGGCTGGATCCTCAACCAGACCATGATTGAGACGTGGGAGCAGCAGCGACACGAGGCCGTTGCCGCGCGCGGCGGCCGCGACTGGTGGGCCATTGTCGGCCCCGACGGCGAGGCCATTCGCTTCGAAAAGATCGAGTTCCCATACGATGTCGGCTTTTTTGCCAACATGGCGCAAGCCATGGGCACGCGCCTCTTTTTTCTCTGGCTCTTTCCGCTCGCCGGAAACCCGCGCGTAGCGCCGCCGCCTTTGCCCGGCGACGACCGCAGCAACGCCAGCAGCACAAGCAGCACCACCGCCACGGGCTGGACGTGGGAGGAAAACGGCTTCAACCGGAAGGAGGGCATGTGGCCGCCGCCAGACCCCGAAAAGATTCGCCGCGCGGCGCGCCAAAACACCGCGGGCGGCATGAAGCGCGACTACGCGAGCGAGCTGCGCGCGCTGGAGCAGAGCCCCGAGGAGCGCAAGAGGACGTTTCAGGAGCGGCAGGAGAGGGATCTGCGGCGCCGGCGCAAGGCGCTCCTCGCCGAGCTGGAGGAAGCGCAGGGTGTTGGCGGCACCGTCCTGGATCATGACGACGACGACAACGAAGAGGCGGACGCGCGCTCGGACTATGAGAGCGACGAGTGGGCCGACGGCGACGGCGAGAAGCTTGCCGACTTTGGCGTCGACGAAGACGAGACCGACTACGACTACACGATGAAGCAGGTTGACAATGACGATGACGTGCCGCTGGGCGAGCTGCTACGGCGGAGACGCGCGCAAAAGGCGGACAATGGCGAGTAGTGTATAATACAGTCGGTAACACGGCAAACAGCGTTGAAAACATGTACAAAAGTCAGGCGTATAGAGAGGCGTTACAAAAAATCAGCGATTGGTGTTGGGACCACAATGAATGCATTTAGATCTGGGCACTAAACATAGACATCAATTCATCCCAAATTTCAGCAATGCATGCATTAAAAAAGAGAAAACCCCACGTCTTGTATTTGAAGTCACAGGCTGATGACAGAGGTGACTGCATCTTGATGCTTTGATACCCATCCTGAAAATACCAGCACTTCTGCCCTTAATCAAGGCTTCACGACGTCTACAACGCATCAAATCGAGACCAAGCCATACAATAGCTGCCGCTTTTTGTCTTTGGAATTTCCATCTATCAATTTTCTCTCTCATTTTCCGATACCAGCGTACAAACGAACAAAGATTCCCCTTACTACCTACATACACAAGAAAACGTCCAGTATCCAGTCAAGGAGCAAGCATACAAATAAATCATCAGGACATGGCAAGACAAAAAAAAGAAAGAGACCCTCTGCGTACTAATCTCTCCTTTACCAGTCATCATCTTGCTCTCGTTTTTGCATGGCATTCTTCCTCGCCAGCAGGGCATCCGCCAAACTACCACCGAGACTCGGGGTCGGGGTATTGCTACGGCTCGTGTCGGATCCGCTTGCGCCGTTGAGGCTCATTCCCGAGTCGCGCTGGACGTCCAGCTTGCGAGCGGCAGCCGGTCGCTTAGCGGGCGGTGCAGGCGGCGCGGGTTTTGCCCTCACTGGAGGGGGCGGCGGCGCAGAGGCCTGCTCCTCTACATAGGCGGCGGGGACCCAAGCCTGGCCATTGGAGTTCTTTCCTAGCCACCATCCTATGAACCGTCAGTCTTGTCATGTCAAATGAGCTAGTGCAAGTATGAAACTTACCATTATTTTCCTTTTGGACAATCTCGATCAGTTCACCAGCAGTAACGGTAAGCTCATTGTCTCTGCTGCCGGCAAAATCGTACAGGACTTTGGCCATGATCTTAGGCTTTGCTGGTGGCGCGGCAGGTGGTGGAGGAGGCGGAGCTCTTCCAGCTCCGGAGCTGTTTCTTGTATGGCTTGGAAGGACCTTCTGGACAGCGGGTTGCGTGGCGGGCTGTCGAACAACAGGCGTTGGCACGGCGGCGGCAGCTGGAGTAGAGGCAGCGGAGATGACAGAGGGCGGCTGGGGAACAGTACGTCTGCCTGCTGAAGGTAGAGGCTGGGCCTTTCTGTTGGCCTGCAACCTGGAAGGGCGCCCACTTGGACCACCAGGCCGGATCAGCTTGCCACGAGTGATTGGTCGAGGAGGCACTGGCTTGCCCTTCGGCGTGGGACGTGATGCAGAGTTGGGGGGTTCTCCGGCTGTGGTATGAATGGCACCACTCTTGTAAAAGTCTGCGCGCTGTTGAGAGTCTTTCAACACCTTGACTTGTTGCATCTTGTTGGGCTTCTTGGCGTATTCGATCGTGTCTCCGATTTTGAGGCTGAATCCACCAGGCATGACCCGCTGCATCTGAGTGAACAGCTCAGTCTTCAAGATGCAGTTCATCAGAGGGTCAGGCTCCTGGGGAGAGCCAATACCCAGCGAGAACCAGTCATCCTGAGCTGTCGATACTCCAATGAACTTGATGGCGCCGAGAGGAATGGCCTTTTCTACCACAATCTGGGGCTGGCCACCAACAAGTGTTTGGGCAATGACATAAAGTTTGCTGTTAGTGACGACGATGAGTCGGGGGCTGGGTTTACTGGAGCGACCAAACTTGGCCTCCAGAATCTCAGCACGGCAAGAAAAGACTGCTCGCTCATTCGGCCCCAGGTTAGCAGCTTGCCGGACTTGAGCACCGAAACCAACCGAAGCGTTGATACCCAGGTAGTCTCCCAGGAAGCGGCGCGAGCCGAGGATACTCATCCTGCGACGCTCCTTACGACCCTGAAGGACGCGGTGACCGTGATCACGCAGCTGCAAGTATTCCGCACCGGTCCTCTTCTTGCGCCATACCCGCTGAATGCGAGTGGCACTCTCAGCACGGTACGCGAGGTACGCTCTCCACATTCTTTGGATACGAGTGGCCATGTTGTGCCAGTATCTGTCTCTCATGTGCTCCAAAGCGAACAGCGTCTCGGGCGCTTTGATGAAGGCTTTGGTGACACCCATTTGCCATTCTTCCTTGGGAATGCTTGTATCCTTGAGAATCTGCTTGACAGCGTCCTCGTACGATCCTTGCCAAGTGTATTCGCCGGCGTAGGATGTGGCTGGTGACAGCAGGAAGAAACGATCGACAAATTTGTCAAAAGATTGACGATAAGCAAAACCAGCACGGCGAATGCGGACGTTTTCTTGCAAACCAAGGTATTTAATTTGATGCAGGACGTTGGGGCTGTTGTATTCAGTGGGCGACTTGTTCTCGTTGGGCTTGATTGTTCGAATGTATGAAGGCTGGCACTTCATCAAGGTGTCAACCAGCGCATTGGCAGAAGAGCGAATTCGGTCACCAGCAGATGGAGGCTGTTTGCGGTTATCCTGATCCACTTGCTGGGGAAAAAGCGAATGAATGAACTTGTTACCACTCTTTTGGAACAGATTCAGCAGACCCTTGAGAAGTTGGTCCTTGTTCTTATCCGTGATGCCATCAACGGTGTAGGCAACATCACCAGCATAGTGCTTGATAATGAAGTTTCCCTGACGAGGCGTCAAATGAGCGTGCGACATGCTATTAATGCTGGTCATGAAGGTGCGGTCGCATGCAGCAGGATCGGCGTGCGCGGTCTTGGTGGCATCTTTCATTGCGGAAAAGATGCCAGGCGGGCGGACCTGCTCAATCAAATCGCACACGACCTTGTTATCAAAGTATTGAATAGGAGTCCACTGAATCTTCTCACGAGCATATTCCTCTTGCTCGGTCTTCAAAGTAAGCTGGATAAAGATCTGCTGAAGCTTCTCGTTGACGTAGTTGATGCAGAGCTGCTCAAAGCTATTCTTCTCGAAGATTTCGAAACCGTAGATATCCAGGATACCGACAGCGTTGGCGGTGGCTTGCTGAGACTTGAGCGACTTGTTGATGCGGGCGACGATCCAGTCAAAGAGGTGGTAGTACAGGGCCATGGCCAAGCCGTCACGAGTGGCGGTTGCCTGTGCAGGGTTGGCAGGTGACTCAATAACTTCGCCGTTGCGAGGGGTGAGAATGCGGATGGTGATGCCCTTTATCAACTGCTCTGGAGTGGTTTCGAGTAGATAGGCGGCAAAGTCAACGACGGAGCTGTCGCGCACCTCTGCGTAGCCACTCTGATCCTCTTGAAACTGAATGTTGCCTACCCATAGAATGGTAGCGAGTACGCGAAATACCTCATCCTGCTCTGCTTGTGAAAGGCCAATAACCTTCATAGCATTGAGAGTGTCTTGGAATTCGGCGACATCGTCAATACCCTCAACATCGAAACATTTTGAGCGGCTGGTGTAGAGGTAGGTCTCAGGTTTTTGAATACCGAAGAGCTCTTGATACTGACGAGAAGCACCCTTGGTGAATTGGTAGAAGATGTGGAAGTTTCGTTCGTTGGTAATCTGGCCGACAACTCGAGACTTTTCGAGGAGGTAGTTGGTGATGTCGGCACCGACGGGCTCACCAGTGGAGTTGAAGTAGATTTGGAGGTACTTGCCGAATCGTGAGGAGTTGTTGTTTCGCAGCGTCTTGGCGTTGCCGAATGATTCAAGCAAAGGATTGGTAGCCAGCACCATGTCCTTGATTTTTTGAATATCACCCGACTGACCACCAGACACGTTGGCAATGTACTGCATGATGCGCTTGGCGGCTTCGGTCTTTCCCGCACCCGATTCGCCGGAAATAATGACACACTGGTTCTCGTGGTAGGCTTTCATGTTGTAGTAAGCGGATTCGGCAATGGCAAAGACATGAGGTGGCATCTCCAAGCGATTCTTGCCGCGGTAGCTGTCGAGGACCTGATCGGTGTAGATGCCCAGGTCGCGGAAGGGATTGACCGAGACCAAGACATGGCCAATATATGTGTAGATTTCGGCGCCTTCGAATCGCTTCTTGAGGTTATCATTGATAGCTTCGTTGGACACCTTACTAAGCAGAGTCAGGTCGGAAACACCAATCTCCTTCTTCTTGGTAGTGTCGAAGGTGGCCTTTTTCGGTTTGGCGCTGCCGCCGCTGGCCGCTGCTTGCTGAGCATTGCGGGCGGACTTATCCTTGGGACGCCGTGAGATACCCTACGAGCCGGGTTTAGGGTCAGTGAGGTGTCGGAGGGTACGGAGGAGGGTACGGAGGAGCGCATGCGCCGGCGGAAGGGCTGGATCCTACCATTATGGACGAGGTGAGACTGAGGGAAGAAGGGGGGGAGAGGGGGCCGGGGTGGATGCTGCTAGACGGCCACCATGCAAGAATGAGCTGATTATGGGCGCATTCAAAAGAAGAGCAGGACGTTACACGCAGAAAAGGAAGAATGAGTGAATCAGACAGGATGCTCAAGATGGTAATGCAGATTGGTGGGCTTGGAGGAGATGGGCGGAAATCGGGTGCCTGGCGAGACCAGACTAGGCCAAGCCGGTGACGAAAGACTGGCACTGCCGCAGCGGCCGACCTTTTTCCGCCACAGCGCTACGCACCGCCTCAATGCCACGCAAGTGGCGCGAACCGGACAGAGCTTACGCAACAAAGGCTGGAGCACGCATGACTACGTCATGAGAATGGAACTTGCACTTTGGAACACAATTTTTGTCAAAAACATCGTGGTGGAAGGGTTTCCAGGCAAATGTGTATTTTCGGAGATTAGCCCAGTGACAAACGAGAAGTGACAGCCACTGTGGCTCAGCCCTTCACTGTGGCTGAAGCTCTCTTGTCTACACCGTAGGTGCCAAACAACTCAGTCCTCGAGCCTGCGGGGCGCAACGGCGGCTGGCAGGGGTTTCCTGCACTTTTCTTTCTTTTGAAATTGCTTCCGTTTATATTGAATCCTTTTGTGCTATCGCAATGATTGGGTATTGATGTAGTCTCGCCGGCAGCTGCCCATCAATACCGCCACGCAATACAGCTCCACGGTGTACCAGCACGACCATGTTTCAGTACTCTGTACTCCGTACGGAGTAATAACGACGCATGTGCAGTTATATCCGGCTGCAGATATATCGTTTTGTACGGAGTAGAAGATTTGCATTCCACGACACCAATCAAACCAGAGCAAATTGCCTACTATACAGTTTCGGTCTGTCGCTTCCACCTTGCTATTTAGGTCATTTAGTACAGCGCTACGTCAGCTGTTGTAGGCCAATTCAAGCACGACCCAGGAATGCCACTGTGTCAGTTGCGGGGTAGCGCATCGTCCATCATCGCCAAAGTGGGGTAGCTGGTAGCTCGCCTAGCCAGGAAGGACCAGAGGTACCTTCGCATCTGCAGGGTCCCCGCTGTGACGCTGCGACAACCCTCCGCGCCGCTTGTACCCTTTGCTGGCCACTTATCCACCCACTAACGTCCGCAGCCAGCCAGCATCTTCAACAGACCTTGATGTGCCGCTTCCATGCACATGGTTGCTGTGGCTGCTCGAAATAGTCCATTAAATACCATCAACACCCCCGCCTCTTGTGCTGCCCATCTTGCTTCATCCATATCGTATCGAAACCTTTTACCCTAACGCTGTCCAACCTCTTATCTTTTTTTTTCTTTGCCTGCGTCTCTGCGAAACCTTGATACAAGGGCCCAGACACCGCCACAGCTAGTACGACTGGACCGCTCCGCTGCTTCTAGTAGCGCCAAAGGAACGCTGCGCGTGCCTGCTCCATTGTGATTCGGCGGCCGCCCACCAGTTAGTTAGTTGCCTTGATCGCTTGTGACTACAAAAGCTTACTTACAACTTTCGTCGCCACCGATTGCCACCTTACAATTTACAACCTTTTTCTCCCTCTCTCTTCATCGTCAAAATGGCAGACAACGAGCAAAAACAAACCGCCGCCAAACCTGTCGAGGATGCGCCCATTTCGCCCATTGAACGCAAGAACTCGCTCGAGAACCACCTGATGCATCGTCCCGACCGCGCTGCACTAGTCGACAGTACGTTGCCAACTATTTACAGCCAGTCGTTTTTGCTGCCTCAATTTCTCTCGTCACTGCATCATTCTGTATCACTGGGACGTCATGAACAGTAAAGGAACTAACCTGTCATTCCTCATTTTCCAGAAAACATTCTTCCCGCATCCAGCGCTGCACCAGGCCTCCTCTCACAACAGAAAGAAGTAAGTACTACATGACTGGCCAGGTCGGCGGTAATCCGCGGAATCCATCCTGTACCCGCGTTATTGTTGGGTGAGCGCTCAGGCGGGGATTAAGGTTGCCGTTTTCGTACATGCCGGCCTGTGTGCCATGGGATGGCACCATGTCGTTGCAGACCGGGGCTTGACCGAGCAAAATCTGTCCAGTAGTTGCTGACCCCTCTTGTTACACAGCTTCAGAAGCACATGCTCGAGGATAAGCTCAATGACAAGATTTCGCATCGTCCGGACCCCGAGGCCCTCGTCAAGGATGGTGTACTGCGCGAGGACCCCCGCTCAGCAGAGGAACGATACGAAGAAGCTATTGAAGACGAATACGCAAAGCGTGAAGGCGGCGCGTAGGTCATAATGGCTCGGGAATTTTCAAGGTCCGAATCGCTGAGAACCTTGTGGGATGCAAACTCAAGAGGCTGAGATTGGTGGTTTCGGAATGAGACACAACGCCTTGGTAACCTCCACTCATATGCAGTTAAAAACAATCAAATGCAATCAAATTCAAGAATGAAATAAAATTCCAAACAAGAAAGTAGTTCCTCTGGAGGAAGGCCATTTAGATGAATACGTGCATATGCCATGCAGCCATGCCTGCAGCCACATGCAAGGACAGCACCTTCCTCGTTAGCTGACGCTTAAGATCGCGGAAGCGCATGTTGCACGAATCGGCTCTCTGCGGGAAAAGTTTGGTCTCGATCCTTGTCCATGAAGAGATTGCTTTTCGGAAGCCAGCAACCTACCCCTCTCTTATTATCTCGTGTAGCGTTGGGCTCCAAGCTCCACGATGCACTGCCTAGGAGATGCCTCAGGCCATGCTTGGAGGAAGAATGATGCGCGATGGATTCTTTGAGTGAGAGACTGAAACAAAAAGAGGGGCCGGGCCTAATTATATCTCGAACACTTTTTTTTAGGTTCCCGCCTGGTTCATCGCCAATGGCGGTCGCTCGCAGCATCGCGAATCGGGCCACTGGGAACGTTCCCTTTTCAATTGAGGGAGGGGGGTGCGCACCGCAACGGGCTGAGCACTTGGCGTTTGAGGGTAACACAAATCACCGGGTTTCTCTTTGATGACGTGCCGAAGCTGCAGATTGCATCGGCTTTGTGCGACACTGGGTATACTGTTGCATATAGTCTGTCAGGTTGGTTGTGGAAAATTGCCAGTTGTATTCGACTGTAGGAAATTCTGTAAAAACTCAAATGCAAACGCGGTTGGTTCTATATCGATGGATTTTCTCCCTTCATCTTCACCGTCTATTTTACTGGCAGCATCCAGTTTTTCTATAATAAAAGCAAAGCTGTTTCTGTCGCCTCGCGGCCCCGCTCAAAATATATATATCGACAAAGTAGAGAAATGTGAAGCTCGATTCGTAGTCCAAACTCGTAAAGCCATAAAAAAAAGGATCAGAAAAAAGAATCAAAGTGTAGAGATCGTAGGTAATGCTAGTGACGACGGGACGAGCTGGGCCTGTAGACTGGCGAGGGGGTGCCTTGACTGTCTTGACCACCGCCTGTATAATGGCCGTTGCCGATATATGTGACCGGTCTGTTCTTGACTGAGCGCTTGGTTAATCTAGATCCCTAAAGGAGACACGAATTAGCATCGAGACACTCACTCTTGGATTTCGCCATATCGGGGCTTGGCGAGCCTGGCGTGCTGTAGCCAGAGTGGGAGCTTCGTACAGAAGAGGCAGGGGATGAAGATGGCATGTTGATTGTATGTTTGGAGAGTCTTTAAGGCTTCAAAGTAGTTCAATTGAGAGTCAAGATGAGGAAGTAGAAAGAGTCAATGCGTATTGTATTCGAGTTGATGAATGGTGAGATGGAATGGAAACCTCATGATTCAGGATGTCGAAGGCGACCAGACCTATAAATACTCCAAGTCTACAGAGAAGAGGGATCGAACAGGGGTTATGAAGAAAAGAATAGAAAAGGGTGTGACAAAAGTGTAGAAGCAAAGATGACAGTTTCGTCAATACGAACACCCAAAACCCGGATCAAATCCCTGGCGAGTCCAACCTCCAGGCATCACAAGGACCGAGACCAAAGGAGGCGCCCAATGAACGGCAGAAGCCCCAAATTCATCCAGCAATGCCTACAAGAGCCCCTCTAGTGTACCGGGCCACAAGAACAAGAATTTGTGACTCAGGCTTGTTGGAAATGGACTCCCTCGGCCGCGCCGCTCTTGTAAGAGGAGGGGGGGTGTGTGTGGCCTTGTTCATTGCGTCTGGGGGTGGACAAAATCCACAGTGAACTGGTACGAATTGGCCAACAATGGTAAAGGGAAATGCGAAAAGACAACAGGCACAGATTCACAAATGTACAGTTAGAAACGGGGCATTTTTGTTAGCAGCAGTGTTGCTGCCTCGACGTTCCAACGTGACTCACTAGGCTGGGGCAACTTGCCGACCCATGGGGCTTGTCTACGGTGGGGGGAAAGCCAGAAAGCAAGAAAGGGAGTAAAGAGGCAGGGAAGCAAGCAAGCGACGAATAGCAAGAGGCATTTCAGCAATCAACGTTTGTAAATTCGAAAAATGGACGTCACTTTGGGGGTGCATTTTCACAATGACATGGGGGGGGGGAATTTGAGGGTCCATCGTAGGCAGTTGTGTGGCCGCCTAAAACTAAGTGGACCAGAGTAAAAAACGCCCGTCCGCCCAGCGGCCCCCCTTCCCTCTCTGCAAGGCTACTAGTTGGTTCCGCTCGCTATAAAGAGAGTTCCAAGGGGCATAGGTAGTTAGGAGAATAAATAAAGAAAAAAAAAAAGAGGATACCCGGAGCTAGCATCGTCGATACGAAGAAGCCACGGACGGGTTTGGGTGGGAATCACAATTGTGTCGAAACGGGTGTGTGTGTGGAGGAGGAGAACAAGAACAAGAGGGAAAGAAATGGAGAGGAGAGCAAAAGTGACGTGAAGGACAAGAACACAAAGAGAGTCTCGAACAGAGGCGATGAGAGAAAAGAGAGGACGGGCGACATAAGCTACAGCGTATATGTTGGACGACAGGGACGACAGGGTGGGCATTTTGAGAAGAAAAAAAAGAAAATGGAAAACAACTCTGCCGCCGTTGACCCGTTTCGTCCGAAATTGTTCGCCTCGTTTTATTACACTCGCACGTCAATCAATTGATGCAAGGCTCATGCTTTCTTTTCCCAGTCCAGTCCAGCCTCGCGCTATTGCATACATAGGGCGAGTCTGTGGGCGTTGCAGGAAGCGGGAGGGGGAGGAGGGGAGAGAGAGGAAAGAGGGGGGGGGGGGGGGCGCAGGATAGATAGATAGCCTTCTGCATAGGTACCTAGTTTCCTTGCCGAACCCACTCTCCAAAACCAAAGCTTCTTTTTTTCTCTTGCGCCTTTTTGCACCTGTCAAAAGTCGTTTTACCATCATTATCATTACGCCCAGTAAAAATATCCCGGATGAGCGCCACACACACCCAAAAAAAAAACGGCGGGACGTGTGAGGCGAGGCGAACCCTGCAATCCCTCAACATAGCTTTCCCGCCCACTCATTGGCAACCCGTGTCGTCGAGGTCACAGGCTTGTCAAACGTGACCTGATGATGGCTCCAGCCAAAAAAAGCTTCGGCCTGACTGTTTGGTTTTCCTCGCTGCCTTGCTTTCCCCCCCGCCCATCGTTTTCCTGTTCGCCCCCAAAAAGGTACGCGCCCGGCTAGCTGCAGCGCCGCCGCCGCCCCGATCCAAAACTTTTTTTGCCCGGCCGCATTCTGCGAAAAAGTGTACAACGACACCGCCAACGTACGTCAACTTGCCTTCCCGAAAAGCTTGCGTTGCACCGTGCTCTGCTAGGCGCTGTCTGTCTCTCGCCCACCCGACTGCCAAGGTGGCTTGCAGGGCTTCCAGCTTCTATCTAGCCTTACCTGATGCGCACCACCCCCCCCTTTCGCACTGCAAGGGCCCGCCGCAGTTCTCTCGATCGCAAGCAGCCACAGAAAGCGTACCTGTTCATCATGATAAATGCCGCAGCGTGACATGATAGAATCCGTACAAAATGATCATCATAATAATAATAATAATAGGTTGCTCGGAGAAAAGAGGAGAGACGCCGGTGGTGTAACCGAGCGTCAAGAAGTTGTGGCGGGGTGACTGCAGCTGTCACTCGTATACTCGCCTACCCCTCGTCTTCAATTCAGGAACTCTAGCAATTGAACAGAAAAGATTGGCTGGCAGTCTGGCAAGCTTGGCGGGTGACACTGGCGCGCACAGAAGCTTGGCCATCCAGACCCTTCCGAGGCTTTTGCTTCTTGAAGAGCCAAGGAGCAGGGTTTGGAGGGTAACACCGCATGTGCCAGCCGGCTCTTCACCCCCCTCCCCTCCCTTCCCTCCCTCCCCTTTCATCTCAGACAAATCGACGAGCGTTGGGCTGCAGACACAAACTTGCGTGTGCAAGGTGACTTGTGATGTGTCAGGATAACCCGGCTTATAGCCTCAAAAAAAAAAAAAAACAACTACTGGCCACTGCATGGATCACGCCGAAAAACGAGGAAACAATGCGCGCATCTGCGCCTTTGTTTGCAAAAAGAAAAAAGTTTTTCTTCTTCTTTCTGCAACGGCTGGTGCTGTGCCACATGACAAGGCAAGCACTTTTTGCTTTTTGTCGTCTTGGATACCATGACGACGAATTATCGAGTTGAGGTGAGGCGCAGCCCAATGGACTGCACTGCCGGCCCTAGTTCACCCGTCCCTGGCTGTAGACGCCTCTGACGCAAGCAAGCAAGCCCTGACAGTGACAAGCTGAATATGAACCAAATGTACAGATCAGACGAAAACGGTAAAAAAAAAACAAAATGGCAGTCAATTTCCTAGGCCCCAAGCTAACACGTTGTAACAGCCAGCGCGTGGTCTTCCCTCTCCTGGCTAGAAGCATATTAGATACTGATATGACGAAGGGACTCTAGCCCTGGTGTATAGTCATAAACAAAGCAAGATTTGTACTAACCTGATGTCTACATATATATCCTCGAGGTAAGTAGTATCTGTTAGTTTTGAGAGCGTTGGGAGATCTGGGCACCGAATCGGCGAGGAGAGACGAAGCGACCGCAGCTTCAACTGCTTGATAGACTGATTGCTATATCTGTTGCACAAGTCAGAGAAGAAAGTGCGGTACGGGGGGTCTGCACTCGATCCGCTCATCTCGTCCTCAATCGCCCATCTGGTCAACGTCCCGATTGAGAAGCTGAGATGTTCTAATGACGGGCTTTGGCATAGGAGATCTGAAATCCAATTCAACCAGTAGCTCAACTCCCCGAATATGTCGAGCAGTGTCAGTCGTGTCAGGTTTTCGAAGGGTGGGAGAATGCAACAAGGGCGATCGTGCCACATTGCCTCCGTGTCATATTCATCTAGATCAGGATTGGCCCTCCTCAACAACACAGCTTGAATATCTCTAGTAAAGTGCAATACAAGGCTTTTCAAAGAAGCTGTATTGGAGAGTGCTAGCATAACGTCGTCAGATACGTCCAGCTCATGAGCGCTATACAATCTGTTAGTCGAGTGATGAATGGGTGTATCGTAGTCTTCACCCACACGATGCTCTCCAGATTCGGGAGTTTTCGCACCAACTCAGCAAGCTCGGCTACCCATTCCTGGAAAACCTGATTCAAGTCAGATCCATACTCATCAGCCAACTTATAAATGTTGTAGATGAGAATCCTGGTATGCTGTAAGCTCGGGGATTGGAGGATGATGCCACGCCTTTCTTCATCCGTAAAGCAGTGCTTGTTAAGGTCATCGAACTCGAGGCATCTCCACAGTCGCTTGGAGAAAATATGGTTAAAGTGTCTGCTAACGAGGCAGAGGTCGTAGAGTAGCTTTTTATTATTGACCTGAAATCGCGAATCATTGTGTTGGGAATCGATGGCTTCGGACTACTTCCAACAATTGCGCCATACTCACATGGTCACCAATCAGGTTGAGAATGTCGAGACATTCGCCTATAGTGGAAGCCATTATCCAAATTATTCAAGAGATTGAGAAGCAAAAACGAAAAGGCAACCACGGGAACGAAAATAAGATGCAATTGAATGCGGATTTGTTGTGGAACGCCTTCGAGGGTGTGTGCGAGAGAAGCTGGGTCAGAGACCGAAGCCTGGCGAGCAGGTAAGGTATATCGGAAAGCAAACGAAAGCTCCGAGAGCGAGCCCTACTCACTTCCGCGACGTTCTACAAGGATCTAAGCATTAACTGTTGCGCTACGTAAGCTGACAAGGTCGGATTCATGGGAATAAACAAACAAACAATCTCCCATGTTTTTACGGCAAATTAGCTATATAGAGGACAATTATGCCGGGACCAAGAACATCTCTTCCATGAAATCGAAGCAATTCAAGCCTCAACAGCGCATCATGACGCTCAATATTCCACCTTGAGGCAATTTGCAGCTATCTAGAGATCGTATAGCTTCACCTTCGAAGGTGGCCGGAGATGTAAACTACTTTCACGGGTGTCAACATCACATAGAGGGTGAGCAGGAGCAGCGTGAATCCTCCAGTTAGGCTCTGTTTGCGAGGACATCCGTTTGCCGGCGACTGACAGCCCAGCTCCCTACAACTGCGCACTTGGGTATCCGACAAATCTCAGATATTGGCTGCCAGCCTCCTCCCTTCTAGGGCTTGAGTGGCTACAGAGATTCCTGAGCCCCTCCCCCCGATGGCGTCTCGAGTGCCTAATGACATGCTTCGTCCCACTGGTGATAATTCTCACCAGATCACAGAGCTTTCGAGGCCTGGAGCCAAAAAGCTTCTCAGATCAATTATCGAGTGCTTTTGTCTGGTGAATAAGCGATTTCAAGACATCTGTTCGATTCAGCTAGGGCGATGCTTCGAGATTCGTTACCTGTCGTCATCACGGCTTCAGCATTGCTTCAGCATTGCTTCAAGCCTACTGTTCTTATCCGCCCCCACGACTAAAAGCCCACACAGACTCTTCTTTCCAACAGAATTGTAATCTGTCATGAGGGGTTCCGAGTTTCGGGCGACAAAGACGAGACACCTATGAAAAGGCTTCTGCAGCTGCAGCACACCGGTCCGTAGGTGATTTTTCTCAATATGAAGGGCGGAATAGTAGACGGGCACTTCAATAGCTGTATTTCCACAGACTCGGGTATCACAAACATGCATTTAGTTTTATGAGAGCTATTTCTTATCTGCCGCACCTGCAAAGTGTTGCGCTGGAATTTGCGCACGATATGCGGCATTGTCTTCTGAAGCGGCAATATTTGTGTTATTTGGGGCGTCTTTGGGTGATGAACGTGATGGACTGACTGAATAGCTTTGTTTCACAGCCCGTCTCTAAAGCACCGGAGCCTATCAGTTGACGGTGACAATTGATTCGTTGCATATTCTATGTCATACCTCCACATGTCGATAAAATTCTCGGTATCTGGGGAATGACTGAGTGGTCTGGCGAATCGAAGTCGGTCGAAACAAAGTACCACAAGTCTTGAGACATGAAGAGGCTTGAGCCATGGAAGGTCGACTGTCCCCGACCGTTTCACACTCCCAACTCGCTATCAGTATTCGAGGCTTGTTGTCATCCGAATTGGTGGTTGATGGACAAGTATGCGACGAGCTTTTTGGAACTGACTATCTAAGTTGAAAGCCTAAAGAAGGAAGCAGAGTAGGAACCATTAATCCAAGGAAGCGCAGTATGCCATGTAGAATGACAATGCAAATTGCGATTCTATACTCTATATATATTTCTAATCATAAGCTTACCACCAGACAAAAAGCCACCACACATCGTGATCCTACCCTGGCAGGTACCTCCAGGCGTGTGCCATGACCCCCCCATCACTTTATGCACTGTTCCTAGATTTCCACCTCCACTCGAGCGGGGCTCATCTACAGTGAGCAATGTGGCCTATCTTAAGCGTCCCTTACCGCCCGCATATCTCCCTCTTCTTCCACAAACCCAATTCCACAACCATGAAGACCGCCACCGTCCTCTCCGCCATTGCGGCCCTCGCTGCCACCGCCGCCGCCGCCGCCGAGCTCAAGATCGACGTCACCCACAAGGTCGAGTGCGAGCGCAAGACCAAGAAAGGCGATAAGGTCTCGATGCACTATCGCGGCACCCTTGCTGCCGACGGTTCGCAGTTTGATGCCAGTGCGTCTCCCCCCGTTGTTTGCCTCCTCGAGCGACCGCTTCTGCTCCCCTTAGGGGCTTCATCAGCTCGATATTCGAGTGCATTGCTAATGGGTCGTTCAATTCGCAGGCTACGACCGCGGTTCCCCGCTCGACTTCAAGGTTGGCGCTGGTCAGGTCATCAAGGGGCAAGTTGCCACGCGCGAAGCCGTCATACGAATCTACAGCCGCTAACAATGAATCTGTCAAATCAGCTGGGACCAAGGTCTTCTCGACATGTGCATTGGCGAGAAGAGGTGCGTTGAACGCCTCAAAAAGCACGACAGTCTACCAAAGCATGCTAACCATGCTCCTGTAGAACTCTCACGATTCCACCTGAGTTTGGCTACGGCGACCGCGGCATCGGCCCCATCCCCGGCGGTGCTACTCTCAGTGCGTCCCGCCTACGATCTCATCTACGTACACAGCCAGCTAACATCAGCCAGTCTTTGAGACCGAGCTCGTCGGCATCGCCGGCGTGGAACCCCCGAAAAAGGCTGAGCAGGTCGACGACGCCACTGCGCCCGAGGGCGATGAAGAGGCCGTCAAGGTAAATCCTATTGAAGTTATTCGCCGTATACTCTGTGGGCGCAGTCCGCTAACGTGAGCGCCTCTTCTCCTTTCTCCTCCGTTTAGAAAGAGGAGCTGTAAATATTATATACAATTTGCACAGCGACGCGAGAATGAATTGATATCACATTTATATGTTGATATCCCCCGACGGTGCCTTGATATTTTTCGCATATAGACGTTGAACAGTTGACGCTCTCGTACCAAGCAAATATTTTCGTACATTCTGGCACCTCTCCATCTTGTTGTCTGGATCAAGGCACGGAGCCTCGAATTGTCGAGTAGTATTTCCAACAAGTACGAACATTCATACTACAACACACCGCAAACAGTACCTGACTCAGCACTCAGGCCGCCATACGTGCACTGATTGGTCCTCGACTTATTGTCGTGGCCGAGAGGCAATCAGCCGCGCCTCATTTTGTAGCTTTACGGGCAGCGCACAAGCCAACGTAGTCAACCTCATATGTCACGATCAAGCTATCAAATTTCCTTTGACTGCGGCCTGACTAATGTTTGCGTTGGGATTGTCGGAGATTGGCCAACATGAGCCATGTTTCCAAGCACGAACGTGAGTCCGCCGTAAATCACATAAGCTCGTAGATTTGCTAGACACGTCATATTCTCCGCACGCATCAATTGAAGAAGGAAAAGGAGTAACGAAGAGCTAATACGAGACTCACCGGTCCGTGAAATTTCTAGAAGTGACTGACTGATGCTTAACATTTTGTCGAGATGATTGCACTCCAACTTGCTCTGCCGCCACTTACACGACCAGCGTGTGTTAACAAGCTTGCTTGTCACCTGCCCCACTTTCACACACCAGAGCTTTGCACAACTTGCTTGCTCTCAACTTCATCTCTATCAATCTCACAACCACGTAACGGAACCATTTCCAAGAAACTACTATGGCTGGCTTGGTAAGCTACGCCAGCAGCGATGAAGACAGCGCCGATGAGCAGCCTCAAATACAGGCCCCCCCGCCTTCAAAACAGGTACGCGGCGTTGCAAGAAAATAGCCCATTGCCCTGGTCATCTGCTAACGAAAGTTGTCAGACGCAACCTCAACCACAACCATCACAGCCCGCGGTAGCAACGGCACCCAAACCCGCAGCCCGTGAGTCAATTGACAACCAACAGCCCTCGGAGACATGTCTTCTCACCTTTCGTACAGCTGCTGCCCCATCACCACACGCGCCACGCGTCCCCGGCGCCTCACTCCCCCCTCCTCCCAGCAGTGCCTTACCTCTCGGCCCATCCCTCCCGCCCGTGGCCCTTCCCTCTGCCTCTGCCTCCGCCTCTTCCTCTCCGTCCCCTTCGTCTCCGTACACCACCACCCGATCCCTCATCCACGACCTTACCCTCCCCTCCATTCCCAACTTTGACATTCCCCCCTCACCACCGCGCTCCCGCTCCCCGTCGTCCTCCTCCTCGGCAACCACCAAGAAATTTGAGCAATTCCTCTCGCTCAAGAAAACAGGTACTCATTTCAACGCCAAGCTCGAGCAGTCGTCTGCGCTGCGCAATCCCGCTTTGATGGATAAACTGTTGGACTTTGTCGACGTATCGCCGCCGGGCGGTGGTGATGGTGGTGGTGGTGATGGACAAGGTCGACAGAAGGAAAAGGCGTTACAGTACCAGACGACGCTGTCGGCAGAGTTGTGGGATCCGGGCGCGTTTCCAGAGTGGGCGTTTCGAGACAGGTTGCGGAGGAGCAGCGCAAAGGTGGCAAAGGAGAGAGAGATGGCGAGGGCGGCGGGGGGACGGAGCAGCGTCGATTTTGTGTCGGGGACGACGGCGGCGGCGGCGGCGGCGGCGGGAGGAGGCGGATTGAGAGAGAAGCGAAAAGGCGGATGGCAATGAAACCTACCTCGACCTCGCAAGGGACACAATTTATCCAAGATGCCAACTGCCGCTACAGTCACATTTTATATGTACCAAGAAAAATTGATACCCATTGCATTGAATAATCGCCATTGAATTGAATAATCACCATTGAATTGAATAATCACCATTGAATTGAGGCATCCGGCCTTATAACTAGCAAATCGAGGTATCTTGAAAGTGCGCTGCTACCCGAGCAGTGCAACGACGTTGTCGTGATTTCTACACAACGCAACGTGAGGGCAACGCCCGCCGAGCAATGTACAATGGCTTCTTCCTCCCTTGGAGCACAAAAGCCTTCCCAATCGTGTCAACATATCGAATCCTTCCCCATTATCCAACTTTAAAAAACATGCGCCGAAATCACAGGTCGTTTCGTACAATAGACCCAGTATTAAGAGTACTCATAAACTCGCATCGCCATCTCACATCATCGTACAGTCGATACAATCGTTATACAACGACTATTTCGAGAGCCCCTTGGAACACTTGACAGAGGCGGGGATGTTGGAGGAGCGGAGGGTGTCGGTAATGTTGAGCTCGACCGTCTGATTGGCGTGGGCCAGAGCGTACTGGAAGTAAGGAATTTCTACACCGTCGCGGGTGACATTGTTGCCGATCAGACTGAAAGCAGCGACACCAGTCTCGCAATAAGGCTTGGCGCCTCCGGCGAGGACAATGATTTGGCCCTGATTGAGGCTGCCAGTGACATTGAGAGTGTTGGTGCCGGGAACGAGCGAAAGGTTATCGATGTAGAGCTTGCCGAGGTTCTGGCCGAGGAAGTAGTTGTCAAACACGGTGTTGCCAATATCAAGAGAAAAGTGCGAAGGGTTTGGGAGCTCGGTCTGGGCGTAGAAGTTGCGAAAGTTGGGGTCGGTGCCGTTGTCAACAGAGAGGGTGACGCGGGGGTTGATGACCTTGATGCCCTTGAAGAGGTTGAGACCCTTGACCTCGAGGACCTTGTGAAAGATGACGTCGTACTTTTTGCTGAGGCCTTTGGGTTGGACCTTGGTATTGCCCTTGATGCCAATCTTGAGCGTCTCATTGTTGACGAACCAAGTGTTAAACTTGTTAAAGGCATCCATATTCTTGATCTCGACATGCTGGTCGACTTTGACGTTGGAGTGCTTGTTGGCGTTGGTAGGGGGAAAGTCGAGGACGGCAAAGGGAGTCTTGTCGTCCGTGTCCTCAAGATACATGTCGCCGGCAAACGCATCAATGTCGGCCTTGACAGTGCCATCGGTAGAAATGGTCGAGTCGATGGTCATGTGGTACGAGGTAGGGGTGGCATTTGTAATCTTGACGGCGACAATGTCCAGCTTGGCCTGGTTAATCTTGTCCTGGGCGATTCTGGGGATAGCGACAAATATTCTGTAAAGTCGACATGATGAGCATGGGATTCTCCAAAATACGGCTTTCTTTAGACTTGAGTTCAGACGGCGCTGGCGGAAACCAGTTGGTCGAGTGTGTGTGGAACGGGCTGGGGATAGTTTAAACTCTGGACCAAAGCCACGAGACCCCAACTCGAGCAGCCCTACCCGCGCTACTGTTGCATAGCCAATAACGAGAGACGAGCATGTTTTGTCTGATTTCGAGGCGAGAATGGAAAAAAGAAAAGAGCAAAAGTGATGGGGGGTGTCAACTCACGTCATTAGGACAACAAAGACGGTAACGAGGACAAAAATTATGAGATGCAGCCACCAGAAGCGCTGGCAGTGACGCTTGAGGGCGGCCTTCTTGCCGGGTTGGGGAGCGACACGCTCAGTGGCATAAACCTCGTTCTTGTCAGACATGGCGAAGAAGTCGTGAAACTTGGAATTCGGTGTCGATGATAAAAAGATGTAGGCGGGCCGAGAGGGAGGAGGCCTAGGTCAATGCGACAAGCGAAGGAAAGCGAGGGAGGTCCGAGGTCGAGAGACGAAGAGGAAGAGCAACTCCAACTAGGGGAAAAGAGGAAGAGAAAAAGAGCGAAAAGGAGGGTAAATAAGAGGATGGCGATGGGCTAGTATTTAACTTATTGGAGCGCAAAAGGGATGGTGGTCGCGTCTTAAGCTTGTGAGCAGAAGAGCGAGACGGAGGCAAAACGCATGGGGGGAGATACCTGCCTGGATGTACCCGTAAAGTGCCAGCTGGATTGGGGAACTATTCGTATGTACTGATAGTAGGATGGCATGGACCCTGGCACTTGGCACCCTAGGCTCTCTTCGGCGTTGCAGAGACCCACCGAGCAGCAGGCAAATATCATTCTGTTTTCTTTTTATAATATAATGATTTTCGGTTCAACAACTCCGTAATAACAGCTGGGCAGTGGGCTGAGCTGGGCTGACCTCGCTGATCAACTGCTGAATCTTGTGCTTGTCGACTGTCTCGCAGGATTGGGACGCCACCATAGACTAGTGTAATTAGTACGGAGAGGCATACCAATTCGGCCGGAAAAGCAGCCTCTAAGTAATTGGTATTATGGTATTGCAGTGATCTAAGTACCAAGATTTCCGACAGCTGAATACCGACAGTATTGGTACATAGAAGGGCTGCTATAGGCACAGACATGCCTAACCTTTCCGCAAAGCCGCCTCGCCACAAACACCGCTGAATCATGCGAGCACTTGCCACGGCCGGAGCTCGCCCTCTCAGAGGTCTGAAAACTAACAATGCCAACCCCGAGCCAGACAAGACGCCACTCTCTTTTGGTGCATTTGGGCCGTGGTGGCCCGCTAGCGTGATGCCTGGTGGCTGCTGTCAACTGCTCGAGCGAGTGGGCCGAACTACCAAACAAGTTGTTGTGAAAGGTGTACAGTCCCGCGCAAAGTGCTACGAGTGCCTATTCTATATAATGAAGATCGAATAGTCAACGTTGTACACTATGAATGGTGGATGGGTGACACGTGTAGTTATGTAGTTATGTACTCATAATGAATTATAACCTGTCTGCTTGACTCCCTGCAAGCCCTGCAATTACAACCCTCCACCACTAAAGCCCACCAACGCCACACTCCCCAGACTCGCCCCGCAGCGCCAGACTCTAGCGATAACCCACCCCTGCACCACCCTTGCACCCACGGAGCAACTCAATAACAGGTGCGTGGTAATAAGCACTTCAGCGGCCGTAGCCGTCATTCTCTGCAGAGACGAATTGGACTAACAAAACAAAATCCCATGCAGCCACATGGTCCAGCACACTTGAAAGGACAAGGCCACGCCCTTGCCCCCAATGGCGCACACTAAAAACCGGAGGCGGCGCGGCGGCGGCGCCTACGCCTCGGCTCCTTGTGATGGGTTGTCTCGAATCACTCACCCGCGACACACGTGAAATCGACATGCATCGTCAGAATAATCGTATTTGGTTATTTGGTTACTTGGTATCTGTTGCGGCTGCTACGAAAGAGCGGCAAGACTCGATGACGAGACAACTTCACCCGCAGCAGTGGAGGCTATAGACACTGCGCTATAATGCTGCCCCAAGAAAAAAATTCTGTCCCGCCCTCATTTCGACCGTCACCTTACCCAGAATCTTCCCTTTCCCCCCGGGGCAGCCAAGCTCTCAAGTGACTCTAGAGGTTGCCCCAGCCGGCTTGGCCACTGGCAGCTCTGACAGGTGGTGGGCTGGTGTCGCGCTGGTCCGGCCTGTCCGACGTGCCGAGTCAGGCAATCGCTCAGCTTACAGGGCCAGTATTGGTAACACAATTGACTGCAACTTTCTCTTGTTTCCTTTGCATTTTTCTTTCGATGCAGCACATCGCGGCTCGGGGGGCATTACGACCTGCTGGTGCTGCCATCGTTATTACCCACGGGCTACAGAGCCTCATACCTTACTCTCCCTAGTCAGTGAAAAGCATATCATGGCGCTATTATACCAGTTTCTGCCGCGTTAAATGACATTTGCACCTCCACCGGACCCCCCTGAACTGCAAACAACATACGACTTGGCCACCTCCCCATCTGGAATGAATGGGGTGCCGCTCGGCCGCTGAAGATGCATCTCGGCCTCTAGGTAAGGTGACTCGAACCAATTTGCGGAGAGGGTTCTGTATCATCTCCAGCGTTCCTTTTGCCAATTTTTCTGTATTTGGTTTTGATTCTGTGGTTGCTTTTGAGGCTTCCGTTGCCGCCCGACCTTCTGGAAGGGAACACAGCGCGAGGCTGCATCTCTCGACACCACCAAGAGCAACGGGCCGAACTAATTTTTTCTGTTGCAGATGCACGTAAAATTTTACATCTGACTCTGGTCCAGTTTATTCTACTGTCGCTCATTAACCAAATGCGGCTGATAGATCGGGAACATTTGCCCGGAACGAACGGCTCAAGCGAAAAGATTCGGCGAGTTAGCTGCCGGGTGCCAGCTGTCAATGCTTTGCGCGAGCAATTCCTCCACCTGGCATCTTCCTTCCATCAACATTGGTAGTCCGTCAACATCAAGACCGCGTTATCGCGTCAAGCACTCTTCATCATCATTTGGCCTCATCCAAACTAGCAATTTTCACTAGCAAGTTTCAGCCATCATGCCCTGCCTAGTCAAGGGTCACGCGCACACTACCCCACGCCCCAAATCGACGTCGACGCTCACACTAGAAAACTCTGTTTGATGTCTCCCACGTCTCCCTAGCTCGGTACCTGGCTCCATCGCGGACCAATATCCAGGAAAGGGCAATCGGTCGCCCTCTAACTATGGAGGTGGGCTGGAAATGCCATCCCATCCGGCCCACCAAGCCAACCGCGACGTAACCCGAGATGGTGCAGAGTGCGCAACTTGGACCAACCAATGGCAATCCGTCCTAATATCACTTGCAATGCAGTCTACTAAGGATGTACACACATACATATAGCCCGCATTGACTATCAGTAATCGTGCTACTGTAATAACATTCAGCGTGACTCGTCGAGGAACTAGATTCCGACCGCTCGGACCCGAAGAGATCCTTATGAAGCATAACTACATATGTAGTATCGCTTTCGGCTCGCGCAACCTGCAAGCCTCGGATCTGCCGCCACCGTCAAAAGCCAATTTGGTCGCCGTCCTGGCCGATGCTTGTACGATCCTAGCTTCTATACGCGACCAGCAATTTGCAGCTAAACCAGCATCTCGTCTTCTCGCAAAATTTCTAATTTCACTTTTCGGTCGAGAGGTCGAATGTCGACAGCTACTGCACCAAGCATCTGCGAGGGTAAACATCACAATTCTGAGTAATCAGCGCGGCCAATCCCGAGCGACCTATTGCTGGCACTGGTGTGTCCAGCTATTCCACGCCAAGCCGACCGTGGCGTTATTATGCGCTGCCAAGTGTGAACCCCAGACACCAGCCTTGCCTGCCAAGCTGCCCCTCCAGTTTCACAGGCATCAATCACCTTGCCTGGCTGTATAGTTTGCGGCTCCAAATTCGTACGTACCCGAAGCTCAACGGCATATGGGCACAAGTCCCGGTCTTCCTGCTTTCCGGTCTGATAATGGGCAGAGAACGCATCATCAATCAACTTTTAGCCATAACCGCGAAGGCACATGGCGGGCTACACAGTGCGCCAACTGGTATTATGGCAATGCCTTTCACGGACTGGGCTCTTCTTGCTGGGCCAAGGGCAACAGTACCAGCGCGCCAGATGATTTCCCAGCGCCTGCAGTTCTCGTCAAGTGCATTCAAGGTCCACGTCAAAGCGATATGATGAACAAGACAAGAGCTGGACTGTAAACTCGATTGCTGCATGTACTGTGAAAAGCTGACATGTTTATGAGTTCCCACGCGGCGTCGCCTACTAGTAGCCACATACTTCGGCCGGGCTGATTCCAGCGCACTGAAAACCCCTTGGCTGCCAATGGCACTAGCCACGCCGGTCCGAATGTCGATTAGCAAGCACTGTGGGCATGGCAATGTGTGGGATTGGAAGATCTTCCACGTCGACGTCGACTTTTCAGCATAGCACGGCCCTATATGCCAGCACGGCCATGGCTATGGATGAGGCTAAATTGCGCCGGGACTCGCTGATCCCTTACACCACAAAAATTCCATTGCGCTGCTTGTGGAGAGGCGAGATGCTCTCTCCCCGCGATCTCGTACAGGCGACAGCGCTACGCGGAAAGGGGAGGCAACTAGCACAGCCCAGCAATGGCGTCGACATGACCAATGCTTGGCTGCATGCTCCAACGGTAGTTGTAGCCTAAAGAGGCAGTAATTCCATCTGTGCATATGGAGCGGCGCATTGACCCAGCTGAATTCACATGCAAAAATGCCCTACTGAGGAAAGTGTTTCATACTTTATTACTGGCACAGCAAGTGGGTGATGCTCGATTGAGCGCTGCAGCATCTTCTGCTATATCTGATACTTTGACAACTGCAAATATCCAGAGGCAGACACGAGAATGGATGGCAAAGATAATGGGTTTGTCACGGTTCAAATTACAGACAAGACGCTGCTCAGTCCAGCTTGACAACCCCGCATCTACAGCCTGCGACAAAGTATTTACACCGCCAGCCAAGGCACGCTCCTAAATGCCATACGGTGCGTCCATCCTGTACTCACCCTCCTCGTATGACTGTTTATTACAATTTCGACTTTGTCCAAAGACCCTGGCGGTCTAGCCCCGGCTCCCCGTCATATATGTCTCTCTCTACACGTCGCGTATTGAGCTAATGTGTGGCGCGGGCCGTTAGCCAATTGCAACATGAAATTGTGAAAGGGCAGTTATGTGTCGCTGTTGTAAAATTTGTCCAGAGGCCTGGAGACTCGCAAGGGCAGAGTACTGGTTGATATGGCTCAAATCGGAGCCGAAATGCCAAAGTAAAAGGAAGACAAGGATCAAATGGCCAAAGAGTCTACTTACACAACTTGGACGAAGGTCGGAAATGGTGCCGGCACCAAGTAGGCGCATAGCAGTTGCAATCTCTGCCTGCAGAACTATTTCAAGGCAAAAGATGTCAGCATATTCTACTCCTTCGTGCTGCAGCAGGCACACATCACGCCGCGATGCAGCCACGCGCGCCTCGCCGATTTGCACAAAAGGCAGGGGGAACATATAAGACACCAGCCGCTATTGCACAATGCAGCGATCAAGACGATAATTTTTGAGAATAAAGCGGGAATCCCTAGTAGGGGGGTGACTCACTCTCAAACATGCGTTCCACGCCGGCTTGGCCGCCGGCTCCGAGACCGTACAGGGGCCCGCGACCGACACCCACGCCGCGTGCGCCTAGGCACAAGGCCTTGACGACATCGGTGCCACGCCGGATGCCGCCGTCGATCCAGACCTCGAGCCGGCTAAGGACCTCGGGGCAGTACTTGCGAATCTCGAGCAGGGTGTGTATCGGCGGTGGCGCCGTGTCGCACGCGCGTCCGCCATGATTTGACAGAATGATGGCCTTGACTTGGGGATGCTGCATCGCTAGGTACGCGTCCTCATGCGTCTGAAGGCCTTTGAGAACAATTGGCAGATCGGTGTGCTCGGCCAGCCATGGTAGCGTCGTCTTCCACGTCAGGTCGGCCGCGGTGCCAAAGAAGAGCTGTTGACCGACGCCGCCGGCGCCGGGGCGCCGCTCCATGTCCGGGTTGCCAGCGGCCTCTACGCGCACCATTTTCTCGAGATTGCCGCGCTCATCGAGTTCGCGCTTACCTGGAGTGGGAGCGTCGAGGGTGAGGCAGATGAACTTGTAGTGCTTCCGCAGGGCGTTGATGCGGCGCAGCATGGCGACGCTCTTGTCCCGCCCATCCTGCACGTAAATCTGCCACCCAAACAACTGGCCCGGCTCCGCGCCCTCGACAATCTGCTCCGGTGTCATTGAAGCGTTGTTGGAGACAATCATCATGGCGCCGTAATGGGCGGCCGCGCGCGCGATACCCAGCTCGCCGTCGGGGTGCGCGAGACGGGCCATGGCGGCGGGCGCGACAAAGACGGGTGTGGCGACTGGATGGCCGAGAAAGGACGTCGACTGGTCGTTGGCTTTTACGTCGACGAGAACACGCTGACGCATGCTAATGTCCCGGTAGACGTCATTGTTGCGCACCTTGCTGATTTGGTCGTCGGAGGCGGAGTAGTAGTAGGCCCATGCGCGGTGGGAGATGCGCTTGGTGGCTTCCTTTTCAATGTCGTCGAGGTTGAGGAGGGCCTGGACGGGGAGCAGCGGTTCCGGCTCGCTCTTTGCTGCCGGCGCCGCGGCTGTGGGTTGTGGTGGTGGCGGCGACGGAGGCTGCGACGCGGCGTTGAGCTTCTCCAAGCTCTCGGCGGACACGGTTCCGAGGACGGCGTCTGGGGCGAGGTTCTCCTCGAGGGTGCCGGGCGGGTGCACGGGGTCGTAGTCCTCGGTTGCGTCCTGACCAGCGAGGGCGAGGATGATTTTGGAGCCTCCCGGGTGGGAGCTCAGGAAGGAGGTGACGTCGTAAACCTTGCCGTAGAGAATTACCCAGCAGCTTTCGGGCGTGTTGTGACGGGCGACTACGAGCGTGTGAGCATGTTTTTATCACCATATGAAATGACATGATGATGAGGCTTTGTTTGAGATTCTATTTTACCTTCTGCCGCATCGAGCTCGGGAGCCATGACGACAACGGAGATGTTGTTGTTGTTGTTGGCTATATGTGAGCTTTTTGGGCTGCAAAGTGACAAGAGGGCGCCGGACTGGCGATGCCGGGGGTGAGTGAGAGATGTGGATGAAGTCGGCGCAACGCTCAATTTGACACACGGACAATGAAGCAATGGAGAAAATGAGGGAAAATACAAAGAGAAGATGAAGAATAGAAAAGGGTGGTCCAACAAGAGCAGATGCAACGTAGATGTTGAAAGTTGAAAAGATGCTGCTTTTCAATTGCCAGTGTCCCGGAGGCCCGCCCATTCGAAGGTTGCTTTCGGGGCACGCTTGATTGGCGGGAAATCAGCGCCGTTCATGGGGGGGGGGGGTTTTGCCAGCTCGCTCTCCAGCGGACTGCTTCCCCCGTTTTTTTCGAACCCAGCAACATCCGAGGGGGAAATCTTCGCCGTGCATTGCCCTAGGTAGATGGTAGATTTTCTTGGGGCGAAAACTTGGGGCGGAAAATAAGACAGACCCCACTGCTCTTTTTTCTTTGGCCCAGATACCTGTAAGCTTGCAAGCTCTCCGACGTCATTACACCAACGGCCATCCAGCCTTTACTCTTCCCTCACACAAAGACACACACGAAGCTTCTTGGTGACTGCACTTGCAGAGGATCTTTTTGAGAGGAAAGCAAAACAGAGTGTACATTATGCCCGCGAGCATGCGTGCCGCTGCGGCGGTGTTGCATGGCGCATCCGCCCCTTCACGACGATGCGCACGCTGCCATTTCTCCTCATCGGCGTCGCTCACCCGCCTTCCTCCCGCGCGCCATGCCAGCACCAGCACTGCCGCCGCCGCCGCCGCCGCCGCCACCACCACCATCCTCTCTCTTCTCCTGAGACCGCGACAGCCCGCGTACACGACCAACCTCTCGCCGTCATCGTCGCCGCCGCCGTCGCGCCGTCTCTTCTCCTCCCAGCACGCCGCCGCCGACGGCGCCGATACCTCCGAGCCCTCCACCACCACCACCACCACCACCACAACCACCTCCGCCGACACCGCTTCATCCCCTTACTACGCGCTCTTCCCGTCCACGCTGCCCCTCGGCCCGCCGCCTCGCGGCCACTTCCCCATTGACGTGCGCCAGCTGCGCCGCGAGTTCTTGCAGCTCCAAGCGCGCGCGCACCCAGACATGCACGCGCCCGGCGCCGCCAAGTCGGCCGCCGAGACGCGCTCGGCGCTCATCAACGAGGCGTACCGGACGCTGGCGAACCCGTTGCTGCGCGCGCAGCACCTGCTCGCGCTGCGGGGCGTCGACGTGGCGGGCGACGAGCGGCTCAAGATGGACGCCGCTGCCGACGAAAGCGACGACGAGGCGGGGGCGGGCTTGCTGATGGTGGTGCTTGAAGCGCGAGAGGGCATCGAGGAGGCGCGGACAGAGGCGGACTTGGAGGGGCTGAGGACGGAGAATGACGGCAGGATTAGGGAGGGCGAGGAGAGGCTCGAGGAGGCGTTTCGGGAGGATGATGTGGAAAAGGCAAAGAGGGAGGCGGTCAAGATGAGGTATTGGGTGAATATCAAGGAGAGTTTGGATAATTGGGAACAGGGCAAGCCGATTGTGCTGCAGCATTGAGAGATGTGTGTGTTTGTGTGTGTATGTGTATGTTGAAAGGCGAAATCGTTTGGAGGGGGGAACATGTATGAATAGGTATATCGAGCATTTAGATTGTCCATCTTGTTTGAGTAGATAGACGGCCGTGTATGAAAAAATCGCAAATCATGGCAAGTCAACTTGCACACACACATACACACGCTCACACACGTCTTTTACCTTTCCTATTAATACCGCGCATAACAGTACAAGATATTCCATAATATATATTTTATATATATCAGAATGTCACACTATATACACAAAATAGCCAAACTTCTCCCCTGTAACCCCTCTCCCATTGTAGTTATGGGATAGAGACCTCCCATTCAAGCTTTCAAAGTGGTGGCCGAAATCAACAAAAGACGCCAATATCCCGGATATTTGATTTGTGTGCCCGCTAACCAAGATTTTTCCTTTGCCATGGAAAAATAGAATGGTGATGAAAATTAAAAGTAGACGGAAGAAAAGCCGAGCCGTGTCTGTTACTACATGATATCAGAGAAAAATGCCCAAAAAGAGCAAATGGAAATAATGAATGTGTCCGGCGCTGAGGATAGAGGCAGAAACACGCTGCTACAGATGTCACCGCTGGTACGCTGGCAGCTGCTCGCCGGTTGGTCTTTGCCCGCTGCTGCCCGACTGACCGGCCGATGACGATGAACCGGCTCCAACACCGTAACCGGCGCCAACACCGTAACCCGCCAGCTCCTCCTCGTCCTCGTCGAGCACGGGCGCGCTAGGCTCCGAATTCGCTTCGGTCGGCGCGCTCGCATCGCCAGGCCGCTCCATGTCCTCGGGAAATTCAGGCGGCGCACTCGCTTCGATGATGAGGCGCTGGCGCTCGAGCTCCTGCTTGTCCTCGGCCGGGTAGGCCGCCGTGCCGTTGAGGTCCTCCTCGCTCGGGGCCGACGGTCCTGCGGCCGCCTCGTCTTCGGTCGGCGCAGAGGGCCCCGCAGAGGGTTGTGGTTGACGCGGCGACGGCTCCTGCGCGTCGTAAATGTTGTCGTCGCCATCACCGGCGGGCGCCGAGGCTGGAGCCGACGACGGGCCGGCTGCGGGGGGCTGGCTTGGTAGTAGGCGTGTTTCCGCCTGCTGTATGCGTTCCTTTTCCGACATGGTGCGGGAATCAGGCAACTGCGGCTGCGGAATGTACGCGGGGGCGGCCTCGCGCGAGTACCCATTGAGCTGGCTGTGCGCGTGGTAGTCGGGCTGGGACGGTCCCGCAGAGCTAGAGTTGGTACGGGAGGAGTGTGATAATGGCGGCTGTGAGGCGTAGTGGCGGTCGCCCGCAAGTGGTGTGGTGTATGTGGCGGGAGAGGCTGTGAGCACTGGGCGTTCATTCAATTCGGCGCGGATGGAATCGTCCTCGTCGCTTTCGGGCACGCGCGGGGTGGAATGGCGGGGTGAGATCCGGAGAGGCTTCCGCCGGCGAGAGCTGTCAACGGTGCCTACGACCGTCTCCATAGACACCGATACGACACCTTTTTGGCGGCGGAGCGGAGTAGTGTCGATAATATTTGTAGCCACGCGAGGCCCATAGGCACTGTCTTGGCCAGAAGTCATGTACTGGCCTAAGCGGGTGGTTGATTGTTGGCCGCCTTGGAGCATCTGGCTAGAGAGCTTGCCACCCAAGTCGACAATTACTTCAATATGGTAGCGAAAGCTCACCATGGCGCCGGGTACACCTCGTATCGTAGGAAATGCATCGTCAGGAAGCTTCAGCGAGCATGTGACCGACGCATGCAGCGATGAAGGATCGATTATGAGTGGTGCCGTGTTTTGATCCAAGTCTTTGCGAAACATGCTCGTCGAACTTGTTGACGACAGAGACAAACCGGCCAGTCCTGTTCTTGACCTGGGATATCCATCGTCGCCAATGGCTTCGAGGTCGTTTCCGGAGAAGAGCGATGCAGCTGGTGCAGAGTCGATTTTGCTCTGGCGAAACAAGGTCACAATCACACCCGTCAGGCTCTTTAAGCGCTTGATATGCTGCACCGATACACGAACAGAAACCATATCACCAGCCAAACACCCGCCCTTGAGCAATTCAATGGTGGCGGTAATGGTCTTGTTGTCGACGATTTTTTGCTTCGAGGGCGACTTGAATGCGGATACGTGAGACAGTGGCGTGACGTCGCTGCGACTAACAGCGGTACTAATACTGCGAGCGCTTTCGCCGCTGACTTCGCTTCTTACATCAATCTGAGTGGGCCCGCGATTGTTTTCAGGATGCGAAGCGTCGCGTGCCGAGTCAGAAGTGGCAGCGGTCCGTTCTACTGAGCCTGCTTCCGAGGCATGATCGTTTGGCACGCCCGTCGAGGGCGGTTCTGGAATGGGAGCGGGTGCCTTGTCGAGTACGGCGGACCGTTTTCGGCGCGTTCGTTTCGAAATGGGTTCGAGAAATATCGTTCGAGATCGCGGGGGCGGTAGATGCCCAATGTCAATCTTTTCGAGAAGCAAAACACGCTTGTCGCAGGACACTGTGGGTGCAATGGCCGTCGGTCGCGTCAGCGTGGCTGTAATCATGTACGACACGGTGCCTCGTTCAAACTTGAGAATTCATTGTCAGTATTAAATCCATTCGGAGCGTCGAAGCGGGCGTGTCATCATACATCGATGCTACTGGGAAGGCCAATGTCGGGAAATATGAGCTCAAAGCCAAATTCGTAGCGCCCCGCCTCGAGCCGACCCTCGCCAGCGAGAACTTGCTCATCTTGGAAGAGGCTAGCGAGGCCGTTGCCATGGTACTGCGGGAGCTGAGATACGCCGCCGCGCGGCGGTACGGGGGAGCCACTAGCCTTGGCCTTGGCGGAGGCGTCTTTGAAAACGTGAATGTAGCCGTGGAGGGCGACGACGAGATGGGTGATGCGAATGGGCTTGATGACGGCAACGTTGACGTGGCCGCGGACGGTGTCGCCGGCGCTGTAGGTCTTGTGCGGCTCGTCGGGACGGATGTGAAAGTCGACAACGTTGCGATTGCGGGAGCGTATGGTAAAGGAGGGGAGGTTGAGGCGGGATAGGAGAGCGGCGGCGCGCGACGCGGAGGCGTTGGAGGTGGAGGAGTGTATCGAAGGCGGCGTAGCGGGTTTGGTAGAAGACAAAGGCGCATAATCGTGAACAGCATTAATTCGAGGCGCGGCCGTTGAGGTTGTCGCGCCAGCGGCAGCGGCAGTATCGGCAGAGTCGCGGTCGTGGTCGGCGGCAGGAGCAGCAGCTACTGGCGATGACTCGGGCCGCTTGCCGTGAGCCACCGCCATCGGCGCCGCAGCCGTTGTGGGATCGTCATCGGAGGTTGCGCCGGCGTTTCGGTTGCTGCTGCTGCTGCCGCCGCCGTGGTGCGAGTCTACGGCGGCGAGCGGCATGGGCGGCGACGTCGACGAGGGCAGGGTCGCAGATGCGTACTCATGCGCAAAGGACGAGCGTCGACGGCAAGGACCGGAGCCAAGAGGTGGTAAGGCAGCGAGAGGCGTCGGAGGGGCTCATAGATGTGTAAAGGTAGGGATGTTTTGAGTTGTAAAATATTTGAGGATGAACAGAAAAACAGGTAGAAAGAATGGCGGAAACGTTTCGTGGGTTGCAAAAGAAGGAGGGGTGAATGGTTGATAATGCGAGAGTAGGGAAGTGGTGCGGCTAGCTGTCGTTGGTCTGTTTCTGGTGGGCTGTGTGGTGTGCGGTTTGGCCTCCGTTTGTAGAGGCCGTTGGCGGTAATCCACGAAGCGCTCTGGAGCTGTAATGTTGATTGATAATGCGTAGAATCGAACAATATTAAATTTGTTGTAATATATGGGTTAGAGGCCGTTTGGGGAATGCCTGTCGCAGTCTTGGCGGTAGAGGCTCCGTTGGAGGGAAGAGCGATAGATTGGCCACGGCAGGCTGCCGGGAATGCCAGAGGCTTGAGTGGAAGCTGGGTGGGCCAATGGTTGGGCACCTTGCCTAAAGAATGGAATAAGAGAGACGGAGCAGCAGTACGAAAGTAAATAGTGAAGGAAAGCGAGGGCTGGGGTAGTCTCGAGGCTGCGAGCAGTGTTGTAGAAGGACGAGGCTCAGGCAATGGGGAGGCTGTGTCGGTATCGGTAGGTGGTGGAAATGGGGACAGCGTTTATCAAGGTGGTGGCCTGATTACGGTGTTGCTTGCAGCCAACTTATGTACTAGGTGCCTATCCGTACTAATACATAAGATACACAAGCAAGTCGAGATGAATTTGACATGACCAAAAAAAAGCCACTTGAAAGTAGATGGCTATTAGAAAATGAATAGGTAGGAAGGCAAGGCTGCATGCAGCTCGAGCAGCTCGGAGCTGGCTGAACGCCGCCAAGGGTCAGTAATGGTGGTGGGGGGGGTAACAGACAAGCAGGGAGATTTTAGTGCTCGAATTTTGGGCCGAGATGGCACACAAGGTACGCAGTATGGATTACTTGGTAAGGAGAACAGTAACCAGACTCAAGACGTGTCAGTCATCTGCCATTTGCCATGGTGTGTGTGTTTTCTTGTGGGACACTGGAATAATTGACGCCCGAGATGACGATAACACACCGCAGTGGCCATGATAAACTGGCCCAGTATGTATCCTCTCAAAGGCACCTGCCGCCCGCACGGCAACTCACTCAGTGGGGTGTCATCAGGTCCGGCCTCATTCTCACAACGTTGCCCTCGCTTATACCCCTTCCATTGTTTCATAAATGACCATTTCCTCATGAAACAAGAAGAAGAACAAAAAGAAAAAAGAAAAAGGGAGCCATTATTCTCTTCTTTTTTTTTTTGCACATCCCCTTCTCCACTGGCTGCCGCTCGCTCATTCAGACTTGAACCTGCGTTTGCGTAAGCCCGCTGGCAGCTGATTTTTTTTTTTTTTTTGGCAGCGACGATCCCTGATCCATGCAGTTTTCACCATCGTGAAAACTTTATGCCACCAACACCGGTTTGGGGGAGGACTGCAGAAATTTTGATGCCACGTGCATGTAATTTACCGAAACAAATGCATACACTGAATCAAGGTACAAAAACATGGCGAAAAAGAAGAATGACGAACGAGACAAAATTACAAATTACAAAGTTAAGAAAGGAAAAAAAAAAAGTAAAACCCTCTTCCATCTCATCTCCACGCCAAGCAATAGTTATGGAAGCAGCCGCGGGAATAGAGGCGATTGCCGTCGCCAAGCCATCAGTTGGCAGCATCACCAGCAGGAACTCCATCAGAGAAGCAAGGTCGATGAACACACGCACACACACAATATGATGTAACGCCTGAGGAGACTCCAAGCAAGCCCCTGCATCACTTGCTTCATTGGATGTCCTTTTTTTCTTTTTTTTTTTTTGCGCCTCCAACTGTCCCAAGCGGCTGTCGCTCTACACCAAAAAACGTGCTCCTACATGGCGCGCCGCGGCTGCCCTCGTCAAATCTTGGCACGTCCCAACTCGTGCCATGTGTGGTGTGGTAATTGTATACAACGACTTTGCTCTGACTAGCTGCTCTCTGCTTGCTGCTGCTACGTGATGGCATGCCCGATGTGCGAGGCGCGCGCAAGGCCATGACGCTTTGAGGTGACGACCAGAATAAAATCTGAGATTTGCGGTCGAGAACCAGAATGAAAAAGAGACTACGGATACTGACATATAACGGGGGTACGTTGAGATCTGCGAGCGGTATCCGTAACTAGGTATTTATCAAGTATTTATCTTGAGAATGCGTTGGGCGCTGATGAACCCCTTCAAAAGAACAATGGCGCCACAACTGAAAGCTGCATGGGTGGTCTCGCCGGGCCACACACCAACCGGGCGGCTAGAGAATTTAATAGTTCGTGACCCGCGTATTCCCTCTGATGAACCGGGAACCGGGAAAGTAAACTTATTACGGAGTATTAGTAGAGAGACTAGTTACTCGCACGATACAAAAGGCACTCCATCTACATGACCATGACCATGACCAGTGATTACACAGCTCCGACCAAGGCAAGGCTCGTCCGCCGGGAGAAATAGAGCCAAATACCTAATTATGGCCCATTGTCAGTTGAGACGTGTGTTTGTTGCTCCCGTTCGGCTGCCGCCCCCAATGCAACCCGCGTGCCCGTTGGCATGTGGGATCTTCATTCTGCATCGTTGCATTGCAGAAAAGTGGCCGTCCTCTCCACTCACCACACACACACACACACACCTTGTCAGACGATGAACAACAATGTTGCAGCAAGAAATAGACCAGGGTACAAAGAGACTGATTATTTGACTTGTTGAAGAATGCAAATATATGCTATATGAATATATATATATATATATATATATATCTATATTTTAGAACGTGTTGCATATCTATTGATTGGCATCATGGACTGGTCAACTTCTCACGACTCAGATTCTTGATTGAGATTTTCGTCAAATATACAAGTTGTCAAATATCCAAGGTCAATTTTATAGAAAAGACCAGTGACTATTTAACAGCTTCAGTGTACGTACAAGAGCATCAATCGACATCTGCAAACAGGACCTGGTAGCTCATATTCTCAAAAACCAATCAATTCACCACTACTGGTCTCAGTAGAAAGCACAGCGTGGCGCAATCTCTTCCTCCTCCCCTTACTCTGTCACCCTTTTTCCTTTTTTTTGCTTTCCGTTTCGAGCCAGGTGCGTTGAGACCATGAGTCGTCGCACATATCAGATATGTCAAGGTACACCGTGCCACGGGCACCACCACCACGACTCATTCACCAGCACGACTCATTCACCAGCATTCTGCGCCATACGTCACTTTCGGTTCAAGGACCCAATCAAGCTCCAGTCATGATGCTCACTTGCATTTGTGACTATTCTATTTCCTGTCGGGGTATTACCTACAATGCCAAAAACAGACAACCTCCATGTTACATGCAGCCAAATAACCAAAAAAACGCCCGTCCGATGTTGTACATGCCCGTACCCATGCCTGCGAAAATCCAAGAGAAAAACCGTCATGAAACAATGCCACAAATTGCGCCAGACAAATGTTGTACAATGCACAAAAAAAAAACAATTAATCCAACGCCTCTCCATGCAGAATGCTCGCCAATATTCCCGAGCCAATACCATCCGCAATCGCCTCCATGTCCTTTTCCGTGACACAGCTTGCCACTCGCTTGTCATCGCCGCTCGCCGACACGCCCTTGCGGCCACGCTTGCTAGGCGTCTGCGGTGTCATGAAGCTCCCGTTCTTGCCCTCGACCGCGTTGACGAGGCCCAGCGTCTCCAGGCTGCCCATGACTTCGCGAAACTCGGAACTCGACAGCGGGTGAAGCACAGAGTCGCGCGTGCACAGGCGGCAGTACGCATCAAACAGCTTCTTGACGGTCGGTGCAAGAGATTGCGTCTTGCTGGGCGTAAAGGGCGTGCCAATCTTGATCTTTGATCGTAAGTGATTCTCATAGGCGACAAGAGCGCACAAGGCCGCCTTTTGTTGCAGATTGAGAGTCTTAAGTCGCTGTGTGGTGCCGTTGCTGAAAGCTGCAGCCGTTACCCTGTTCAGATGTGCAATTGAAGCGCGTGGAGCTGTCTCAGCCGTCAGTGCCTTGAGAGATTTGCCCATGAACTGCACAATGCTTCGCCCGCCCGTGGTGGCTCCGTTGATATTCTCGCCCAGGGGTCGCTTTGACGGTGTCATTTGAAGCATAGCTTCTCTTGCCTCCTCCTCGTGCTTGGATCTCGTCTCGCCTTCAATCAGATCCAAGGCTCTTCTGCAAATCTCAAACGCTTTGCGGAGATCTCCCGTCTGGCTCGAGACCTTGCGGGAGCACAGTTCAATGGCAGCGGGATGGATGAACGGAACGTAGTTGTCCTTGCCCGCTGGCATGAGAGACTTGAGGCGCGTGGTGATGATGTTCTTGACCTGGTTCGCGGTATAAGGAAGAAACGGAAGAAGCTCTGGCTTCAGGTTCTTGGACTTGAGGCGAGGCAGAAATCGGTCCGTGAGATCCAGTGCGTTGGCAATGCCGACGAGGAGAAGCCTTGACGATTTGTGGAGAGACCATTCAAAGACGCGATACAAGCTCTCCAGGCCCATGGTGAGAATGTGATCTATTTCATCAAGCGTGACGAGATACGTCGTGGCATTCTCGTCCTTGGGATAGAAAGCGTCTTGCAGAGCCTCCACCGCAGCAGCTTCCGTCACACCTTCTACCTGCAGACCCATACCCTCGAGCAGTGTCGTGTAGAGGTCCTTGGATGACTTGATGCTCATGCAATTAATGTACGCCGACCTGACACCGTCCCTTTGCGCGTAGTCTTGGATGAGCTCGGTAATCATGGCGCTCTTGCCGGTGCCAGGCGGGCCGCTGACGTAGAGGCACCCATTCGGCGTGTCCGACTGGCACCGCTCCAGAAAGTCCGTAAGCTGCCGACGCTCCTCGTCGCGACCAACCAGCTGGCCCGGCTCCGCTCCGCGCGCAAATAATTGCCGCGCCGAGTGGTAGACGGTCTGAATGGTGCTCGGTGACAGCGGCGAGTGCGGCGTCAGCCGCTTGAAGAGCTTGCCGGCCGACATGACGGCGTGCCGGGGCGTCGTGGGATACGCGGCCAGGACATCGTGGTGGCGCGGCGTTGACGGCGTGACAGGGTTTCTGGCCGAGGTGAGCGAGGCAGCGCGTTTTCTTGTGCTGGTAATGTCGTCAATCTCTGTCTTGATAAGGACGGGCGCGGCGGCAGCAATGGTGTCCTCGGGGTTCTCGTTCTCATCGTTGTAGTCGACAGTGGTGGCGCACGAGCGTCGAGGCCGTTTGGAAGGAGACTCGTCGTCTGCATCCGGGGTAATAGGTAAGTACGAATGCTCAGACGAAGCCGCGCTTGCTTGTGCAAAAGACATACCATACGCCACCGCACGGCGGGATCTCTTTCCCAAAGTCGAGGCAGCCATTGCTGCAGAATCCGGGGCAGGGGGTGCTTCCTGCCAGTGGATGCCGAGATGGAGAAGGTTCTTGCTGGATAATGAGCAAAATGCTTGTAAATGCAAGATGGGAAGCTGCAAAGGACAATGAGCGTTGATGAAGAAGAAGATGAAGTCGGGAGTGATGATCTTGTCGCTTGGAAATGGCAGAAAACCCAGGTTGCTGAGGAAAGCCTTACAAGCTACAAGGGAGCGAGGATTAAGTAGAGCTTTGCTCGCGCCACGACAAGGGTCGCGCAAGGGCGGGACGAACCGTGTCAAGGGCGCGTCGCAACGCGCACAGTACGCGATGAAATCCATTAAAGTGCTGGTCTGTGCGCCACAGATGGCAAACTTGGGTGTGGCGCGGGCATGGCCAGCGTTGCATCACGTGTTTTCATCCAACATTTGGGATACAGGGAGAGGAATTTCAATGGGAGTGGGTTAAAATGATTTAAAGATGAAATATCCAATCTTTGAGAAATAAGTCGTACCATTTGCATCTCCCGTTACGTGTACTTTTCTATCGTCCTGGCCTCTGATTGTGGCGTTGGTGGGGAAGCGTGCAAATCGAAAAGCTGTCAGTGACGACATCGTAAATCGGCCGATATATACAGCCCGCTACGCACATTGCTGCATCAACCTACGCCTTTCGAAAACAATTCCTCTCGCCAACCCGCCCACCATGACCACGTACATTCCCTCTTTGACGCTGCCTATTGCCGCGTTTCAGCACACGGCCACGTCCGTCCTGCTACCCATTGCTTTTGGCACCGCCGTCGGTTACAGCACCAAGCGCAAGTAACCCTCGCATCTCAAATCACATCGGACCCGAAAGCTTACGCATTCCCAATCTTCTTACAGCCGACAAAACCGTCAAGACGTACTTGGATCTGAAGCAGCCCCCGCTGCACCCTCCGCCTTATGTATTTGGCCCCGTCTGGACCGTGCTTTATGGGTATACCTCTCACCCCATCTCTCTCTCTCTCTCTCTCTGTCTCTCTCTCTTTCTCTCTCTCTCTCTCTCTCTCGCTTTCTTGCCTTTTCTCCGCTGACATGGGGATTGATTGTTTTTATCAGTGTCATGGGCTACGCCGCGCATAGGGTCGCGTCCGCCGGCCTCTCGGCGCTCGCCTCACCCGCGACCGTCGCGACCACCAAGCACTCGCTGACCGTGTACACGATTCAGCTCGGGCTCAACCTGGCGTGGATGCCGCTCTTCTTCGGCGCGCGCCGCCCCGTCGAGGCCACCGCCGATCTCGTCGCCCTGCTCGGCCTCAACGGCTGGCTCGCCTACACGTGGAGCGCCATTGACGAGACGGCCGCGTGGCTGCAGCTGCCGTACCTGGGATGGCTCGCGTTTGCGACCTATCTGTCGGCCGGCGCGGGCTACCTCAACGACTGGGACATGTCGGACAAGGCGCTCGAGGCTAGAAAAAAGGCCGAGTAAGACTGCCCAATCACACACACTTGTCGTGCGCATCGGACGACTGCTTTGAACCATTTATTTTGAATGTCATATCAGCCTTTACTTTTATGTAAAAAAAGAAAGAAAAATGTAACACTATATCCGTCTATGACTTGAACCATCTTGTTATCAAATGAGAGCTATCCCTAACCAAAACGCCACAACATGCAGTCGTATATACTAAATGCCCAGATGTAGTAATGAAGTGATCATGAGGCGCGGCGCACTGCACTGCGTTTACAAAGGAAAATTTCTTTTCAGTCCATCAAAGACCATGAAGATAAAGGCGGAGCTGGGCGCCGACCGCAGACAAGTAATACCGCAGCCACGATAGAGGCCGCGCAAGCCCGACTGGCGCCAGATGGCCGACCCCTCCGCCCAAAACGAAGGTTTCTCGCCTGGAATTCCCAACGGCGAGGTCTGCATGCGTGACTTGATGGTGTCGGCAGGAAAGAAGAGAAAGTTGTACGACACACCGGCCGAGGCGCCGGCAACGGCCTGCTGCCACAGCGGCAGTGGTGTCGCGCGTATGCGCTCCTGCTCCGCCGCCGAGGCCGCCTTTTTCATCGCCATGGTGTAAAACATGGCCGTGACCGTCTCCTTGGCGCCGAACCAGGCCGCAGAGCCACCCGACTCACGGATCAGCGTGCCCATCTGGCCGTGCCAAAAGCCTCGGAGACCATCGTGGCGAAAAATGTCGCGGACGACGGCGAGCGGTTTCAGGCCAGCATTCGAAGCTCCGCCACCGGGAACCTGAATTTTGCACTTGACGAGCTCGATCGGCGTGAGGACAAACGAAGCGAGAGCACCGGCAAAGGCGCCGGTGGCGTAGAGCGCGGGCAGGGAAAGCGGGGTGTCGCGGCGGGCGAGGCCCGTCGCGTACAGCCCTTCGCGGCCGAGCGACTCGAATATGAACAGGCTCGAGGTCTCAGCCGCGGCACCGACGAGCGGCGCGCTGATGCCCCGGTACAGGCCCAGGAAGCCGTCGGCGTGAAAGGACTGGCGAAAGCAGTCGAGCGGGCCCTTGTAGCGGAGGGGCAGGTGGTCGGGCTGGCTCTGAAGACGGACTTTGACCGTGTCGAAGGGGTATTCAATGTATTTCCCAACAATGCCGGCAATCTGCACGTTAAGAGCATGGTTAGCAGAGGGGGGCAGGTATATTGAGAAGCGGCGCAAAGGTGGAATCGCCAAGACGCAAGACATACCGAGCCGTACAGGATGCCCTCGGCAGTTTCTTTGGCGGCATTCTTGACGGGGAGCGATACGTCCGGAGCCATAATGACCGGAGGGGCTTCAACGGCGACGGCGGTCGGATTCATGCTCGGTGATCGAGGACGAAGCGGAGTCTTATCGCGTAGTGCTATTAGAGATGTGGACTTGTTTTTTTTTTTTTTTTGGTGTTGCGCCTCAAGCCGCCAGCACGATGCCGTCGGGGGCAGTCAGCGCCTGGGCCGAAAGGAGATGTCGTGCCGCCTCGGAGGTTGATCGCGAGCTGTCACGGTTCGCAGCAAACGGGTGGTTGCGTTTGCCAGGAACTCGCGGGAGGGGCGTAGGATCGGGGTGGCTTTTGCCAGGTGTTGTCGCACACAGAGAGAGAACCGATTGCGATACCGGTGGTGGCCGTTTTTTTTGGTGGTCACCAAACTAGTGCGGGTTGGAGGAGCGCTGAGATCCGGGCTGCGAGCAACAACAATGGGACGCAGAACAGGTTTGAAAAAAAAAGAAAAAAAAAAGAGCAAAGAGTCGGGGAGAAGATATATAGACGAGAGGGGGGTTGCGGAGGGTTTATTATACAAGACGAGCGGCTGATATGTCTCTCAGTTGCCCCTGCTGCTTGCTGGAGGTCACATTGGGCAAGTACAGGCAAACCCCCACCATGGGCGGTCGAGAATCACTTGGGCTGGACGGCCCAAACGAAACAAGACGGTGACATTGCACGGCGGTGGATCAGAAATCGGCATCTGGCTGCCGTGGCCGCCCGTCGTTTTTGTAGGTCGGTGGGTGAGATACTTTTTTAGCCCAAGTGTCGCTTTGGTCCCTGCCTCCTGTCATCAGTGCGGCCGACTGTCAATCCCACATTGATTAGGTGCTGACAGGACGGGATTGCGGGCGAGGTACCCAAGAAGGTTACATTCCGGCAATCTTCAAAGACAGCCAGCCTAGTCCGCACATGCCCTCAACCAGCTTCGCTGCATGCCACCGCCATGAGGGATTTCCTGTGACAGGTTGAACAGTGAGCGAATACCGCGCGGCGCTGCGTCAAATGTCGCCATGGCCTCGATACTAGTTATACCGTTCAAGCCCCGGATGACGTAGCATAGGTAGAGGTCTGTCTGCCTCGGCTGAATGCCACCCAAACGTGTCTGTATAGTACTACACACAGATGCACACGGTAAATCGCAGTGTACTTTTGCATGCGATTTATTATTCCGTATATTTCCATATTTTTCAGACCCAATTAAACGAAACTGTCAGCTCTACCGAAACCAATAAACGCAACGACGAGCCGCTTAGCCGGTTATGCGCGCACGGCTCTCTGCGAGGCCAACAGTATCTAATCATGAAAACGTGCTCTCATCCGTACAACATGTCCCGTTCCCATCCAGTCTCCAACTGCCATGCTCACTCCTCCATTTAATCCCTCTTCTTCGACTTTTTGGGCGACTTGGGCGACGCCGGCCTTGCCGCATCCTTCTTGTCCGCCGCCTCGTCCTCGTCGCGGTCGCGCTTCTCGGCGTACCACTGGCCGGCCTGAAGAACCAATACGCCAATGAGGACGAGCGCCAGAATGGTGTTGCTGGCCGACATGACGCGCAGGCTGTCCTCCTTGCCGAGAATGTACTCGCCGTCGCTCTCGCCGCGGCGCGTCTTGGCGAACTCGGGCTGGTCCCAGATGCCGTCGGTGAGGGCGCGCAGGCCGCGCACGATATTGGTCATGTACGTCGCGGCGCCAATGACGTAGAGGATCAGTGAGGCGCCGTCAAAGAGGAAATTGGCTTCCGAGGGCCGGAACAGCTTGATAAGGAGGCCGGCAAACGCGACAAAGACCATGATGTTGAGCATTCGGTGGATAAGGGGCGGCGCGGCGTGCATGAACTTGAGGTGCGTCTCGAGCCGTGGCAGGAATTCGGCGACGAGCGGCTCCTTGCTCCAGAGCAGGGGAAAGTCGTAGGGGAACGAGGCGAAGAGGATGCCGAGGAAGAAGCAGGTAGCTGGGGAGAGAAGGGGGAGGTTAGCGATGGGAGTTTTGCGCGTTGGATGGAAAGAGAAAAGCAAGACATACGTCCGATAATCATGAGCGTGGCAAACGACCCGGATCCTTTGTAGTTTCTGGACCGAGTCGTTTTGGTCCAGTCAATCCAGCCATCAAAGAAGCCCATGGTGTCGGTGACGGGGTCGGTGTCGTGCGGGGAAGAAATAGATTGAAGATAAACAGAGAGTCCGGTATCGTGGTAGTGTTGCTAGGGCCCGCGACGGTAAGTTGTGATCGTATTAGGTATTGGAATGAGGAGCGACGATGATGATATTAGGAAATAGGACGTTGAGAAGAAACAAAGAACTGTGTTCAAGTTGGGTGGCGCGGTTCCTTGGCTTGGCTGACTGGGGGGCTTGATTTTGCTGTGGCGTTGCGTAGGTGGCAGAATCAACGCTGCCAGTATCAAACTAGATGGTGTAACTATTTATAATACGCTTTTTGTTTTTGACTCGGTTCATAGCTTGAAACTACGAATTTAATTGTCATCATGCCCGTCTCCCGTCTTTGATACCTTGTTATTTACCTACTTCTTTGCTCGGTCTTCTCATGTTGTGCAAAGCTCTGCGGCATCCACTGTGGGGTAGCTGCATTCAGCATTCAGCCAGTCCCTGCATCTTCATTTCAGCGCCCAACGCCACTGGATGGAATCCGCACGCAGAATATCTGCACTAATAACTCGCACCGCACCGTTTGAGAATGATACCCGGATCGATGTGCAAGTAAGGAGTGCTTGAGAAACAAAATCTAGTGTGCAAGAAAAGAAGAAGTGCATCAATCCAACAGCACAAGTACTTTATATTATTACAGGTCTGCCGTGCGTGGTGGAGATGAATGCCTCATTCGAGCAACACTCGCCGTGCGCTTCGATCCTCAATGCCAGCAGCGCATCGTCTTCTGGAGCAAGAGACCGAAAATAGGCGCAACGCTATCGTCAAATGCCGCCCTTCTCCTTCGAGTTCTAACTAGAGAGTACAACAAGGCGCAAATATAATCATCTAAAAAATAGCCGAGCGTCGCAGCATGGCTTTGTCGCGAGCAAAGCGCTAACAAATCGAATCGGGCTCAGACCCTCAGCTTCCAAAAACTCTCGCAGAATCTCACTCCCAACCTCACTCCTTCATGAACCAGAAAAAGAACCCCTTTTGATCATCTAAGTCGCATGCGATAACACATCATCAAACTCACCCCCCTCACCCGAACCTCACGCAACTTCCACGTCACCAACTGCCAGCTCAATGAAGCCCCATCACATCCTCCTCTTCGCCGCGCCCCTGAGCCGCCTTGCCGCCGCCGCCGACGACGGCAACGCCCAGGTCCGCGTCTACACCGACGACACTCGCACCTACACCTACTACGGCTGCTACAATGAAACCACCCTCACCCCAGGCTCCGCCGGCACGCGCGCCCTCGCCGACGGCACCAGCCTCGTCCAGGCCAACGCCATGACCGTCCCTGCCTGCCTCAAGTTCTGTCACGACGGTGATACCAAGTACCGCTACGCCGGCGTCGAATGGTCCCGGTACGTCCTTTTTTTTTTTCCTCTACTTTCCTCGCTTCGCTCGATATTGGGGGGGAAGCGGAGCGATTTCATTTTTTGTAAAAAAAAAAAAAAAAAAAAAGCCAATGGATGGGGAAATATTTTTTTCTTTTGCTAACCAGAGGTAGAGAGTGCTGGTGCGCGCAAAACATTGCGGGCATCGCGCAGAAGCTCGACGACGGCGAGTGCAACTTTCCCTGCGCGGGGAACAAGACGCAAGCATGCGGAGGGCAGCTCAAGCTCAACGTGTACCGCATATCGGCGGCGGCGTCGCGCAATTGGGCTGGCCAAGGCGTCGGTGCGGCCCTGGCGGCGCTGACGAGCATGTACATGGTGGTGCTCTTCTGAGGGAAAGGGGCACCATTGCCAACCGATTTCAGGTCTTACAATTAATATTTCTTCGTGGTTCTGTTTTCATAGAAGCGAGCGATCATTGCGGGTAAAGAGAGTCAGATATACGAAAAGAGACGCAACAACCATGTATATGGATGGACCAAGAGTCCGAACCACCTGTATATACAAAATAATACAACCTCTTCAAACCACAATCCTTTGAAAATCCGTACCTTGGCATCAAGTCATAAAATCGTTACACAGGCCCTAGACCGCGCTTCCTCAGCGCCTCTTGCAGAGTTGCATGGACCCCTTTCATTGTCTTGCGCCACGCATCTCGGCCTGCGCCTCCATCGCCATCCTGTTCCACCAGCACATCCAGCCACTTGACCAGCGCCGTCGCTTTCTGCATGTCGCGCTCCTCGCTCACCACCCGCTTCAGGTACTTGTCAAATACCTCCACGTCGCTTCGATGCGGCCCGTCGCTGCGCGTGTCCGTGTGCCAAGCATCGAGCAAGTCTTTAATCTCCCCTGTGGAGCTCACGCCGGAGTTGGCAAATGACACCTTTGGCGGCCGCGCAGGAAACTCGATTCGTCGTTGACGGTCGGGTAATAATGCGCCGCCTAATGCTTCTGCGTGTGCTGGCCGTCGCGAGGGCGCGTCAAGTCCGGATCGCTGCGCCAGCTTCCGGCGTCTATGGTCCGCCAAAACTTCGCTTCGCACGTCGGCAGGCAATTCAGCCAGGAATTCAGGGTCCAACTCCTCCACATCATTCATAAATCCATCGCCAATAGGCTGGCCTGTCATGAAGTTGGTCTGAACCACACCAGCTCGCGCGTCTCGCTGCCTCTGTGCTTTGCCCATCAATCCCTGAATTCCGCCTCGTTTCGTAGGGGTGGGTGGATTCCTTTGTACTTGAGTAGTCTTCTTTGGGGATATCCGAGCCGCTGGCTTACGGCCATATTGGGCCAGCACTTCCGCCTTCATGTCTCCCGGAAGCGCGTTGAACACTTCGGCGTCTACTTGTGAGGGTAAAAAGTCCATGGCTGCCGGGCTCTCTGATCGAGACTTAGGCTGAGCATCAACACTTGGCGTGGAGGATTTGGACCTTTGTGCCATCAGTCTATTGCAAATGTCGTTGGGCAGTTCTGCCACGACAGCTGGGTCAATGTTGCTTGGAATTAGAAATTGGGTCCCTCCAACGTTGAGAGGGGTGTTTGCCTTTGTGTCGTCCTCTCTCGACTTGGCCAGCGCCATCGCAGGATGTGCTTTCGGTTTCCGGGGAGTCAGAGGATCGTCTGCGATGGGATCATCCAAGGAGCCCGATCTCTCTACATACCTAGGCCGTTGCAAGGAATCAGTGTCGTCAATCGACTCGAACAAGCCCTTCTTTTTTGCCGAGGCTGGATTCACAAACGATGTGAATTCTAGTCTCTTTTGACTGCCATCAGATGCTGCGATACCCTGCTTGATTGGCTCAAGCTTGGTCATCTGCACACCAAGCCCACGCAAATCACCCGGACTGAACCTGTACGATCGCAAGACCGCTACAGCCTCCTTACCAATGATTACCGCATCGTGTATCCCTACCCCAAATGGCACACTCTTATTGAAAGTGTCGCACCTCCCATGGCCGAGATGTTTGGCAGGATCCAGTGGCGCATCCAGCGAACGGCGCATAATCTTGACTGTGAGATGACGGCCTTTGACTTGTTCATTAAGTAGCCGTTTTTCCAGCTCTGCGCACAGATTGATGACAAAATCCTCGGCCTCTTGTTGTGTGACGAAACGAATGCCCCAGCTGACTTCAGCCGACACTGATTTTCGAGGTGGCTGTCCGCCGACTTCAGTTCTATCAATGCCCCGAGCATACTCGGCAAGCTTCTCGCCAGTTTTGGGGCCAAGGACCGCTGTAAGTTTTTCTTTGGAAAGTTGACGCAGATCCTTGACCAGTCGGATACCCAATTCTTCGAGCTTGCCTCCAATGCTGTAGGACACCCCAGGAAGCTGCTCAACCTTGAGATCACCGATGTAGTCGAGAACCTCCTCTGGCTTCAAATGGTACTGCCCCGCGGGCTTGGCTTTTCGCAGAGCCACCTTTGCTTGCAGGATATTTCCACCGATGCCCACAGATACATTGCACCCAGTCAGCTCTTTGATCTTCTGTCGCAGATCATAAGCCATAGCTTCAACTCTCTCTTGCTCTCTTTCAACGCTGCCTCCTTCCACCCCTACTCCTTGTGATCCAGTGGCGTGATAAACGACAGCTGTCGCATCGATCAGAGCTTCATCAATGCTGACACTCTGTACCACTCCTCCAACTGTCATAATGGCCTCGTAAAAGGCTCGACTTGCGGCCTCGTATGCGGGAAAGTCGTAAGGTAGAACCTTGAGTTCGGGGCATAGCTCCATGGCGCGCTTCATCCACATGCCATTCTTCACGTTGAAGCTTCTCGCAGGGTAGTTGCAGCTGGCGATTTCGGAACCATTGCCTGTGCCGTGGGCCACGGCGGCAGGTTTGTCAATGTGCTCAGGGGACTTCTTCAGTGACACTGCGCAGAAAAAACTGTCAAAGTCGACGTGCATGATGTAACGCCTCGAGCCAGATGGCATCTTCAACTTTTGTTCTGATAGACCTTTTTGTGTTGCAAGACGTTGCATAGACGATTTGAGCTCGGCTTTCCAAGTAGAGAGATGGTGTAATCGACTTTCGGCATAAAATTTGGTCAAGAAATTTGGATTTGCGCATGATGATTCACGCAATCGGGGATCAGACAGCAGCCAGGCATTGTGCTCCTCTGGTGTCATGTCCGTAGAGAATTCCTGAGGCGCTGGTTTGATTTGTGCCAAATCAGCTTTTTGCTGGAGGGTTGTCTTTGTCGGCGTATCTGCTTCTGGGGCAAATTCTGCTGGATCGGACATGGCCATCTCCGTTGATGGGGTTGCAAAGTTGTTGGATTCTATAGCACTTGACAGACCTCTCTCGGCAAGTTTTGCATCGCTCGATACAGAACGGCTCGGTGTCTGAAAATGCTCGACTGCTTGACTGCGGCCTCCGCCCGCAGGATCCAAGGCTCGTAGCTGTGACGTGTAAAAGCTGTTCTCCGTCTGTTCCCGGTATCCTTGTCTCGCCACTGGGCTGGTCTGTGAAAGTCCTTTGGAGTCATCAAGCTTAAGAACCTTTTGGCGAGGGCCTTCGTCGAGCACGCGGTAGTCACCCCACGGCAGCAGCTTGCCGGCTGTGATGGATTCTGTGATCCATGCAGGCTTTACTATGCGATAGCGGCTGAAGTCAACACTCTTTTTGGGTGGTAGAGTGGAGGCGATTATATGCGTCGCCATAGTTTTGGAGTCAAGGTACTGTAAGAATCCGCCGCCATGTTGCACAATGTCACGATGAAGACTGCTGACGATGAGCAGTCTGCCAAGGCGGATGATGGATGATGGAAAGGGGGGGCACCTACACATGCAGAGGAGGTTGTGTATAACCAGTGACGTGCGCAACGATACCCTTGAAAATCTGTGGCTTGTCTGAAGTTGCCCTCAAATTCGCATCACGGTTCTGGAGCTTAATCTTTTTGCGGCGAAAGTAGTCTCCGAAGCCATTGAACTTGCTACCCTCGTATTCCTCACCTGTTTCGTCTTCGAAGGTATGCTTTACAATGCGCTTCCTCACGCTAGAGGAATTCTTGTCTAGCACGCTGCCCATGGTGTCGTGCGCAGGGGCGCTTTCTTTCACTGCGACGCTTGGAGCTGGATAGTCTGGAAGAGATGGAGCAAGTGGTGCAAATGGTGCAAATGTCGCGCGCGCCGGGAGCGGGACTACCGTCGCATACCAATCGAGATGAGCGGCATAATAAATCCGAGATGTCGGAAGCGGGAGCAAAGCATATGAAAATGATGGATTAGCCTCCCCGAAGAGAGAGTGGCAAAGGTTATGCGAGTACTGGAAGAAGCGTTGTGGCGACGACAATCGCGTAAAGTGGAGATGGGCCGGCGCGGTGCTGACACGGAACCTCGTGACTGTTGCTTTGGAAGTCGAGCATCTTCAGTGGATGTTTTAGTGGTCTTTAGCGCAATGCACGCTGGAATCCTTGAATTTAGTGACGTTTAGCACCCGCAGCCCACTGCACGTTCATTCAAGGCCGCACCAATGCGGGTGGCATGAGCGCATCTTTTTCCTTGGCTCGTCAAATTACGTCGGCGGACACAGCATCAAGCCTCGGCCGTCGGCGCGATGAACAATGAGCAGTTTCGGAAGCTGATACTGGCAAACTCGGCCAAGGCATCGCAAAAGAAAGATGCCTCACCTATTCAAGCAGCTGGCTCCTCGGGAGGTTCGTCTCTGGGGTCGCGACAGAGATCCAGCATCCCAATGACACCGTACGCTGAACGATGCGCGCGCTACGATGGACTGATTTTAGTACTGACAATGGCTAGGCGGGCGATGGGCAGTTCCCAGGTCGACTTTGCAAAACAGATGGCCCAGCGCAACCAGCAGGCGAACCCGACGAAACAGTTCAAGGCTGCGGTTCCGCGGGGTGTTAAGATGGCAGCTGGCTACACCGACCGATCGAAAGAACGCGAAGCCAAGATTGCTGGAGCTGTCGATGATCGCTCTGAGCGGCTCAAAGCGCTAGAAGAGTCACTGAAGAATGAAGAAGTCGACAAGGAAACCTACGAACGACTACGGTTCGAGATTGCCGGCGGCGATTTGGAGAGCACCCACTTGGTCAAGGGTCTTGACTTTAAGCTTCTCGAGCGAGTGCGAAGAGGCGAAGACGTCTACTCTGGCAAAAAAGAAGAGGAAGGCGCGACCAAAGAGGAAGATGTCGATGTCGACGACGCCTTTGATCAGCTCGAAAGCGAAGAGGTGCAAGCGATTGAAAAGGACAAGACGGGGAAGAAGAGGGGCCAGCTATCTACCGTAGCGCTGGCACCGGGCAAGAAGCGCACTCGGGATCAAATTCTGGCCGAGTTCAAGGCAGCGCGCGCGGCGGCCAAGGCGCAGGCCGAGCCCGCGCTGGGCGACCGCTTCCGCAAGATTGGTGCCAAGCAGCAGCCCGGGACGCGCATCGAGCGCGATAGAAAGGGTCGCGAGGTCATGATTATTGTGGACGCAGATGGACACGAGAAGCGCAAGATACGCAAGGTGCAGCCGGGAGGCAACGCGGCTGACACCGACAACGGGCTGCTCATGCCAGACAAGAATGCGAAGCCGCTTGGCATGGAGGTGCCAGAACACTATCGCAAACAGGAGCCCGCGACTGAAGAGGATGAAGATGTCGACATCTTTGACGACGTTGGAGACGACTACGACCCCCTTGCTGGCATGGATGAATCGGACTCCGACTCTGACAACCAAGGCAAAGGTGGGAAAACCAAGGACGAGGCAGAGAAGCCGACGCCAGATAGGTCGATGCCACCACCGCCACGACCAAAAGCCCCAAACAACTACTTCAAGGGCTCCAAGACGAGCCTCCTCTCGGAGCAAGATACCAAGGCGCCATCCATGTCCGACCCTGCCATGATGGCCGCCATCAAGCGCGCCGCTGCCCTCCGACCACGCGGCGGCGACGACGACGACGACGAGGCCTCGGACGACGAGGCAGCGCAAAAGGCCAAGGCTGACGAGGCGCGCCGCAAGAAATTGCTGCAAAACGATAACCGTGACGCCGAGGACTTGGATATGGGCTTTGGCACGAGCCGCTACGAGGATGAGGAGGACTTTGACGACCACGACATTAAGCTCTCTGCGTGGGGCGACGACGGCGATGAAGGTGGTGGTGGTGGCGGCGGTGGCGGAAAGAAGAGGAAGCGCAACAAGAAGCGTAAAGGGGATGTGAATAGCGCGGCGGATGTACTGAGGGTCATGGAGCAAAGGAAATCGTGAAATTTTTTTTTTCCTTGCGCCGTACGTGCGGGGAAGGGCCAACTATTACTGGTGCCTGGATGAATGGCGTTTGGGGGCGGCTATAATTGTAGGCTGAATATTATCTAGAGGGTGATTTTAGGCGTTTTGAAAATAAGCATACAACTAATGATCTATATTTGGCGGATGCATACTAACTGCCGGTTATTGAATCGTCATTCTTCCCCCGAGACAGGACCGCGCCGGGCCGGCTTTTGCAAACAAGGGGCACCGCCGAAGCCGGATCCGCGCCAGCCTTTTGGTGTGAGCCTTGGCGGCGCGCGAACCCCCCACACTAAGAATAACGTGGGCAGGCTACAGAGGCCAGAAACTTGACTGCCTCTGTTTGTTCCCCAGCATCGTCATGCCCGGCCAGCTCCGGCTCTTCCACAGACACACACACACATTCACCCACTCCACGTCGCGCAAGACATCCCCGGATATAAAACCTCTTGTGGGGTCCCCCCAACTCTTCCTCTCTTTCTTTCTTTCTTTCTTCCTTCCTTCTCTTCTTCTTCTTCTTCTTCTTCTTCTTCTCTTTTCCCCTCACGAGCTTCCCTTTGCACAGAAAAGGAAGAAGCTTTAGAGATATTACGTGAGGCGTAGACTTGGACCTGATTTAAAAAGAGAGCCCGGTTTATCCGTAACCAGTACCCCATTACACTACTTGCTTCAACAACAAAACTTTGGTCATTGCTACAATGACGGTGGAACAAATCCCTCTCTGGCTGGATTGCGATCCGGGACACGACGTAAGCTTGTCATTTACCCCCCCCCTTCACTTTGGCATGTCGTCCACTCCGGTGCATTTCGGCGTTCGGCAGCCCGGGATGCTACCCATCCCCCGACGCCGGCTACCCCATTCAACGACCGCCGAAATCCAAACCTCCAGATACTGACCCTACTTTTTTGTTGTTATATAACAGGATGTCTTTGCCATTCTGCTGGCCGCCTACCATCCCAGACTCAAGCTCCTCGGCATCTCCACCGTCTTTGGCAATGCACCGGTAGAGTAAGCCTCACCCACCACAACCAACCCCCCCCCCCCCCCCTTCCTCCCAGCCTTTTGCCATCCACACCACACTCATACACAACTCTTTTTTCTAGAAACACCACGCAAAATGCCGCTTCCGTCCTCACCGCCATCGGCAAGCAGCACGAGATCCCGCTACACGTCGGCCTCGCCAAGGCCCTCGAGCGGCCCGCCATCCACGCGCCCGACATCCACGGCGAGTCGGGCCTCGACGGCACCGCCCTCCTGCCCGTGCCGGACGTCGCGCCGTCGCCCGTCCCCGCCATTGACGCCATGGCCGTCGCCCTGCGCGCCCAGCCCCCGGGAACCGCCTGGCTCGTCGCCACCGGCTCCCTCACCAACGTCGGCGCGCTGCTCCGCGCGCACCCGGACCTCGCCGCGCACATCAAGGGCCTCAGCATCATGGGCGGCGCGCTCGGCGACGGCTTCTCCGCGGCGACGCTCGGCAAAGTAGACGGCAGGGAGCGCATCGGCAACGTCACGCCCTGGGCGGAATTCAACATTGTCATTGATCCAGAGGCCGCGGCCGAGGTCTTTGGCAATCCGGTGCTGGCGCGCAAGACGACCGTCGTGCCGCTGGACCTGAGCCATCAGGTGCCGGCGACGGCTGCGGTGCGCGAGATGCTGCTGCATGGGAGGGCGGGGGCCGTCTTCGGCGCCGCCGCCAAGACGGCCGAGGACGCGACAAAGGGTAAGACGACGCTGCGGACCATGCTCGTCGAGCTTCTCTACTTTTTCGCCAACACCTATGCGTAAGTGGGACCACATCAGCCCCCCCCCCCCTTGATCCCCAAAGACTCGCTCTTCAAGTTTCATGTACTGATGGCTTTTTGCGCAGCGACGTGTTTGGCATCACCGAAGGCCCTCCCCTGCACGACCCCCTTGCCGTTGCCGCCGTGCTCACCGGCACGCCCGACGAGATTCCGTTCCACGATTGGGATGCCGAGCGCAGCGAGGCTCCCCGGTATGACGAGCGTTTCGACGTCTCCGTCGTGACGGTCGGCGTGTTCGAGGACGCCAGGGACGGCAAGGCTGAGACTGGCCGCACCGTGGGCACATTGCTGCCACGCGGCCAGCCGGGCGTGCGCATACCGCGCTCGCTAGACGTGGCCAAGTTTTGGAACGTCATTGAGGATTGCGTGGAACGGGCCGATGCGGTCAATGCAGCCAACGGAAGGACGTGAGACTAGTTTCTCGATTTTAAAAAGAGAAACACACAAGTGGATTGGTAATCTATTGTGCGGAAAAAGAAGTCGCATACATGTACAACTCGTAGAAAGTAAAAGAAAATGACCAGGAAAGGAGGCTCATTCTTTCAAAACGCCGTACTCTATCATTGTGCTTTCGCAAGTCTGAATTGTCGACCTTGCCAGTGCGCCTGAACTCCTGTGATTAAAAATCTAATACCAAATCATAGAAAGTGGCTAAAGGGTAGATGGGCAGTGCATGCCGCATGCGCGAAAGGAACCAAGAATGTGTGCCGAGATATTAAAATCCTGTAATGCTCCGAATCACAGATATGCGTTTTGTTGTCGTTCTTCGGACTGTATCATGAAATGCAACGCTCGCTCATATGTCCAAACAGTAACGGCGCTGCCGGGAGCCGCCTTGATGAGGCTGATGGGCAGTCCCTTGTACAACCCACGAAATCCTTCGCGCGCGACAATTGTGCGAAGTGCGCCCAGTGTCGTTTTATATTCTGGAATGTCGCTGTATACGTATCGCGTCCTCGTGGGCCCTTGCACCTGTATGCGCTTGCGCACCAAGTCGAGAGGGAACACGGCCGTCTTGGCAATAATACTACCTGCAATGCCGGCCGTTGCGTCGCCCGTGCCCCAGGGCATCTGCATGTCGGCTATGCGCACCTTGAGGCCCTCGTACGTCACGAAGAAGATGCCCATGTAGGGCACAATTTGTGCCAGGGTTGGCGCGATGCCGCGAAAAAAGCCACGCGCACCCTCATCTTTATATATCGATCCGATGGCACCAAGGAGTCCGCGGTAGACTTTTGTGGTGCCTTGAGCGGCGAATCTCGTGCGCAGCAGATCGAGCGGATAGGTCATGGCGGTGGCGGTAGCGCCGGCCGTCGCGCCGGAAATGAAGCTCTCGGCGGCGTCGGGCAGCTTGATGGGCAGCTTGCTCTGCAGGAGGAGCGTGACGGAACGGTATGCGGTGAACTGCGAGGCGGCGTAGCAGACGTACATGAGCTCGGCGGGCACGTTGCCCTTCCAAAACGCCGTGACGCCTTCATGGCGCAGGATGTGACGTAGGGTGGCAAAGGTACCTTGGTATGTGTTTTGCGCGGAGGTGAGGGTCGCAGGCGGGCTGGCGGCGAGTCGCGGCGTAAATTGTCGTGGCTGTAGCTGTAATCGTATTTTTATAACGTCGAGCGGCGCAATGATGAATCTAGAGACAAGTCTTGTTAGCGGCATGGCAGCATAGTAAGGATGCGGGCCAGATCAATGACGTACCTGGAGACGAGACCTGCTATCGCGCCGGCGGATATGACCTGGAATCGTGTTCCCTAGAGAGAAAATTTAGTACAAGCTGGGTTGTTGAGCTGCGATGCAGCCCGTGTTGGTTGTCATCATCGCACCTCATCTTTTAATCGTTCAGGCGGCATTAGTATCGAACCGCGACGGCCCCAGAGGGCTGCGGCGCTGATGGGTAATAGACGCTTTGATCGAATCTGCGCTTCCTGAGGCAGGTCCTATGTGTGCAACGAGACGAGACTCGTGCGTAGATTGCTGTTGAAAGCTGTAAACATTGAAACCGCAAGTTGTTTGACGGATAAGATGATGGAAAGTGCCTGGTCCCGCCCAGAAAAAAAGGATCGAAGTGTTGGGAGAAGACAAAGAAGGAGTGGATCCAGTGTCGGCGTGGGGCCGTGCCGGCCGATATTTATCTAGATTTTTGGACAGTCGTGGAATGCAAGGCGTGCTGTGATGATTCAGAGCCATCCTGGGCGATGGAATTGGCAGCAATTTCTATCTCGTGCTTTGGCGAAACTGTGTTTTGGGTGTGTTTCCCAGGGGCGCAGAGGCCATGATCAGTTCCAAGATGTTGGTCCGCAGCTGGTATCTCCCGACCAATGGTCGAGTCTCGCGTCTCGGCAGATTGCAGCAGTTGTCCGCGAGAGGATACCTACTTGACATTACCAGTCGCCAATGGTTGTATGAAGATTCGGAGGTGAGGGCAATTTCCTTCACAGGCTGTGCACTGGCCATCGGTTCCCTTGACCTAAGCCATACTAAATAGTAGCTCTGAGTCAAGGCCGTTGCAAGCAACAGCTTCATAAAATCTTTCACGACTCTGTCGATCCATCCGAGCCAAGTTGTATCGAGAGGTTGAACCACGGGACCTTTTTTCAGCGTTATCGGCGCTTACGCTAACTGGCAGTCTGGAATAAGCCGTGGTGGTGTGACGGGCTGACACGAGGCGAAGCCAAGACCCGGTCAAGGTGAGATTCAAGGGGCGTATTTTTTTTGGTCTTGTCCCGATAAGAGTTTTTGCAGTCCCAACATCCCCCAATATCCGGAACGGGTGTGTAATTTCCGCGCCTCTAATTTTGGGGTGTGCACTGCGCTTTGGCACATGTTACATAGCATATGTATGGGCTTCCGGTGATGCAGCCACAGCAGACCAGCGCTGTGGCTCATTCACTGTGGCTTCTGCCTTGCAGCTCAACGCAGACAACTCGACACCGTAACAATCCTTTTCTTAATAGCTCCCAAAGAGGTAGCGATGCCAACAAGACTACTCCGTATATCAAGAATATTTGCCCGCAGACCTACAATAATGATTTTTTGCTCAATTTCAATTGACATCTAGCACCCATTTGTACGCTTCACCCTACCCACCATCCCGACTCCATCGTAAGCCAAAACGCTTCCGCTCCCCCGAGCCGAATGGGTCTTCCCCCACCATGGCCTTTCCAATGCCGTTGAAATTGGCCATTGTGCCGTGAGATATTACTACAAGGAAATCTCCAAGTCCACTCTCGTCTCTCTTTTAGTATTTCTCCTCTCCTCTCCTCGCCCTCTCATTCTCTCCTATTTTCTTTTGCTTCTTCCTCTTCTTTGTACCTCTACCCCTCGACCTGTATACCAGAATAGCCTACCCCGCACGAGCTTTGCTGTACCTGGGCAAGACGTCTGTTCGTCAACCGCTCCTACCCACGAGCCACCATCGTGCATGACATGCTTCACGCCACCCGGCGCCCCCTTCACATGTGACATCAACCAGGAGATCAAAAACTCATTTCAATTGATATTCGGAGGGAATCTCTCCTCAAGATCGACTTCTTGACCACTCCGTTGTTCACGCCGTCCCTCCATCGCAGTCTCACGGCCCACCTCCAGCGCAAAATCCTCACCAGACAAGCCGCCATGACAGCCGCTACGCAGGTCGCGCCACCCGACCTCTCTGCGCTCCTCACACCCATTCTCCCTGCCCTACCTCCCGCGGCCGCCTCCTCGGACCCGGCACCGGGCATTCTGCCCTTTCTCGCGCCTATACTACGGCAGCGCGTGCAGATCCTCTCTTCCGCCTCGCAGGAGCCCTGGCTACGGCTGCTCTGCTACGACACCGCCAAGGCCCCGCGCCTTACCGAGTTAATTGCCTCGAGCAGTAGTACCTTGGAACCGCACCCTGTGTCGGGCGAGGTTGAGGTCGACTGGGCCTATGACGCCGAGACGCGCTTCCGCCGTGTCGACCGCGAGACCCTGCAGTGCCTCGTCGCCCTTGTCGAGACGGGGCTGGCCTTTCAGCTCGTATACTGCGTCAACGACCCGGACGGCGGCGCCGATGGCTGGCGCATCGGCGAGGTCACCGTCGCGGACAAGCCCACGCCATTTGCCCGGTTTGGCGGCGCCGCGACAATCCCAGACGCTGAGCGCCTTTTCCAGGAGACGACAGCTGCAGCCAAGACGGACGTGACGAAATCGTCATTGACGCCGGTTCCTGTGCAAAATCACGACGACGACGACGATGATGATGATGGGTACTGGGACCGCTACGATGCGACGCCTGCGCGGACACCGGCCAACAACCGCTCTCCCGCCCCACCGTCTGCCACCAACGGGGGCACCGGCCTCTACAACGGCCACGCTACGGCGACGGATAAGGACGAGGACGACTACTACGCGCAGTACGACGACGTCCAGCCTGCCATGGACAACCACGACCCCGACGAGGAGGCCCAGGCTGCGCAGCTCGACCCGCCTGCCACGGGGTTATCCCCGCTCGCCGAGCAGCTGCGCCGCGAGAGCTGGGAGGCTGTCTGCAAGCAGCCGTCCAACCACAATGGCAGCGGCAGCGGCGTGCGCGAACGCAGCACCAGCTCCGAGGAGCGCATCCTGCTGCAGCACCCGCGGCCCGAGTCGAGCGCCTCATCCACCGGCTCCCATACCGTCGCCAAGCTCGAGGCCGCCGCGGCCGCCGATGCGGGCGGCGGTATGCGGGAGCAATCCGAGTTTGGCGTCAGGCAGCACGTCTCGCGCAGCATCCGCAGCTTGTTTCAGCTCTCCCGCAGCATGGGCATTGGCCGCGAAGAGTTTGAGCAAATGGTCAAGACGGAGCTCGACGTGCTGAGCATGATGGAAGAGTAGGTGACGCTCCTCATGAAAGACGTGTGAGTTGTTGACAGACCAAGGTGAAGAGTTTGTGAAGCCAAAATTCTTGTATGGTTTATTGCGGTAATGTTCTTCTCATAATGGCGTTGTTTGTTACATCGCTTTCTCGTGGTGGTTGGTTGTTGGTCTGCATTTGACACAATTGTGTCTGGAGTCGGCGTACGGAACACAGCATATTTAGGCATTGGTTTGGTTTTTACACTACTTGAAGCCTGCGAGCCTCTTTTTACACGAGGGAAAATTGCATTGGGCATAGAATAATAGGAAAATCCGACATTCTACCATGTCACTTTCCCGTCTCTTCGATCGCTTCCACAAATAATCCTGGTCGACTCCATCTGCATTGCCATGTCCGATCTGCATTGCCATGTCCGATCTGCATCGCCATGTCCGATCCGCACCAAGAGTGAATTCAGAGTCGGTTGCGTCGGCATATTCGACAAGCCCGAATTCGACAATTGACACATTCATAAATGTACTGAGGAAGATGATCTAGGCATTCCTCGCACTGAAAGGCGCCCGACTCCACTCTCCAAGTCTCATGTCGACATTCGTGGTTGTCTCGCAAGTTCTGCTGCTCTTGTCCCATTCGAACTGCTCGTTCCGCATCATCCAGTTCTCGGTCCATATCTCGATCTACAACGGCATTGGCACGATCTAGCAGCCTATTTTCATGCCACTGCTCACAACCACAACTTTTCCACTTTTCTCCGCAAACGTAACAAAATTGAGCACCACAGCGACAAGCTATTATGGGAGTCAGAATACCTTTCTAATTGGGGCAAACGCCTTTTTCCTTCCCCAAACTTACAGATGTGGTTACAGCCAGTGCTCAGCTCCACCACGTGATGGCAGGAGGAGCATCGCTGCCAGCCGCGAGCGTTTGCTAGTCGAAGCACATCCAACGTGGCTGCATCAGGAAGACAGTCCCCCGGGTGGTCCGGCCTTTTACAATCCGTGCACGTGCGGCCGTGACACTTGACACAGACCGCCATACGACCTCGAATAAACTGCGGCGGAACAAAGGTCGAACAAGAGGAATGGTGGCAGTATGTTCGATTGACTGTGTCATATTCGACCTCCTTTGCACGATATCTTCCTGCCAGCTCGGCCGGGATGAAGATCTGATTCAACCCAAGAGGGATGGCTTGACGACAGCATCGAGCGGGGAAAAGAGATTCGTCACTTATCGCAGCCTCGAATAGGCCTGCGATACAAGTACGGCAGTAGTCATGGGAGCAGGGGCAACGAACCGAGTCAATGTACGACACGTCTTCCTCGCAGCTGACACAGTGTCGCGTATCGTATCTCCCTGCCCTTGCCCCCTGTGCCGATGATTCGCCGCGGACAGCATACGAAGCATGGCCGGGTAACTCGCCATCATCAACGAACAAGATCGCGAGTTTCCCAATCATTTCGTCGTCAATATGCGGCTCCGATGAGTATTTGTGCGGCAAAATGTTCGCCAAGTCAACATCGTCCGAATCAAGATTCATCGAGTCCAGGTGTGTCGCATACTCTCTGTCGCGAGTCGCCTGCTGTTCTTCGCCGAGGCTGGATTGAATCGCGTCGCTATCCGCCAGCACTGCTGCAGCAATGCTGCGGCACATGGCATTGTCAGCAATGGAGATGCGGATCTGCTCGAGCTCGTCCCTGAGCAATTGAGCTGCATATTCAGCATCTGGCTGGGTGCCAGCAGCATGTTTTCCTTTGAGCAAGCTCTCTGCATCCTCCAGTTGTAGTTTTGCAATTAAATCGAGACTTGCAGTGTCGATTGGGTAAGCCATGATGGATGATTGATAGATTGCGCTATGTGTAACTCGGTCTCGTTTGTCGTGTACGATGTCAATGGATCTGGGATGGTACTATGTACTCTCCCGTCATCCGATCTTTGGTGAGGTTGGGGGTGGGTTGCCTTGCATCGAAGGCAACAGTTTCATAACTCGGCAGATCGGCATCAATCATGATTCAGCTAAGCCAATCAAAGTCGTTTATTTCAGTCAACAAGCTGAAATCTAGCTGACAAAGGAATTAAGTTGATCCGTTCATAGGGGTGAAGATTTTCGCGATGGCAGGACCAAAGGCATCGACCAGACGCTGGCTCAAAGTTCGAGCAAGTAAACGTAATTGGTTCCCGAGGCGAGCGTTTCGTGTTACGCAGAGATGGAACTGCTGTGCCTAACTCTGAATAGTTGGTGTGGGCATTACTTGACTTCTGGCTTGTTGTGACGAATGTCTATTCAAGATCATTCACGAATCAGGGCGTGGAAGCCAACTAAATTCGAGTTGGAGATTTACTTTATTTCCGAATGCATGTTGAATTAAAAATTAATTTTCTTAAAAATAGTATATCAGTAAGCTAAAAAGACGATCAGAGGTGGGGGGTCGCTGTTGTCAAGTAATTATTCGTAAGTGGCTCGATCATTTATGCCAATTACCCCACAGACTATCTGGTCAAGAAATACAGGGCCTCAAGGCCTCCTTCATTTTATGTGGGGTATGATTCACGTCGTCATGCCCATGCCCTACCCTACATACACGAGCGGCTCGATCAGCTCACTCAGGATCATTTCCTCCTCTGGGGATCAGCCTCTTTCTACAAAGCCAATGGAATCAATGCCTTGTGATTCCCCTCGCAACGCTAGCACATCGCCAGAGACACCAAGTGGTCCGCGGCCTTGAAATCTGGAGCAAGGGGGTCATGGCCGCTGCGGGGCGGTTCCGTGCCTTGCGGGGGCCGCTAATGCAGGTTGACTGCCAGCTTGAGGTTGTACTGTTGTACTGATAATCCGTCCTAAATACCTGGCACGGAAAAAGAAGTCGGGCCCGGGAAGCCAAGGCCGACCCGAGGAACTCGTTCCCTACTCGGTCATGTCAACGACGCCTTGCGACTGTGTAACTACTTATAAAGACATGTATTTTTCAGGCTCACTTGTAGGATGCTGGCTACGAGAAAATTGGAATTGGTCGGGTACGCGCGATTAGATGTCAAAAGTTTTCTACTCCTGGTCATGCCATGGAACGTGGACCACGTTGCGGTGCTTTTCGGGGCGGGGGGCCGTGAAGTGGGAGCGATCTGCGGACAAAGGCTTCATCTTCAACGAGTCTTTGCTTTTTGCAGCGGTAATCCGTACCAAAATAATTAATAATCGCCGTCATGGGCCCTGCAGTACACGTTCCCGTGCTCGTATTATACATGCAGATCTGCTATTATAGTCTGGGGGGGGAGGGGCACAAGAAGCCTTGCCAATAATACGGCACCGCGACTAAATATATCAAAAGCGTCCGATCAATCCCCGCTAGTTCTAAATACTGCATTACAAACCAACAACGAGCGGCTTTCTCTCTTATTATTAACAAACTCGCTCGTACCTGCGGGGCCGCCAATAAGATTATCCGTCAAGGTGAGCCAACACCGGTGCAGCGAGGCTTACCCAATTCCATCGCCATTGGTCGCCAAGAGGGGCTGGGCTAGCTCGATGCTGCCCGACTTCCAATTAAGCAAGGGGGGGAATTGAAAAAATCATCTGCCCGTTTCGACGGGTCTCCTGCGGATAAAAACGCCCGCGGCGAGCCGAAAAGAGCAGACTTGAAAGGCGAAATATGACAAACATTTTGGATTATTCCGTTTCTTATGCTCGCATAGAAGCGGGTGATTGCTGATTTGCTGATTTGACAGGTGCACCGTCTCAACTTGGTTTGGCTCGGCTGAATCGGCACCGCCTTGTCTCATTCAACAACCTCTTTGCCCAGCCGCGTCCAGTCTTGTAGATTTTGGCAGCATCAAAGCCTCTAAGAGTTATCACATTCAAGTGAACACTCACCGGAAGCCCCTTTTGATAAAATTGGCGCCCCGTCACCGCCGCACGCCGTATCGCCGTGGCCTTGAAATTCCATGACCAAGTAATAGCCGCAGCCCTAAAATTAGCGGCACATCCCCTCTTTTCTCGTCTACGGCGGGGCGCTGCTTAATCGAGCTAGTTTATCGAGCAAGGCAACCTCAGCTTCGGTGGCTTGTTGTTCTTTTCCACCAACCCAAACAAGGGTCACCAAGGCATCCGGACGCTCATTTCCCCTCAAAATAGGCAGCCTGATTAAAGCCGTGGCGCAGTGTATTGTACCCTTGCGGAACTATGGACAGCTGCTTCGAGAACGAGGGTTCATCTTGTTGTCAGTTGTCAGTTTTTCCATGACCGACGTTCCCAGCTTGCATGCCCACACCAGTTGACCTGCAACGTGTGAGCAACCACCCCCTGCGAATAGCGTGATGGGCAAGACTAAAAGAAGCGCTATTCTCATCACAGCTACTACATTCAGATGATATATCCGACAAGGCAACCTATCATGGCCTTGAAGCAAATGCAGACGTGTTATACTCCACAACCATCCCACCATCCGAACTTCCGGAGCCACTGGCCAGCCTTCTTTTCCACCAGGACAGCATCTACGAGCTGGTTTATAAAGACCACCATCCTTCTGTCCTACTTTTCTCCTCACTCGCTTTTTTGACCGATTCTCGAATTGACCTTAATCCACCATCATCTCGCCGCACAATCTGCTCTCGCTCGCCAAGCTTCCGCTAATAAACGCGCCGTCGGAAAACTAGCTCAAAGTCAGCGCCCAGCCCACCACCGCATAGTGCCGGGCAAACGTGGGCCGTTGTCAGCAGCGCACCTACTTCCTACCTTGCCTACTTGCATGGTTATTAGCCTCGTCACGCCCCCAAAATACCACCCATCCCGTTTGCTTCCAACCTTTTCCAATCGACCTTTTGCAACCGCCGTTTATTATGCCATTCTCGCCTGCCAGAATCAAAAGCATGGCCGGTACCAAGCTTGCTGCCGCCTCGGGCGACGTCCCTAAACATCGGGCCTGCGACGAGTGTCGTACGTATCACTCCCATTCACTCTGATCAGGCTGCCCGCAGACAATGCTAACAAGGAGGCTCTCTGTCTCTCATCTGTAGGCTCCCGCAAACTTGCCTGCTCCAAGGAAGCCGACGGCTGCGCGCGCTGTCGTCGCGAGAGCATTCGCTGCTATTACTCGCCGCAAAAGCGCATGGGCCGGCCACCGAAACGCCCGGCGGATGAGCCCGATGCCGCTCAGCAGGCACCGGCCTCGCGGCGCCGTGGCGCATCATCATCGCCCGGCATGCAGCGCAGCCGCAGCGCCTCCTCCTCGGCCCCGTCCGCCGCAGCGCCCGAGATTCGCTCATTTTTGCCGGGTGCGACATCACCGCCCGCGCCGTCATTCGGCGACCACACGTTGGACTTCCTGGACCACCAGGCCAGCACGCCCGACATGGCCTTTTTCGATCTCCTTCCCGGCTACTATCAAGAGAGCGTCGCTCTGACGCCCGCCTCGCAGGCCGAGTGCGCGTCGGCAACGCAAGGCTTTCACGGAACGCTGCCCATAGCCCACGACGGCATCGGCGCCTACGACGACCTGTCCTTTCTCGACCCCGTCTTTGCGGCGGCCCCGCCCACCGGCAGCCAAAACGCCTTTGTCGCGACGCCCGACCTCTCTGTCGGCTCGCACACGCCCTTTCACTCGGAGCCGTCCTTCTCGCCCCCACCTCACCGCGCGAGAGCCGCGGCCGTGGCCTCGCCCGGACCGCAAGGGTACGCCCCCCGGGTCGCAGGCCCCGAGCCCCTGCACCCGATCCCCACTGTGTCCTGCCCGTGTCTCTCCGCGCTCTACATGACCCTCGAGTCCCTGACTAATCTGCCCCGGGACGTGTGCGCCGCGATGCGCGTAGCCCGGCACGCGTCCAGAGTTGCGCAGGCTGTCGTCAGCTGCAAGGTGTGCTCGTGCGACCTCTTGGATATTTCCAAGCCCCCGCCGATGCAGGCCTTCCAGAACATGATGCTGCTCGCGACGCTCGTACCCTCAGCCTGCAACGCGTACGCGGCCATGGTTGAAATGATTGACCGCGAGTGCGGCCTGGCGACGCAGCAGGGCCGCCGCATTCCTCTTTCCGTGCGTGAGCTGGGCGGCCTATGGGACCGCCATCAAGCCCAAGGCGGCGGCGGTGGACGCTGGCTTCCCGCTGAGCTGGCGGACTGCGACAACGCGGAGCTCGAACCGCGCGAGTGGCGCCGGATCATGCTGGCCGTTATACGGCTCGATGTCTACGGCGACAAGGAGGATCGCTCTGGCGGGGCGTCGTCCGGTGCGATGGGCCTTGGCGATGTCGTGGCCGCGCTCGACGAGCGCAGCCAGAAGCGCCACGAGCTGGTGGACGCGTGCGCCGCAGCGGGCACGTTGCCGCCGCATAGGCACTACATGATGACGCCGCGCAGCTGTAAGCCAGAAGACAGGAACTGTGTCCGGGTACTCGAAGTAGCCCGTTTGGCCTTGAATAGCCTTGTTATTTCTTAAGAGGGGGGAAATGATTGGAGTCTAATGTTCTGGACTGGATATCTCCAACTGTTGCGTCTTGGTCGGCATTGTCCACTCATGTACGATATTATGGTAACACTGCACATAAATAAGCGCGTTTGGCTTACACGTGGAGGCATTTGGCATTTCAAATTTTTGTATAGTGTCATTTTGGAGCTTGATACATTGCTGCGGCGAAATTGGAGTGCAAGACACCGTGCTATTTCAACTCGGACCAAGCTCATGTTTCATCCACTTAGCTACGTGACAATGAGCGGCTTCCCACGTAATTGTGAGCGACGCCTTGAAAGACCTCTTGGGGCTGACTTATGTTGAGAATCTTTTTACCACTTTGTAATGAAAGACAGTTCGAATCAGAACTCAAGCATTCAGATCCCGTGGTCTAGTTGGTCATGGCATCTCGTTAACACCGAGAAGGTCCCCGGTTCAAGCCCGGGCGGGATCACACTTTTTTGCGCCTCTTGGCTTTAAGTAGTGTACTTCCAGGCGCTAAACAAGAGATATGCTAAAAGCGGACCGGTAGAATTGCCAATCTCTAGGATCGAATCGTGAGTGGTGGGCTTTCCGGATCACGAGGCTCGCCCGAATAGCTTGGTGCAGGGTTGTGCGTTATCTTCTTCACCGTCTGTAAGATGCGTGACGGGCGTTCTTCGTCGCACCATCCATCATGCGTCGTGCTTTGTCCATCGCTCCCTTTCTGTCGTGTCCGCCATCCCACCAAATTTGATATGTAGCACGCCAGTATGCCCGCTTCATTTGCTAATACGAAGCATCAAGGACGCGCCGAAATCCGTCACTCCTCCTAACTAGACCGTTGCGGATGCATTTGCCGGCCTCCCCAGTTTTAACCGTCAATACTACGAATTGTTTGCAGCCCAACACAGCACCGAACGCGCTCCCATCGAAAACCCTGTCTTGGTGAGTGTGTTCAAACTGAGCGTCCCTTCCCAGCCCCTCTCCCATTTTTCGAAAGCTGCGAGTCGGAACCGAATGCCGAATGGCTGTGCAGCTTCTAAGCCACGGCTGCGTCACTAGAGTCGACTTTGACGAGAGAATCGAGTTCCAGCTAATGCGGCAATACAGACATGTGACTAGGTGCCATTTCAAAGATCGGCTGCCAGTGAAGGTCCACCAAACTGTGTGCGCACCAAATACCGAGACAATGGCCGCTGGTATGATTCCCGGATACCACTCTACCGCCGAGTACCACTTTTGCGACGAACAGGCCGATGCCATTTGTCGGACTGCCGCCTACCATCGTAAAGACTACAGCCTTGCATTGATCTGGTTCTCGGCTCGTGAGCACACAGATATTCGGTCGTCAATAGCAACTCCATTCCGAACGACAGCAGACAGAGGGCTTGGGTCCCTCAACAGGCTGCCCTTAGAGCTCTGGTACGATGTGCTACTCCGTCTGGATATGCAATCCCTATTCAAGCTGCGGCAGACGAGTCTTGGATCGAGGGAGTGGGTAGATTCTTTGCACCAGTATCAGATGGTGGTGTCGCATGGACTCAACCTCTTCTGCGCCCTGTTGCGAACACGACTTGCCGACAGTGTCTCCCTAGCCGGCTTCTACAGTATATTGTGCACCGAGGCCTGTGAATTGTGTGGCGAATTCACTGGTTATATATCCCTCTTGACCTGGAAGCGCTGCTGTTTCCAATGTCTCCAGGTTGCACCTGAGCTCCGCTTGCAAACACTTGCCGCTACCCGGAAACAATTTCACCTCACAAAGGTGGAAACAGGCCAGCTAAGGTCATTCAAGACTCTACCAGGCATATATTCGATGGACGAACTCCCGCAAAAGTCCCGCATTGCGGTCATTTGTGTTCACCAGGCTATTCCGGTTGTTAAAAAGAATGCACCGGCGCTAGGGCAGCCAGTAGGCTCATCACGAAGCAACAAACTGAACTTCATGGGCGCCATTGCCCTCCCATATTACGACAGAGGAACTGGCAAAATCGAACACGGATTGTCCTGTGCCGGTTGTCAACTTGCTATCGAGAAGGATATCATTGGTACTAGAGGCGAGAAATGGGCGTTTGAGGCACGAGATAAAGTCTATTCACGACATGGATTTTTAGAGCACTTTCGATGGTGTGAACAGGCTCACGGTTTATGGAGGTCAAGCGGCGAGGGTGCTCATGTGCCAAGTGATCTGCCAGAAGGTGCTCGACGAGGGGGCTATTTCAATTTAAGAGAATGACGACAACGAGCCATGTGCATCAAAATGCCCGACAAGATACTTGAGAGAAAGATACTCGATTCTTCCACGTACAAAGTGACTGCTTCTTGAGTCATGGTTTACTCAGCCACATCCTGCCCGCCGGGTACTAGAAATAAGCTCCGGTGCCTGACAGCGGACTTGTCCAAGCGGCAGGCTCGCTGTCAGTTAAACAAAGTACCTTGGGTATTATTCAAGTATCATTATCCCATTGTTAGCACGTGTCAATCCACCATAGTAAACTACCTAGGTTGGTCAGGGTTTCGCAACAAGACAAGAAGTACAACAAAAATAGTAGAAGAAAATCGAAACACAGAAACAGAGCATCATTTATAATCAATCAACAAGCATCAAGTTCAATTTATATTAGTACAACAATGTCATGTTTCATCACCCACTTGACCATGTACAACAACCTATTATGCACAGCGTCGCCAACTTCTATTAGCGACTATGTTAGCTGTAAAAACAATCGGCAGCTACGTCTGCCCTTCTATTCGCTCAATCTCTACTTGATAAAGCTTGTTTTTACCCGTTGGCCCCTATAACGACATAGTCATCATTTATTCTTGTAATTTCATGCATGGCGTTTGTCTGTCTCACTTGCACGGTAAGCACAGCGCAATTTCCTCCCCACCTGCCACCAAGTGTCCGCCTGCACATCACTCTTGGGCAGCTCGCCTCTCCATCTACAAGCAAATTCCTCACAGCCCGCAAAATTGCATCTCATCTACGAAGCCTACAACTATTAGCGACCGTTTGTGGCCTACTAGTTCTGGTCAAGCCCTCGAGGCCCGTCGACAACAACGTTGTCGACACTCCTGGCCTAGGACGCGCTGTGAGCGAGGTTGAGCTTGTCGTGCATCAAAAATCATCATCCCCTGAATCACCACTGGGTTTTCGCTTGCTTTACATTGCCTGTGCCCATGGCCGGAGCAAGCCTAATACTCAATTAGCATCTTCCCTCCCGGCTTTTCGGCATACTTGCGATTTTTCCCCACAGCCCGATTGTCATTGACCAGCAGATCCATATTAGCCATCTTATTACTGCAATCTTTGCTTCGTGGCCCCCATCGTGTGCGCGCCGACACGTCCACCAAGGGCCTTGACAAGAAAAAAAAAAGGCAAAGAGACAAAGAAAACAATGGCACAGCCCGTCGTGGCATCATCCTCCGTTCCGTTGGTGCCACTGGCTCTCGCCGACTACCGCGCTGCCTTTCTTCGCGAGGTTGCACAAGGACACCGCCGCCACATTGTCCTGCCACAAGCCCTCGTCACCACGCTCATTCTGCCGATTGTTTGGATCGCTATTCCCCACCACGATCGTTCTTGGCTTTGGCGCTCGAGATGGTTCATCTTTGCGCTAGTTTTCCTCGCCAACTGCGAGCAGGCGGCGCGGGCGTCGAGCGTCAATGTGGCGTGGGCGGTGATTTCGGGGCTCATGTCGACATATGGAACCATGTTGTGCTTCCAGTATATGATTTTGACTAACCCACAGCGTGATGCCGCCAGAATCATCCGAGTGGCTTGTGGGAAAGACGCAGCTTGCGCCGAGTGCGACGCGCCGCCACCACCGCACGCCTTTGTCAAGCCAGAACATGCTACCGGTCGTGAAATCGCAGCCACAGAATCGCACATTCGGCTTCGAGGCGGAGAAAACGGCACAGCATCGCGAAATGTCAGTCGCCCTGAAAATGGACGACATGTACGCTACGTTTGGCAGCGCTTCCCGTCCAAAGCACCCCTGCTTGACAGGCTGGGCTGGGCTGCAGATCTTGTCCTCAGCTTTCGCGGATCTGGTTGGAACACCTCAATATCTGTGATCCCCAGGCCCTATACGCCGAACCCCGTGCAGGATGGACAGCTGGTCAATGTAACGTCTGTTCCCTCAGTCACCAAGCACGGTTTCGAATATTTGCATCCTCCCGCAGCGTTTCTCTGGCACCGGCTCAAAGTATTCATGGGGGCATATCTCATGCTGGACTTTCTCGGCACATTCATGATAAAGGACCCATATTTTGTCTTTGGCCGGGAAAAGTCTGTAGAGTATGCCCTGCCCTGGTACTTGGCCGGCTTGTCTCCGTGGCGTCTCGAAGCGTACCGACAGCTGTTCTCCATCACCGGCGCCTTTGTAGCCGTGGCGGCGGCGTCCAGCTTGGTGGATATGCTTCACTACTGCGCTAATCTGCACTGCAACCCGTCTCGAAACGTCCCCTGGATATATGCCTCTGCCTTTGGCTCTCTCGGCGAGGTATTTGACCGAGGTCTCGAGGGATTTTGGGGCTCCTGGTGGCACCAAACCTTTCGGCAGCAGTTCTTGGGTCCTTCAGCGTTCCTCGTCAAGCATGGATGGATACAAAAGGGCACAGCCGTGGGGAACCTCGTGGCCCTACTGAGCACGTTTGCCGTCTCAGGCCTCTTGCATGCCTCGGGAAGCCTATCATCCATGCCCCAGACCAAGCTCTGGCGGCAGCCGGCTTTCTTCTTGCTGCAGGCTGTCGGAATCATTGTGCAGCAGCAGCTCGCTTTCCTCGCGCACAAGGTCTTGCCAGCCGTCGGCATCGCCACGCGGCGTGCTGGGAATGCGCTATTCACGTTCCTGTGGCTCTATGGCACAGCAAACTTTTTCAACGACGACATGGCTGCCATGGGCATTTACCTGTTGGAACCTGTGCCTCTCTCCATATTCAGAGCGGCGGGGCTTGGCTTCCCTGGCGACGCAATCTGGCGCTGGGACGGCTATTACCTCTTCCGATGGCATTCGGGGCGTCGGTGGTGGCAGAGCGGCCTCACAATTTAGACGATATTGCACGCGAACGCACTTTCATAAAACTTGTATTATAGACATGCCATATTCATCACACACAAAATACAGCAACTGTCAATTTACAAAACTCTGTGTAATGCAATAACTAGCTGTTGTGGCATTTGGTTATTTGGCTACGAAGCCATGCGACTACCTCGGTATGCTGTGTCTGCTTGGCAGACAGAACCTCTTCGAACGCTTCATACGCTTGCCTAAAATGAGGAGATGAGGGAGTTAAGTTAGTCTTTGCCAATCACACTCGTAGCCTTGACGACGGAATTGATACGGGCGGCGAGAGGGCAAACATACCGAACAACCTGAGACTTGCGAATGGAGCACTCGTATCCCCGATACATCGATTTGCGAAAGTTGCTAGTGAGAACAAGGTAAGAAGCCTCAACCGTTCTCATGATGGTCACTAATATTAGAAGAGGTCATCGTTAGTTGTTTGATCTATGCACGCATGCATACACCAGCTTGGAAAGTAGGAGCAAGAGATGTAAACAAGTGAGATGAAGGAATAGATAGAGGTGCAGGGGAAACGAATAAAAGTAAACACGAGAAAAAGAGGCATTTAAAAAAGTCTGAAATGCATGGGCAATCGGAAGCATACTCAACCTCTACAAGGTAGAGCAAACAAAGACACAACACCAAAAGAACAATAAAAGATTGACTGGAACCAGGCATATTCACATACTCTTGACTAAGCCAGGCCGCAGCCGAGAGGTTCGGTGAAGTGAACGCATGTAAGCCCACATCTTGAGAGCCGTCTGCCGAAAGGCGACCCGCAGCGTCTCGAGCACCGTCGCGAGCGAATTGTGGCTCGTGTCGTAGAACATGAGGTGCGACTGGATCATGAAAGCATCTGCCGTGCGGCGGTTAGCTGACAAAGCAAAGAGATGTCATGGTGCGTAATGTGTGAATGCACAATCTCGAGCTTTACGATGATGCAAGGATGAGGGGGAAAAGGTAGCCAGGCAGCCAGGCTGAGTGACACGGATGTCGGACGTGTCGGCATGAGCCAACACGAGATTGGCCAACTGTTTCCAGAATCCAACGTTTTGAACATGCTGCCAAGCGCGGAAATCGAATCCCGATCATGACACTTGCCCTTGTGGCTGGAACCGTTTCTGTCTCTATGACACAAGATGTGATAACAGTGAAGATGGGAGGCGACACAACGACAAAGAAAGACAGAAAATTACAAGACAAGCAATCAAGAAAAAAGAAGAACGTACCAAGAACTTTTCGTTCAAAAGTCTGGCCTGGTAAACGGCCATGCTCAACCGTCAGGGTATTGGACACGTCTAATTGCTCATTGTTAGTGGTGGAAGCTGACCAGAGGGGCCACGGTACCCAGCATGCAACCAGCAAACTCACCAGTCTGCTCCGCCCGCTGGCAATCCTTCTTCATCTCCAGCGTGCGGCAGCTAATCAGTACACCGCAGTACGGAAAATCAGCGCCGCTGTCCACGGTCGCCATCTCCACGGACTGCCCGTCCCCAGACGGCACCGACACGGCAAAGTTGGCGAGCGACTTCTTGGGGCTGACCTGCACACCGTACTCTGGCACGCCGCGGTGCAGCACCTCGGCGAATCGCTGCGCCTTCTTCTTGTCTGTGGTGATGAGCAGAAAGTCGTCAATGAGGCGCAGGAGCAGGCTGCGGCTCGCATCCGTATCCTCATCTCGGAGAAAGCCCAGATGCTTGGCCTCGAGGTCGGCGTAAAAGTAGTTGCACAGGAACGAGGATAGTACAGAGCCTTGCGGGATGCCCTGGCGCTGCCGAAATACCTTCTTGCCGACCTTGATGTGGTTCTCCGTGACGTGCTCGGCGAGCAGGTGAAGCAAATCGCGCGTGTCGTGGCGGCCTTGCACGGCGCTGTTGACAAAGACGGTGTTTTTTCGCTGATGGACGGCGCCGGCGCCGGCGACACCGATGCTGGTCTCGCTGCTGTCCTCCAAACGCTGCAGGAATGGGCGGGACTCGTCGCTCGGGTAGGCGGTGGCGGTCCAGCGGCGGACGGGCTTTGGTGGTGGCTTCGTGGCTGCGCTGGCGTCATCGTGGACGGTCAAAGAGCAGCCGGTAGAAGATCTTTTGCCCGGCTTAACTTCAGCGTGCTTGAAGATTTTGTAACTCGCATGGCTCGGGATCGCCATCATGAGCTTGAGAACAGCCTGCTGAGGGATGGTGTCGAAAGCTGATTGGACATCCGCCTTGACAAAGTACAATCGTGGAAGCGGACTGGGTAGGTGACTTCGAAACTCTTTGAGCCGCGTGTATATATCTGCTACGGAGGAAAGGGTCGCCCCAAGATTTGAGGGTTTGAGATGCTGTTGAAAACCTATTAGTAATTGCCTGGTCAGTGAGTTGCTGCGCTTCGACCGACCTTTTCCAGCTTCAAGACGTTGTGTATTGGGGCCAGCATTGCATTGATGCTAGGACCGAGTATCTTTTGATTCTGTTGGGTGGGATATCTCCGTCGAAGGTTCATGATGGGACGCAGAGCTGCGCCTTTCGGTAGCAAGCGAATTTGGCTGAATCCCAATCGCCTGGGTCCCATTGCATGCTGGACGTCGCCGACTTTGAGCTCCTCAAGCATCCCATCCTTAATGGCGCTCATGGCGCGCTCAGAGATCATTTTCCAAACGTCGTGTCGAAAGTAAAAGACTTGGTTCCGGTGGCTGCTGGACTCTGTCACGTAAAAGGTATTGCGCGCCAGTGGAATCAGCAGAGAGTCAAAGACATAATACAACAGCTCGTGGAATAGTTCGAGCTGCTTCAGTGTTTCATTCCGACTGGGTCTTTGGCCGTTGCGGTCAGGCAGCTGAAGCCATGCCAAATTAGAAATCTGTGTCGAGTGTCAGACGAATACGAACCAAAGGCGGTTGTCGAGGAAACATACTTTAAAACCTTGCGATAGTTCATGGAGACTCATGGTTTCATATTTACGTAGTGCGATAAGATGATGCACCTTTTGGCCGAGTAGCGCCTTGTTGTGGCGAAGATCGTCGTCTTCACCAAAGAAGGCATCGGGAATTACCTTGGAGAGGCCTGCTTGTAGAAAGGCCGAAACGTGACCGAGCGGTGCCGCCAAGTCAACAACGGGAACGGATGGGTCGATTTCAAAGACATGGGCGCTATGAGTACGAGTCTGTGTCTGCGGTGCCCGTTGCACGGCAGCGGGGAGGTCCTTGCTTGATATTCCGTCGGTAACCTGACCCGGCACGATCCGCGACGCCGAGATCGGCGCCGTCTTCTCTTGAGTCTTCTTGCGCAGCGCATCCAGAGGAGAAGGGCAATAGTGTCGGACAAGCTCAATGTATGAGCACCGGTGATGGCGAATCTGGAGTCGACGAACGAGGTCCTGAGCTCTGCCACGTAGCCGCTTAGGAATCTTGGGCACGCCTTGCGCGAGGAATCTTCGATCAGAGCGCATATGGCGTGCAATCTCTTCATCTCTGTTGGTATAGTCTTGGAACTTTTGTGCAGTGGTCTTGCGGTCGACTATAGATGTAAAGACATTGTGGAACCCAAATTGTCTTGGGAAGATGTACATCATGACCTTGACAGTGTTCAAGTCACGTTTATTAGTTGTAGCTGACCCAGTCTTCATATTATCCGGAGTATAGGGATACCGATTCAGAACATCTGAAGCTGTCAATATCATTTCTGCCCAGCAGCTGTCAAGTTACTTACGGGTGCGTTTGTACCCTGCCTGTATATTGCCTTTGGACGTCAGCGAGGGCCGCGCATAGAACATTCTGCTCCGCACAAGCGTGATCTCGGATATCTTTCGCAGACGCTGCGTACTCTCGGACTCCCTTTTATTCTCCAGCCCATTTTCGAGCTCCGATATTGGGTATCCTGACTAGTATGTCAGCGGCTGCTCTCGGCATCAAGATGGCCATGGCTCCTACCGGAAATCTGGTAGAAGTTATTCCAGCCCGGCTCAATAGCAACAAATATGGAACAATCAACGAGCATATTAATCATAATCTTCTCCCCAGACTGACCCAGCAGCGCCAGCAGCTCCGGCCAAGGGCTCGCCTTGAGACTTGCCACCTGGTCATTAGGGTACCGCCTGAAGACGCCAGGAATATTTTCTAATTCTGCCCTCTCGTGGGCACTTCTGCGATATCCATCACAAAGAAGATGCTTCGGTCCACTAAAGCCACTCTTGTCTCGCGAGAACAGCAGCCAAATTACGAAGTCGACGATCTGGGCTGGTTAGTCTTGAGAATAGGGGGCCCTGCGAGACTGACGAACCTCGGCTTGAGAATAGATTGGCGATGTTCCTGTCAAGGAAACACTAGAGTCTTCTCCTTTTTGCGAGAACGACAACCATTGTTCCCACCTGTTGTCTGATGCCTCGGGTGTAAGCTGCCGATAGCAAACGAGGGTCGAGTCCAGCAGCTTGCATAGGTCCTTTTCGATAGCACAGCGATCTGGGTCTGATCCGAGTGATTCAATTTTACGTCTTCGTAGCCGTGAGGCTTGTGGCAGACTTGCAAGGATATATTTCCTCAGCGATGCACAATGGGGATAGAAGATGTCGAGCAGATCGCGATTCAGCGACAGCGTGGCAGGCGACTTCTGAACTTTTTTGCGGGTTGACGCGTCTTGATGACCCCTTTTCCGCTTGCTCATTTTGACTCAATCATCGGACTATAGTCCGTCTCCAAAAGTCGCGTCATACTTTAGGAAGTTATTCACGCGAAAGCGACCTACAAACAGCACGGGCGGAGCCATTGGCCTGGCGATGTCTTGTGGCTTGTTTACTTGTGGCTCACTCCTAGGTACTCGATGTGGCTGTGCCATGTCCCTCATCAACGGTCGACAGGTCACGTATTTATATCGCGTTATTGGTGGCTAGGCCATTGTCAAACATGGCACAGCTCATGCAGAAATATTGATACCATGTATAAGGTTTCACTTATTTGTTGCTTACTTCTTTTCGACAAATTGAACGAGCCCTGCCGGGGTTAGCCTTGCGATAGTGGGCCACAGTTGTGAGGAGCTCCTTAGTACTCCGTCATGCGACGATTGAGATATATTACAAGGTCCAATGTTGCATGTGCCATTGTGACGGAAGTCTGCATATGCAAATCTCCTTTGCGTCCTTACCCCTGACGTTCGCATCCGAGTAGGTACGGAAGAAGCTACAAATAAATCGACGGTGAAATGGCTCATAGACGAGGTAGGAAGAAAAATTTGCGGCTTTGGAAACACCTCTGTTTCAAACCGCCAAGAGGGTTGCGCCAATGCAATGGCGGCACGAGCTACCTGTAACACGTCGCCTATTTTCACTGGTTGATTGGTTCGACGGGGCCATCCAAAGGAGTTGTTCTTGATGCAAAAGCGGCCAGGGAGTAGCCAGGAAAGGCCTAACCACTTCGTGACTCGTGAGCACGGACAGCGTAAACATGCTATGCACTTGAACGGCGTAGATTTCCGAAATCTAGACTGGGGTAACCTTGATTGAGCTTCTTCAAGACCCCTAATCATTGTAGTCAGACCTTGCCCGTGCTTTGCTCGCAATCGCTGCCCACGTCTGTGCGGTCAAACTACTCGTACACTGGCACCGTGTTGTCGGCTCCAGGCGGCCTCCAGCTAAAGAGAGATTGACCCATGGCTCATCGGAGACAGCCACGGCTTTGGGTCGCGCACGATGATTTACATGGCTGGCTTGATCTGCAGGGATGTTAGTGTGGCGGCCTGATGCTATTTACAGTTACCAGTAAGTTCCAGATAAACGAATTGGACGAGATATTTCAGGACGGAGAGGAGATCCCGGACAATCCGAAAGAGATCACCGCTTCCAAGCAAAATGGCAACCCGACAAGTATTCAGGCGAGCTCGAAGCAAAGAAGGCATCGAACAATGCGCTGCTTCATCAAGCCACACGAGTAACGAGAACGGCGACCTAGGTAGAATAGCTGGCGTGACTAAGTGGCATCCAAGAGGGACTGATTACATTTGCGCAGTAGGATGCTGACGTGAATGTTGGAGGCAGACTGCAATTAAATAGGTAGTAAATGGGGGAGCATGTGGTGTTGTTTGCAATCGCGCCATGCTAAATAATATCCGCACCTACATTCGTACTGGTACTTGGTTATTGAGTGGAGGACAGACTTGGTGGCACCTGCCTATAGCTGTCATATCAGTACGGGGAATAATACGAGACCATTTGCTTAATACGTAGTATGTATCCGTATAGCGAGTGAAAGCATCGGGCTCCGAGAGAACGGGCTCTGCGAGAATAGTTAGGTACCCAACATAGGGAGGCAAAATTAAAGGTGGTGGCCAGCAGATTGCACCAGTAGGCTTATTAATAAGTTTTCAGCCACCTGCCACCTACCAGGTACGGACAAGGGGCTCGCGGCCCGCACAGGCTGCCGTATCAAGCTCAAACTCTAGCCACCTTTTAGTGGCATTAGAGTGCGCCACTAGCCACTCACATCAGGCAGGCAAGGTTACAGCGGGGAACGACGCGCCAACAGAGCACTCGGACTGCTGTACCTGATTGTTTGACTGCTGTATCCGTACCTAGCGAGGTAGGTACCCACTTCACTTCAGCCACTTTGCCGGCAACCTCTGCTATTCAATATATTCAATTCTCCCTCTCCACCAGCCACACGCCTGCACGCCCGCCCACCATTGTTTTGGCTCCCTGGCCCTGTCGCACCCCAAACTACCCAAGGCTCCATCTCCCAATCGTCCTCCCGCGTCCTGCTTCCGCCAACCGATTCTGCCCAGCCAGCGCATCAATGCCCACGCCTGCATGGGCTTCCTGTCGTCTTCTCGGCCAGTCGCTTCGCCCGTCGAGCCCGACCCATGCCTAGGTTCTGCCCATCATGGAGCAGGACCCAGACTCTGGCCCTCCAGACACGAGTGCCCATCATCACCAAGCCATCACCGCCGCTCCCACCTCGATCGACCCTTCAACCCTCGACTTGTCGGTGGGCGCACAAGACCATTTGCATACTGATACGCGATTTCTTTGCCCTGAATCTGTTGTCACATACGCACCCTCACCCGCCGACGTAACCACCGCCTCCCACGACCAGTCTCTTCCCGCAGAGCTCGCACCATCAGCTGCTGCGTTGACGTTCCCTATCGCCCACGATGCTACCCCCATCAGTTCTCTAGATCCCGACGATTTTTACAAGTCCTATCGGCTGCCTCTTGGCGACCCTACGTCCCCTTCAGTCCTCACTCCAGCCGATGTAGCCAGTTCACCTCATCCCACCTCGCCGACCATGACATCCACACTCGCTCATCCGCCGACCCTCGCCAACGGTAACGACGCCGCAGGCATATCAAGCCACGTCGACGGGCTCGTCGCACAATCACTACGCGGCCCGGGCCTACAGAAATCTACACGATCGGTCTCTGGGCCAATTGTGAGACCCAAGGGTGGTCCTAGTGTCAAGGATCTCAAGAAGAGATTTGATGAAAAGGGTGCCGTTTCAACCATCCCCAGCATGCCTTCCCGATCTGCACAATCGACCTCGCGGCAGCATCGCGGCCTTACTGAATCCTCCATCGTATCTCGCAACGGCCTCGACGCTTCCAGGGAGCCCAAGACCCCCACGGCTAACGGCTTTGACACCTCTCGGAGTCAGATGGCTTCGGCCCAGTCCATCCGCAGCAATCAATCATTTGCAAGTCGAATAAATAGTTCCGCTATCGTCGATACCCCTTCTTCTCTGCCGCAGCTGTCCCGAAAGCCGCACGCCCAGCAGCGACCTGGCCAATCATCAGGTCTTCTCTTTGGTGAGGTTTCTCCAGAGCAGCACGATTCTGCGACAGCTGGGTTTGGCATCGACGAGATTCGCCCCCGGAGCACTTCGGATTCCAGCATTCACACCAAATCTACTTTTCACAGTATCTCGAATCAAGATCGGGATGTAGACTTGCCATCACTCCCGAGCTCGTATGCCAGTGCTTCACACCAACCCCTAGCCGGCGGGTTACCAGGCAGCGGTAATCAAAGTCCACGCACACGGTCACAAAGCGATGCTTCCTCCCGAGGTTCCTCCAGCAGAACGCCGATTGCATTGCGCACAGGCTGTAACAATGTACTAACCCCCCATTCCGCCTCAAAATTGCCTGTCGCCGTACGAAGGCTTCATAGCCCAGCAAGCAGCTCGGGCGACAACACACCTTCGCGAGGAACGTCACCTGCCAACCTTCGCCGACCAGCCTCTACCAGCGTACAAGCCTCGAGAATCACACCTCCGCCCTCTCGAGCCAAGACACCCACTTCATCAAGTAAAACGCCAACCCCAACCATTAGGGAGCGAAGGCCGCCGCCGCCAAGCCTAAATAACTCTGCAAACGGCAATGGCAGAAGATTGCGCTCTCAATCCATAACGACTCCCAACCTTTCGCCCACACTTCGAAGTTCAAGGCCGCGTCAGTCGTTGACCAGCACATCCAATAAACCCAAGGACCCTGGTACAGCAAAATCCACCCGCTCCAAGGGCAAGGAGCCAGTACAGAGGCGACGAAAAATATCCGCAGGCCCTATCGATTTCGAACAAAGACGGGAGCATATTCGCTTGGCGTATAGTAAATCCATTCGCGAATCTCAGGCTTTAGAGGCAAGGCAAAGGGCCGCGACTCAGCCCAGGAGGGCCGAGCAAGGTGCAAGTGCTGCCACAGAAACAGTTAACGGCACAGCCGATATTCCCCCTGTACCGCAGATACCTCGCGATGCTATCGATCAGGCTACTCACGTTGCCAGAGAAGCTACTCCAACACCTGTACCAGCAAGCAAATCGGCGACACCTTCAATACCATTAACGATATCCCCATCAATTGCCAACTCCAACAGCGCTACCGTTGAAGACTCGCCTACGCTCGGTATTCCAGGTAGCTACCCTCAATCTAGCCCTTTGTTGCCGCCAGTCAGTAAACGAGCTTCGATGGCGTCTGCCACGTCTGAGGCTACGGAATTTGATGGCGAACCGCAGACTGCGCCGCCTGTCCCTGCTCAGCACCTACCTGAGGTTCCCATTACTCTTGTTAAGCCACCGAGTCCCAGCCCAGCTGCGCCAGCTCCCACCTCCACACCCACTGAGAGCGATTACCAATACCCTTTCTCGCACGAGCAAGAAGCGCAGCAGTGTGCACAAGAGCATGCACAATCAGTGGTGCAACATGATGGCGTTATTCTGCCATCCACATCTATGGCTTTGGCAGACCAGCTTTCATCTGCAGTGGCTACGTCGCAATCACCCCCTCAGCAACAGGGGCCAACAGGGCTGTTTCCGAGGTCAGAACTAGGTGATGAGTCCGACTGCCAGTCCGAGGTAGAAATCATTCAGGGCATGCAGCACATTGCCTATCCTCGGTCAGAGGCAGCGACGACGGACCCGGACGCATGTACCGAAGACACTGATGACAATGATCGATATGAACGAGCAGCGGACTTCAGGTCCGATTTCAGATATAGCGAGCAGCTGGACTCGAAAAGAGCATCGACATGTGCCTCCTCCGATGTCAGCGGATTCGATGATCTTCAGCAGTATGCCTCAGAGCGTGGCTCATACCCTGTGTCTGGTACTCTCGGGATTCCGTCTCCGAGATTCCGCCCAGACCGCGCGAGCAATCAATCCGCATGGACAGACTTCTCTGTCGATAGCTCAAGACAGCTCGATATTATTGGCTCTGAAATATCCATGGACAGCCCTACTTCTATCCATCATCCAGCGCCTTTCTCATCCGCTACGAGTCCACGTCAGGATTCTTTTCCGGAAAGCTCTGCTCCGAGACTTGAGAAGCAACTACCGCCAACACCGACCGACCACCAACTCCCTGAGCTCGATACGGGTGAAGGATTCTCAATACCCTACCTGTCGCCTGGGTCAAGCCAGCGTCTGTCACTGCTTCCCTCACCACCAGTACACGAACCGCCACCTATTCCGCAGACTGTAGCCGGCTCCGCACTTCATTCTAGAAACTCTAGTGCGATATATGAGGCCTCTCATTCTACCAGCACGCTGCTGGACTCTGCACGAAACAGCGAGGCTTATATGACATACGCTAATACGCCTCGATCTGTCGATACTACCTCTTTCGACAGGGCAGACAACGATTCATGCAAAATCGTAGGGACTGATAGTGACGGCAAGTCTCTCCATCAAGATGCGGATGCACCTTCAGAGAAGGAGCGACATCGACTCGTGCAGCGGCGCAATGTTATCAAGGAACTGGTCGATACCGAGGCTGTATTCGTACGTGACATGAACATTGTCGAAGAGATCTACAAGGGAACTGCCGAAGCATGTCCCCGCTTGGATGACCAGACTGTGAAACTCATCTTTCGCAACAGCCACGAAATAATCGAGTTTCATACTCTCTTCTTAGCTGAAGTGAAGGCTGCAGTCGCTTCGGTATATGTTCCCAAGGGCGGACGGACCGCCAAAGGCCCCCAAATACCGACAAACATCGAGCCAGGGACTATCAAGTCGAGCGATATTAGCGATGCTGGCGATCGTGAAACTACAGTCGGCCCCGTGTTCCAGCGACATCTCGAGCGCATGAAAACTGTTCACGAAGGGTTCCTGCGAAATAGTGACCAGGCCGCGAAAAAGCTCATTCAAATACAGCAAGACTCGGCCGTCAAACTCTGGCTGGCAGAATGCAACGAAGTTGCCAAGGACCTGACCGCGGCCTGGGATCTTGACTCTCTTCTCATCAAGCCAATGCAGAGGATTACAAAATACCCCAACCTAATCATGACTTTGCTCCAGTACACCCCCCAGGATCACCCGGACCGAGAACGTCTCACAACAACCAAAGACTCGCTAGAAACCGCCATCATCGAGATTAACAAAACAAAAAAGAACTTTGAGCTGGTTGGCCAGATTGTTGGCAGAAAGCATAAGGACACAGATGTCAAGGCTGGTTTCGCTCGTGCTTTTGGTAAACGTGTTGATAAGCTGCAGTCATCTGGCAGTCGCGTTCCTGATGACCCCATCTACGTGAAACTGAATGAAAAGTTTGGCGATGACTTTGTTCAACTGCAGGTCGTCCTTCGTGATGTGGAGTATTATACGCGGCAAGTATCCCAATATGTGCACGAATTTCTGCAGTACCTTTCATCGATTGAGCTGGTCATGAGACTGCAGCCTGGCAACTTCCCTGAAATTGAGAGCAAATGGGTACAGTTCAACATCTCGATGCGAGACTTGGAAAAGGTGGCATTGGAGGAACATCTCGCGCAAGTCCGCAAACAAGTGATTGAACCTTTTGAGCAAGTTATCAAAGCCTATGGCAATCCCTCGCTGGCGATGAAGAAACGACAGAAGCGCCGGCTCGATTACGAGCGAGCCGATCAGCAACGACGCGGCGGCAAGACACTAGAGCCAAAGATGCGGGAACTGGTTGAGCAGTATGATGCACTCAATGATGCTCTGAAGGCAGAGCTACCGAGGTTATCCGCCATGACGGAGAAGGTTGGCAAAATCTGCCTCGGCAACTTTGTCAACATCCAGGCCAACTGGTATAAAATGTGGACAGAGAAGCTGAGGACAGTCCTTAGCGACGGCCCAGATGTGCCAACTGTTGACAAGATCGTTGCTACTTTCAACCGTGACTACCCCTACGCCGCTGACCAGCTTGCTTCCATTGGCATTTTGAATCCTGATTTGCAGGTACGATCATCTCAATCCACCGAATACCGTTTACGATATTCCGAGATTGAACGGCGTGGGCGTGGATCTTCTGTCAACGACGAGAGTGCGCCAACGTTGCCGGCTCCAGACTTTGGCAAGCGCAGTAGCGCAGGCATCACCATGTCACCTAGTGCAGGCAGCTCCAGTAGTAATGTGGCTGCCGTCACCAACCCGCATCAATACTACTACCGAGACTTTTACGCCGGTATTCAAGGCTACGGCACAAACTCGGCGTCGCCCAAATCTGGCGACATGGTTGGGAGCTCGCGCTCCAACACAGGCACTGGGCACACCTCTACACGCCCAAGTACTGGAAAGAGCTTTGAGTCTGGCGCTCTGCAACGGCAGAGCGCAGATATGGCGTCGCCTGTCCAGCGCTCAGACTCGACCACGACATACACGTCCAGTCATGCGCAGCAAGAGAATGCTAGGTTCTCCAATCTATTTCATTCTGCTCTCCCTATGCCTGATGGCCCAGAAGAGAGCCAGAGATCATCACGCGCATCGTCTCGCGAGAGGGGCCGAGGATCGGATGGCTATAACATATTATGGCTTGCGGCTTCTCTGTTTGAGTTTAATATCGAAACAACCAAGCACGAGGCTGGATATCCCTATCTGACATACCAAGCCGGCGAGGTAAGCTATTTCTCATGCAGTTTACATGAGTTCCTCAGCGGCTAACCTACAATACTAGATATTCGACATCATCGCAGAGAAGGGAGAGTTGTGGCTTGCCAAGAACCAAGACGATCCGACAGAAATGGTTGGCTGGATCTGGTCCAAGCATTTTGCCAAGCTGGCCGATTCATAATATCCGCACCGGCTTTCGAAGGTGAACTTGTTGCTTCGATTTTTTGCTTTTTCTTTTCTCGTTGTTCTTCTTCCCAAGACCTCCGCAGGCGTTGAAACAGTGATTTGAGGAACACAATGAAACAAATAGAGTTTTGATGCCGAAATGGGTCGACGGTTGACAGTACCCACGCTCCGGTCAAGCACCAAACAGGAGAAGGGCGCAGACACGGAAAAGGGGCACAAAGTACACACGGTATGGCCAAAGAAGGTCTTTTTTACCGTTGAATTGTTTTTTTCTTTTTCTGGTGGAAGAAGGAGGGAAAGGAATTATGGGTGATGGCGTTTACAATTTCCTTGCAATTTGTTGTTTGTCCTCGAGCATTGCGAAGCAGCTTCTTGTTTTCTTTACTTATCTTTCGACAGCTCTGAGGCCGAAGCCTACAGGCCTGGCAGAGGCTCTTTTTTCACAATTGCCAATTATTTTGACTCAAATATATCTATATTTATAATGAGTACGGACGTTGCATGATATGCCACCTTTTACCCGTATACGTAGTCCGGGCCCAGCACTTGTCGCGTTGTAATGGCACAGAACGAGTAAGAAGAAAAAAATGAAATTTGGAGATGACGAATGTGTATGTGGTAAAGAGCCAGAAACAGAAAGGCCTACGCCATGACAATGACTTGCTTGCTGGCATTTTTGTTGCGAGTAAGGTTTATCAGTAAGGATCTGGCTCTTTAAAAACCCCCTTGGCCCTATGCACAGAAAAGTGGCGCAGTTGTCTAGCGGGCTGAAAAGGCCGGGCTACAGTGTCTTTAGGCACCTCTTAATTTCAGCACATTACATCACGGCATTTTCGTCGTCTGTTCATCGATTTGCTCTGTTTCGCTTTGCTCTTTTGAATCCGTATACGACGGTGGGACACTTATTTGCTCATATCTTGACCACTGCGCGCGCGCGGCGATTCTGGGTCGACCAACGCAACACCTGGGAGCATCACGCTAATCACCTAGGGAGGAGGCGCGCGTCTATCTACAAGCTGGCTGGCCCATCGAGGTCCATCGCGACGCGGCCCTATCGAAATTAGCCCAAGCTGCTGTCCCAAATTTGTTCATCGTTCAGTGTCATGCTTGGTACCCGCCATTGAGGCATTTCTCTTGTTTTTCCTTGGCTGTGAGGTAGATATATTTTCCCCACACGAATATGGCTGCTTTTGCAGGCGAGTCCTCCATCAGGGGCTCAAGTGAGGCCATGCGCATGATGCTGCTCACTTTTTGCACTATTGGTATCACGTAAGTAAACCTTTTCAAAGTCAAGGAGCTCAAAAGCTCTGGCAAAGACTGATGTTTTTTTAACATGTTGTCGTTTTAGGTTTACATGGGGTGTCGAGATGACGTGTAAGTAAAAAGAAACTTTTGAAATCTTTTTTGTAGGGATGTGCAGAACTGACGACTTCTTTCACCAGATTGTACTCCGTATCTGCTGAGCTTGGGGCTGAGCAAGAGCAACACGTCCATGGTGTGGATTGCCGGGCCGCTGTCGGGTCTCATTGTCCAGCCCGTGATTGGCGTCATTTCGGATGAAAACACGTCGAAATGGGGCCGCCGAAGACCAATGATGGTGCTCGGCGCGGCGATTGTGGCTGTTGCTATGCTCGTGTTGGGATTTACAAAGGAGCTGGTCGGTCTATTGATCCAAGACGCGGAAGCCGCCCGGGTGCCGACAATCTTTCTCGCCGTACTAGCCATCTATGTTGTTGATTTCGCCATCAACGCCGGTAAGAAACAAGCGCCCTGCCCTCCCCCTCCCTCTCTGCCCGCACCAAGACAATCAGCTCATTCAAAGTGTCAAAGTAATGTCCTGCTCGCGGAGTCTCATTGTCGATACACTACCTATTGAGAAGCAGCAGTCAGGTGCCGCTTGGGGTAAGTTTCTTGTTCGCAAAATCCAGCGTTTGCTCCTCTCTCTCTCTCCAGCCTCATACTAATCTCGCCCTAAACCTTTTTTTTTCTTGCTCCGTTTAGCCAGTCGAATGTCCGCCATTGGCAACGTCGTCGGCTACGCTGGCGGCGCCGTCGACCTGGTCCGGATTCTAGGCACCACGTTTGGCGACACGCAGTTTAAGCTTCTCACCATCATTGCCGTCCTGGCCATCCTGGGCACCACGGCCGTGACCTGCTGGGCCGTGACGGAAAAGGTGCTCCTCCCGGACCCCCGCAAGGACAAGGCGCGGCAGCAGTCGTCCCATCATCAGGACCGTTTCCAGGTCGTCACGCAAATCTACCACACCATCCGCCATCTGCCGCCGCGCATCCGCGCCATCTGCTGGGCGCAGTTTTGGTCCTGGATCGGCTGGTTCCCGTTCCTCTTCTACAGCACCACCTGGGTCGGCGAGACGTACTTTCGCTACGACGCCCCCGAGTCGGCCAAGTCGGGCGACACCCTCGGGGACATTGGCCGCATCGGCAGCCAGGCATTTGTCTTGTCGTCCATGATTACGCTCACGGCGTCGTTGGTGCTCCCGCTCGTCGTGCGGTCGCCTGATGAGGCAACGTACACGCAGCGTCCGCATCCCGCTCTCGCAGCGGTGCTCAAGATCTGCAAGGGATCGCGACCCGATCTCCTGACAGCATGGATCTGCGGCCATGTACTATTTGCAGTCGCCATGATGTTTGCCCCATTTGCTACGAGTTATCGCTTTGCCACTGCGCTGGTGTGCCTCTGCGCAGTGTATGTATTTTGTTCTTCTATGCGGTTGAGAGAGGAGGGGGGGGGGGGGGGTGGCAATTTAGCTAACCTACGTCTTCTTCTAGTCCATGGGCAATCGCAGGGTGGGCACCCAGCGCGTTTCTCGGTATCGAAGTCAACAAGCTTGCAACTGAGGGCGGATCTACCTATCGTCCGCTGCCTAGCCAGGATATCGAAATGACGGTGCTCCGCGAGGGCTCCCAGGGTTCAACCTCCTCGGCGGAGCTCTCTGGCATCTACTTTGGTATCCTCAACGTGTATACTACGCTGCCGCAGTTTGTCGGCACCTTTATATCCATGATTGTCTTTGGCATACTCGAGCCCGGCAAGAGCCGAGAGCTGGGTGCGGACGGAGACAAGACGCCGCCTGCAGCGCCTACTGGTCCGAATGCCATTTCTATTTGCCTCTTTATTGGTGCGATGAGCACAATCATCTCTGCAGTTGTTACAAGGAAACTGAGGCATTTGGAGTAAGTAGGGTGTGTGGTACTTGGGCTGCCAGAGCTTTTTTTTCGTCTCTTTTTCATAGCACATGGCCAGATTGTTTTGGATCCATGTACATGGCCATCGTTTTCATATTGAATATATACCCGTCACAGACTTTATCAAACGTAGCGACCTATGCCCCGCCGTTTATTTGTTACTTGGTCTTGTCATTCTCGCTCTCCGAGACTTTCTCCCATTCATCCTCGGTACTGGCGCTCGACTGGGACATGCCCGTCGAGTCCGACAAGGAAGCGACGCGATGTTTCAATTCTCCCTTTGCTTCAACTGCTTCCACATCTGCCGACGCCTTGACCACTCTAGCAACATTTTCCTTGCCCGCCTTTTGGCCCCTTTTACCTCGTTTCTTCTTGGCCTGGCCCTCCACCTCGGTATCCTCGTCGCTGCCGCCGCCGCCATCCTTGGGCGCGACGAGCGTCTGGCCAGTGGCCGCCGCCGCCGCCTCCCTGTCGTCGTCCCCGAGAGCGGCCGGGTCGCCGCCGCCGCCGCCGCCGCCGCTGCTGCCGCCCGCGCCAGAAGGCGGCAAGTCTCCTCGCGCCTTTGCGGCCTGTAGCTCGGCCGCGAACCAGTTGATAGACCACCACAGCCCGGCAGAGAGGATGGAGAGGATGACAAAGTGGATGCTGTAGGTGCCAACGAGAAGCGCAAACAGGGTGAGCTGCAGCGCGGCAAAGGTGGCGTTGGTTGCGCGCAGGATCGTGGGCGTGGGGCCGGGAACGAATATGGACTCCCACAATTCGACAATGAAGGAAGACATGGCCGCCGCTGCAGTGTGCGCCGAGCCTGGTTACCCCAGTAATATTGGGCGCGATAAGGTGGGCGACTGGGGATGTAGCTAAAAAGCAACAAATGTGTTGGAGGCTGACGATGCGTAAATTGATTGCAGGTTGAGTGAGGCCGGGCGTGCCAGAAACCAGAGGAAAGGGTTCTGGTGTCTCTGTCTGGCTCTTTACCGTTGGAGAAACGGGATCACGTTACTGTTGCCTGTTTGCCAGTATGAAAAGACACAGTGTGTGCCCTGAGCTGAACAATTCGAGCCTCGTGGCCTGCGAAATGCAGTTTGTGCTTGGATAAGTCTCTGGTAAACCGGTTTTCGGCCTTTTTGTGTATTAGTTTTGATCTTCGCCGCTCCAGTGACGCCTTTTTTCAGTGCCTTTTCACAAAGAGCTGGCTTGCCGCCCCGCGAAATAATGACCCGTGATGCCCTCACATGGTTGATTATGTAATCCTTCCGATATCATGCAGGGTAGGCCCCTGACGTACGCCACCACCTTTGCAAATGAGATGGAAGAAGCAATAAAAGTCTTGAATCTCTAGATAGAGAAGTCGACTACAAAAAAAAACTGATTTGAAATGTATAATTACGTTATCCATCGAATTAGCGTTTGCAAATGGAGGTTACTAAGCCATCTTTCAAGATCCAACTAAAAGCATTGCTGAATGCAGCTCATCAGTCGAGAAGGTTACAGCAATCAAGTTGGCCCATATTACTTGACACATTTACGGAATTCATATCCTACGTGTGTAGATTCAGAACTTGCGAGTCTGACGCTGTACTCTAGCGTCAGCGTCAACTCGGCTGGTTGTTGATCGCACAGGATCTTGCACTTGCGGATATGCCTCTGGTTACTCGGTTGCCAGTTGCCAGTCACGGAAAAAATAATATTGGATGGGGATTGGAACTACCTAGGCTTCAGTCTCACTAGTACAGCAGAAGATGGCGTTACATGTAGGACTGAGCGCGAGAGCACAGCGAGGCTCTGGGTGGATTGGTTGCGCGCCCGTGGGAGCCATTATGATATTAACAAGACATTTTATTGGAAAGTTTAGTGCGCCCGAAACCAAAAAAAGACGGAATTAAAAAGTAGCACCGGGTGCAAACGTCAAGGCTTGAAAGTGACATTGTAATGCCTGACGGAGTTCAGCCTCGGCTCCCAATCGCGGGCGCACTGATCTGTGATTATTACACACCATCTCGAGGTGGGCTGGAGCCTCATGAGATGGTGACATTAGCTAGTATTGGCAACACGCTAGTGGAAAGCGAACCGAACCAAACATTTGCCTTGGAGAGACACTGTGAGCCATATACAAAGATGATTATACTCTGTAGTAGGCGATAAGTAGAGTCGTGGCTGAAAAGCTCAGACTCGCCTTCACGAGATCGACAAGCCCTTGAAGTGAACACCCTTGAAGCGAACAACAACAACCATCCCAGATGACCAAAATGACGGGCTGTTGCTCCGGCCCGCTATAACCGTCGAATGGTAACTAACTAGCTAACTGACTAGTTGGCAGCCACCACTGACCAAAGCCAGTCATCGTCAGGCCAGTTTCCCCCCCCAAGCAAGGCTCGGCTTCAAACCCCCAGCGGGCGTGAGACCAAAATAGCTGGCCCCCCGGTGGGCGGGGTAACGTAGGAATGAGCAGACGGTGCTGCGGCCTTGCTGCACTGGTAGGGCTGCGCATTGGATGAAAAGTTGTCGTCTCGATCTTTCGACTCTTTGGTAACATTCGCCTTGTTGAGTGGGCAGCTCTCACATGAAGCGGGGGGTCTTTTGACTGCATGGAACGATTTCAATGGGGCAAGTTTTCCTTTTACCAAAGCCTTGGCAAAAAAACAAGAAAACAAAATCCATTCATTTGGTACTAACAAGTACCAACAGAAAAGAAAAACCTGGTGGAGGGTCTAATAAACTTGCACATATAGCCAGCCCAGCGCCATGCGTCAAAAGAAAGAGCCAAACATGGGCGACAGAACAAGCCCGAGCCACCGCCTGCTAATAAGCAGGCAAGCAGGCAAGTGGACAATGAGCAAGCGTCACTTGTTCGTATGGTGTGGTCCATTTACAGCTAGTAATACCGTAGTTCGTTCATTCATACTGTTGCTGTGGCGGCTTACGTATAGCAAGGGGGGGGGGGAGGAGGAGGAGGAGGGAGGGGCCGGGGGCATCGAGGCTGGCTGGCGTCTGGCAGACCATGGCTGGAACTAGACAAGTTGAAAGCAATTGGCAAAAGCAATTCGTCAGGTACGAAAAGCCTTGTTCCAGTTAGTCGATGCGGGTTACTCTGCGAGCTAGTTATGAAAAAAAAAAGAAATTACTCCGTCGACAGGGCAAAGTTCGGAACTTGCTTCCCGTAGTTGACGTCTTGTCTTGGCGTACGCCGTACCCCGTACCAACAGATACAAAGAACCGACGGGGGCTTGTGGGGGGGGGGAAGACTCTGCATCAGTGACCCATCAGCCGGAAAAAAAAAAAGAACGTGCATGATTTTTTTTATAGTAACTCTTTTCGAATGGTGTTGTTGTTGTTCGACTTGCCCGTCAGTTCTGCTAGCCAAAAGCTGCTAGCTCTAGGTTTCGAAGAGTTGTGTGTACTCTCAGAGTCCCAGCTCTCGTTATTTACCATCAAGTTCAAGAGCGAAATGGCATAACACAATTTCCCCAATGAGGTTGCCCTGGTTGTTATCGTTGCTCGATCGGACTTTTATACCTCCGTAGCCAGCCTCCTCGTCGATGGAGGGGGCGATCTCAGCCGCTTCGGCTCCGTGGCACGCGGGCAGCTCATGTGCTTGCGGAATCAGTTACAATTTTCCATTTTTTTCTCTTTGTTTTCCCATACAACTAGTGAGTGACCGTGGGGCAGACAGAAGGCGGGGGTGAGAACTTGCTCCATATCTTTGTCGCTTCTCGGGGCCCTCCAACCTCTTGCCTTCTCTTCGACACCACAACCCCCAAAGAACAGTGTGGTAGCAATAACGTGGCCAAGCGCCTATCCATCTTGCGGCCGCACTGCTGAAAGCAGCCACACAATATAACCAGTCACCAAAATAGTTTGTTCAATGCAACCCATCCCCAAAACCTGCTCTCATTCGTCGACTCGTGGTCAAAAGACAAGAAAGACCAAGGGAACCACCCAGACAGAGGCTCTGGGGGGTGGCTTTTCTGCTTCTGTCCGTTTAAAATCCAAACCCGGCGGCTCGATGGCAGCGTTGATCCACCCATCTCTCTCCACACAAGAGAGAGAGCAAAACAGCCATGAACGTTGACTGGCTGGGGCCGGGCTGCTGGCTTTGTTAACCCCGTTGGGCAGGGCTTGCTTTCGGTCTTCAGCTGGGCAGCTCGGCTGAATTGAATGGGTATCGGCCTGGTACCTTTGTCAAGGAGGGGGGAGGGGGAACCTGCAGCTATGTTTACTTGGTCGGGGTAGCGCCGAGGGGCCACGCGCTGAAAGTTGGTCTCGGGGTCGAACGGCCATGTCCCTGTCCATCACCAGGCTCTCCCCAACCCAACATTACACACACACACACACACACACACACATTGTACGGATATTCGGTATGTAATTGGTCATAACCGATGGATGACGAGCATGGCCGACAGTAAGAGCCAATAGCCTCTAAGCTCTGCAGCTAGTCCAGTTACCCGAACAAGGTGCCATGCTAGCTATACCATACCAGTAGACAATTGATGGAGTTTCTGGCCCCCTCGTGCCCCTTTCGCTTCCCAGGCTCGCCGGCTCATATACACCCCTCCTTCAACAGTTGCGTGACACACACCTCTCCTCGGCCATGCAACAATTCTTTCTTCGCCCCCACCATCATTGAATGGTGGGCTGGCTCCATGTTGCCATGCCTGCTTCTGGTTGTGCCCCCGTTCCATGAGTGCGCGATGAAATCTCGACTCTAATCATCCTTTACCAAGCTAGGAACATCATCTACACCGTGTCCAACTTGACAAACTCAATATAAGCAGCTCAGGCCTCGCCGACTGCCGGTTCCTGGCATCCCTCTGGCGTTTCCATGTCAATGATTTATACCTTCTTCACCGTATACTCCCCGTTTCACCCTGGTTATGCTCCAAAGACATCGCCAACCCAGAAAAAAAGAGGACATAGACCTTTGATACAAAAGCCCTTAGTGTAGTGCTGCCCACTACTTCTAGACAGAGTCCGCGAGACTACTGGTAGGAAGCCATCGACAAAACGACTTGCTACTAGAGCGCCCGAGTACTTGCTGCAATCAATCAATCTTGCCGGTGGTAGCCACGCACCTCTTGAAAACGTTGCTGCCCTCCCCCAATACAGCCCCCGCGGAGCCTTCCACATCTGAGGTCAGGCCGACACTCACCACACCACTGGGCCTTTACTTTATAGTAGGGCACGCTTACCTTTCATTATCACGAGGGCAGTCTTGCGCCCGTCTCTATGAACAAAACGACACAACATTCGAGATAGAATCTCGAATCATTTTTGGCTTCGAATTCCTGCCTAGCCACCACATCAGAATGAGGTGAGTCGGGTCGCCCCGATCCTGTTGCCCCTGCCCCCAAGTGCTAACCAGGCTGCAGCGCCATAGCCTTGTCATTGGATCCCAGTTCGATGAGCGGAAGCAAAAGTGGCTTATCCTGGCAAGGTATGTGGGAAATGGCGCTCTACTTGACTCAAATATTGCCACTACTAGCGGTCCTCCCTCGCTAACTAACGGTTGGGCCTTTGCCAACAACAGATTCCCGTTCAGACCACAACCAACATTTTGACGACATCATGTTTGGAGATGATTCAAATGCCGTGGGACAGACAAGTGACGGCGGTACAATGTCGCCTATTAGCACAAAATCATCAACGTCCAGCCCGTCTCTCTCTCTCGCACCGGATCATCAGCACAGCCTAAAGCGCCAACAAGACCGCGCTCGCAGAGACTCACGCCTCAACGCAAGGTTACGCCGCCACAGTAACGCTTCCTTTGTCGATTCAGCCATGATGAGCCCGACCGATGCAATCGGGAATCTCGGACTTGCTTCCTACAGCCCGACAACTCACACGGCTGGGCCGTTGATAGCTGAGTCGCCCCAGCTCATGCCAACATCGTCATACGTACCATCTTACAACCTGGCCTCGGAGCATTCGCATGGCTACTCGCTTCCGTATCAACAACCACTGTACGCTTTCAAGAAGTTAGTTTATCCAGGTATTATGCGTCGCTAACATACTGAGGTAGTCCGCAATCATACCATCTCCCCATGGATTACTCAAACGGCTACATCGGTGCGAACGAATTTGGGTGTGTTGCCTTTGCATACAACCTGTAAAAATTATGCTAATGGTACCGGCAGCAACATGAGACAAAACCATCCGTCTGCGTCCTCGGTGCCTCACACTCAGGAGAGCAGCCTACTCTATCAAATGCCAACAAGCCCTTCTGCGACTCCCCACGATGCTTCTCCACCTGGACTTGCATCGAGCCGGCCGAAGCCACGATGCTGGGAGCATGGATGTAACGGACGTCAGTTTTCTACATTTAGCAACTTGCTACGTCATCAGCGAGAAAAGTCTGGCCAAGCAACCAAATCAACCTGTCCCAACTGCGGTGCGGAATTTACCAGGACAACGGCGCGGAATGGGCATATGCTACACGACAAGTGTAAGCGAAGAACTACCGGCAGCAGCAGTGCCTGACCTGCCGAGTCAAGACATGTCAACCTTTTGAGGGGATACGACACGGAAACAGACGACGTAGATTTTCCAGACGCCCGTACATATGCAGCCGAATAGAAGGCCGGAAGCCTTCCGCGCGACGTTTCCGCGCTCAAACAAACACGACTAGCCTGTATTATATGGTATCACTTGTTCTATGCGCTCTCACTAGGAGTTTTGGCTTTTTCTTCTTCTTTTCGGGTTTTTTTTCTTCAGGTGAAATTCGGTACTTGTCTTGCTTTCATTTGAAGAGTGCCGCTGCAGAAGCAGTCTGCACAAGGCGGGAGGGCTGCTGATTGCGACCCCAAGCACGGGTCTCATTCGTGATGCGCAGGAACGTATCTGGCGTCACAATGTGTTTTTTTGTTTTTGTCTTGTTCGTATATAGCAACGAATAAAGAATTTGAAAATCAAGTCTCACGAAATGCTTCATTAGGCGGGTGACACTGAGGCTCTCTACATTTACAGTTGAATTCGACGCAATCATCCTCAGCACTAGTCACTCTGTTTATTTTTTGTTCTTTTTAGATGCATATATCTGTTTTGCAGATGTAGATTCTTGTCACGAGTATGGACACACCTCTGAGTTTAAGTTCCCGGAGTCGGTGAATTTCTTTTCGTACAGGGACTTGCTCATCGCTTGCCAACGCCGGAACAAAATTCGCTTCTGTTTCCTCAAATCGCAGTAAATCGACCTTGTTCTTCCGCCATTCGCCATGTCACTGTTCAATTTCCCACCTATGAGCGATTGGCGTGCCCTGGAGCAGTCCCGATTAGGTGATGAGCTTACCTATGGAGCCCAGCTTGAATTGCAGTCACTTGGCGAAACTGTGTCAGACGCCATTGCATTCGATTGAAAAACTATGTCTTTTTTGCAGAAATGCATTGGCGTAGGTGATAGACATGTGGGTTTGGCCGTCCATCAATTTCCTAGCCGCGTTTTGTGTAAACCATTGCGGGGATGTGAGGTTTTAGCATCAATCGGGGGATTGCTGCTTGAAGCTGGAGGAAGATGGTTATAAAAAGCTGAAGCTATCGCCGGCTCTCGATGATGGAACGCATCTACTCCTTTCCGACTACAGAGATTTCAACTCATACTATCGCCTACTCACGTACAAGAATCCCTTTTTTTTTACAAAATGCATCTGTCTTTGTCTGTCATTGTCGCTTTTCTGGCTGTGGGTATTCATGGCGCCCCTGCCGAAGACGTTGAGAAGCGCGCCATCACCTCTGGCACCAACGACGGTTCCATTTTTCAGTTCGGTGATGCCTCGCGTTGCCGCAAGTTATTCTACGACTCGGGTGCTTGCGGTCTGAGCACCTATTTCAAGGGCAAAGTCCCGTCCAACATGCCCCTCGTCGCTGTTCCTTCGCGCGTCTTTGACAAGTTTGGCCAGGCTCAGAACAATAAGCTTTGCGCCAAGACAATCACCATGACGTACAAGGGCGTAACTCGCAGGGCCATTGTCGCTGATGAGAATACGAGCGATGAGCAGTCGATTGACATGTGCCTGGGTGACTGGAAGGCTTTTGGTGGCAAGGATGGTGATGGTACCCTCCGTCGCGGCGTCAAGTGGACCATTGGCTGATGGGATGTTGGCTATGGGCTGAAATCAGCTTTGCGAGTTGTTGTGAGAAGAAATGAGATGGCAACCCAAGAGTATTACATATATGAGGGCCTGACCCACTAGCGCCGGTTATATAAGTGGTTGTAGATTTCGAGTAAATAATGATCGAATTGAGAGTTTATATCGGGCCCTGCTTGTTGAACAAAGTATATACCGCTGCTTCGAAGATAGATTCAGCGGTATAATATCCATTGCTCCAGTGATGATGATGATGATGCTAGCTTGGCCTGAAGTGGGAGGAGGCGCCCGCGTAAAGCTCCCCACCACAGCACGTGCCACCGCGACATGAGCGTGTCAAACAGGCAAGACCTTCAATGCGGGACCTGCAAGATCAACGTTGGGCGTTCATCAAAGCCAGCTCAAGCGCACCATGTCAGCCTTGACGGTGCGCGCCCGGCGGCAAAAAATCTTCAAAGCCGTCTTTCAGACTGATTCTTCGCAGCCCACGCCACTGCTGTCCTCCACGGAACCTGGCGAAGCGTTTGGCGGGCCTCCAGCAGCTACAGTCAAGGCGTCGCCGCGTCGCAGGCGTTCAGCAGTAAATGATGGCGGGATTTCGGACCAAGTGAAATGGGACAGAGCCTGGCATCTGGTTACATCGCGCATTCAACTTCCCTCCTCCGTCGCCATTGAAGACTCCTTTGGCACATTGCCGCCACAGTCGCAGGACAGCGATTCGGATTTTTATGAGGCGCTGCCCATCGTGCTCGACCCGGCAGTCAATGCGCCCGCTGCAGCTCACACCGAAGACATACTGCTATGGCACGCGCGACAAGTGCGGCAGCACTTTGTTCATCATGTCCTGCCGTTGCTCGCTGCTTGTGCCAGTCTTGCGGATACCTCGCAAGTTGTCTCCAGCACAGTCAATACTCTGGCGGCAGCCCACCGACAATATCTCAACGGCCTGCTGTTGGTCGTCAGAGGCATCTCCAACGAAGCTGCCTCGGAGACAGCAACTAGCACCTTTAGGCGGGACTTGCACGCCGTCATTGGCAACTCGTGGACGCAGGGTCTGATTAATGCTCTGAATCCTGCACTCAAGCGATTGCTGCGCACTGTTCTGAGAATAGGTCAGCGCTTCGATGGCAGGCATACGTCGGAAGAACCCAACACTTCGAGTGCTCGAGAAGAATTGCTGAGTTTACTAGAGTCCTTGCAGCGGGTGGGTCTCGCTGGCGACAAATTTCAAGTGCTCTTTGCAGAGTTGATGGATAATTGCATGCATGAATTCATCCAAACCGCCTATGATGGAGTTTGGGACTCAGCAGAAGTCAAAGACTCGAGTACGGGATCTGTCATGCCAGGGTGCATGGCGCATCTCTGCGACTGGGTAGAGAATCACTATGGCCGGCTGGCCGTGGAAGTTTTCAGCCGCCTGGGTGGCCAGGTGAAATGGGCTGATGTTGAGCAGTGGCGTGACATTGCCATAGGTCGGCTGGCAACACTTCGAATACACGAGCTCTTTGACATTGTACTGCACTGGCCAGAGACCAAGGGTGGCCTTGACGATTTGGGATACTCTGTTACCACGCCGCAACGACGCCTAGAGCTGACAGACACCTTCTCAGCAGCCCTGCAGCAGCGACTGCTGCACCCAGGCCGGTCTACACTGGAAATCCTGCAGACGTATATTTCCATGATTCGAACCTTTCACGCGCTCGATCACTCAAAAGTTTTGCTTGATCGGGTAGTGCACGCCTTGCAGCTTTACCTTTGTCAAAGAGATGATGCGATTCGAATTGTGGTTACGGGCCTCCTCGCAAATCCCAAAGGCGATGACGATATTGAGGCCAAGACGAAGCTTGTAGAGCTAGCTGTCGTTATAAACGAAGCATCACAACAGCAGAGAACAGCTATTGACGAGGAGGATCTCGACTGGGACGATATGAATTGGGTTCCAGACCCCGTCGATGCAGGCGTCAACTACAAACGCCCAAAAAATGAGGATGTTGTCGGCACCCTGATTAGTGCACTTGGCTCGCAAGACATTTTCATCAAAGAATTTCAGCATATTATCGCAGAGCGACTGTTATCAAGGCAGCATGGCTTTCAGCAAGAGATTAAAGTTTTGGGGCTCTTGAAAAAGAGATTTGGCCAACACGCGCTTCAAAACTGCGACGTCATGGTCAAGGATATTCAAGATTCCAGGCGCCTCGACACCGTGCTGCGACGTAACATACGCAGTACGCAGAATCCTGAATCCCCAGCTCTATCATACCACTCCAAAATATTGTCGCGTCTCTTTTGGCCTAGCTTGACAAAGGAAACGTTCAAGGTTCCAGCGCCTGTTGCGGAAATTCAAGCACAATACGAAGCTGGTTTCGAGCAGCTCAAATCCTCTCGAAAGCTTGGATGGTTGGATAACCTGGGCACAGCAACAGTGAAACTGGAGCTCGATGACCGTACAGTTGAGGTTGACTGCAAAACCTGCGAAGCTGCCGTCATTTTCGAATTTCAAGGCGAAGGAGCACAGAGCGACACGGGCGCACAGCAGCGCACATTCGAAGAGTTATGGCAGAGCTTGATGATGGACGAGGATGCCCTCGAATCTGCACTACGGTTCTGGATAGCGAAGAAGGTTCTCAAAGAGATCGGCCGCCAGACATATGTGGTTGTAGAACGATTGGACTCGGACGAAGCTGCAGGCGACACTCGCGACGATGCATCGGTTGAGGAAGGTCCAGAGGCTCCTGGCAGCACATCACCAAAGAAGGCCAAAGCCCTGGATCCAAGAGAAGTAGAACGACGTACCATTTATTGGCAATTCATCCTCGGTATGCTCACGAATTCAGCGCCAGCCATGCCTCTAGGGCAAATAGCCATGATGATGAAGATGCTCATCGCGGACGGATGCGATTGGAGCAACGAAGAGCTGCAGGTGTTTCTCGATGGAAAAATCACGGCCGGAGAATTAGAATTGGCCGGTGGCAAATATCGGTTACCCAAAAAGTGAGGCAGGCTTCACGACAGCGAGGAGAATACAGTCACCTCGAATGCTCCTTCACCTCGGCCTTCTCCGTGATGCGAGACCCAGACCTTGCCGATGATGCTCGCTGTGCAACCTGGCGTGGTGATGCGCTGCGCGACATCAGCCGCGAATATCAGGACACAATTCGTGTGAAATGCACGTTGACAGTACGACAAGCGCTCATTGAGTGAATGGGGTGTACAAAGAAGGATGTCTCGCCTGAAACGCGAATAGTCTTTTGCGTCAGTGGTCAAGGTCTGCCTTGCTTTGCATGTGATGCTATTCATGGTATGCCAAGATGACCTCGTGTATTGAGAGCTGCCGACTGTAGTTGGCTCAACTATACGCGGGAAGGGGCGCAAGGTACGATTTATACCACGGAAGGGCGAGTCCATGGGTGCACAAGGTACGACGGGAGCTGTTGTGGAGCTTTGATGCGGTGCGTATGTTATCCCACGCTGCATGGTGTGGATGATGTTTTTGGCTGTTTTACTGCCTTGTGTGTGTGTGTGTGTATGTGTGTGGCGCTGGGCGGCGGCGGTGCGACGTCTTGCGGCCCCCGAAAGGCCATGTGCAATGGGGGTCGAGCCGACTTGGTTTATCAGGTCCTAATATCGAAATAGTCAATGGAGTTGACCAAGTGCAATACGATGCGGACTTGCAGTCTCATACCGAACATGTTAATATTCTCAGCCAGTGACGGTATGCTTTCTATGATGATCTGGGTCGAGTGTGGATGATTGTCTCGTTGTATGCATGGTTACGCTCTGGGACGCACGTCGACTATTTAGGATGATGCCGACTGAGGACTCTGTATGACTATATGACTAGCACTGCCATTGGGACGGGTTTTCGGATTGCTTCGAAAACCATTTTCTC